CGATACTGGTTTTGAGTCAATGTCACAGTTGCAATAGATGGCAAAGTCACAGTTAAAATATTATTATTAGCTTGAATAATTCAAAACTATGCATGCTGATGTTAATACACAGTGTGATAAAAGTGGTAAATTGAATAAAAATATTCATTCAAAAGAAGATGTACATTTAATTGATTAGTTAACCAAGTAGCTTCCCGATCTTTTTCATTAGATACAATTTGAAATGTATGGTAGACATTAGAGAACAATGATGATAGGGATTTTTTTGTGATCGAAGGAATTATTACTAAGTGCGATGGAAATGTGTGAACCTTTTGAATACAATGTTGCAGGCTAGTGAAAAATCTGTAGAGCTTTCAGTGTCTACTAAAATATGTCATGTATCTAATGGAAATATGCTGATATTTCAATTAAATATTTTTCATGTTGTAAATTGTGTGCAATTGAAAATTGTTTAATAATATAAGAGAGAAATAGCGGATAGCAGCGTAAAATTGTGATTGTTGTGTAATATATGGCAGAATCCATGCTCATGAAAGTTTCTCTAGTAAGATCCCATGGATAAATGCGTTTAGATCCTCACCAAAATGTTCTTTTGGTTGTTTCTATGAATGTATCACATTTTTGCTACTCGATTGATTAAATGGAATATGTTATGCAAGACTAGTAAATTTCCAAATAATTATTGTTTAAGAATTATGAAAAAATATGTAAATATTTTGTTAGTTCTATATCTGTATATGGGTGTTCTACGCTGATTTGAGTCTGATATTTTCATTGTAAATCTAAATTTGATTAATTCAAAATATCATTGATATATTCGATAGTATTGTTCCATAGGCTATAAATTCTTATCATCTTTTCAAGTTAATCGAAGACAAGATCAAATCTCACTGTTCAATTATAAAAACATGACATTTGATAAAAGACAATGAATATTGTAGAACTTTATTATTGAAATGTAAAAACATGGCGAGTTTAGTAATACTGCGTGATAGCGATACCGCAATATGTCGATTTTGTATTTAATTCGGTGCTGTAAACTTAATGATTATCGGAGCTGAAGAAAAGTCAATAGTGTCGATAAAAAAAAATAATAATCGTAGAAATGTGCAAATGTATGAAGAGAAGAATATCACTCTTAGTGACGCTGAAAATTAGTGATGAAGCAATGATAATGACATTTTATCATTAATCAATTGTTCAATATAGGTTCAATCGGATGATAAATTATATTTGGGGCCTAATCTCTTTCGTCCATGTTCACTTCAAATTGTTCATATTCATGTTGAATCGATTTGAGAAAATCTATAAGTACATGTTTGATAGATATTCGATAAAGTATAAATATCGCTGACAAAAATACACGTACCGTGGCAGTTTTTGATGGGAACAGTTTTATTTACTGTACCAGATACTTGCTTTTTTGGGTCTTTAATAGTAGTCGCTGGCTAAAAATTTCCATACATAAAATAGAATTATATTCATTCATTGTTTATTTGACATGTATATTTATTGATAAAAGTGAAACTATATTTATTAAGTCTATGCAATGTTATCATATGTGCAAGATTCAAACTCACTCTGTGAACAACTGATGTTATACTTTGTTAAAAATGAATTAATAAGCGAACACTCTTATGATAGACAACTTACAGATCCAGGTGGCAATTTTTCTGATTGGTTACGTTGCGTATTAGTGACCTGATTCTAGACAAATTTTAAGTTATTGATATTTTTGTTTCATACTTGATAGCTAGACTAATTATGATTTGTACTTGATCAATCTTTTTTGTTGTGCTTTTATTTTACTACATTAAAACAGCCTGTTTTAAATTAATTCAATTATGAATAATTTACTAGTTTTCAAAATGTAAATTAAGAAATATGCACTGGTATCAATATCACTTATTTTAAACAATGTGTCAAGCGAAAACAAATCATTACGTGATCTCTTTAATAGTTAGCTTACTTTTTTTTGAACTGTAGAAGTTGATGAAGACATCTCTAAGATAAATCTTGGAAGTTCTACAAAATAATAATTTCAATTACTTCGGTGAGAGCATATTATTTTTCTCAATCGTTTGCATTACATTTCGTTTTTTCTTCTCGAAAAAATAAACATTTAACAGATAAGAACGAAAAAAAAAATAATAACTATATGTATGTATATACACATGCATAACAAAGATACAAGTTGTACAAAGAAGAAGTATTACGACGATAACAAAGTAGATCTATGTGATTTAATCACAAATATCAGCAACAAAAATAATGTATGAAAAATAAAGAATCTGACTAATTATGTTTCTTGATTTCACAATAGTGTAGTTTTATGAACCACTTGATGAAAGAAATTGATTCTACTTGTGTTTTTTAGCAAAGCCACTGCCACTGGCTTTGCTTTTCGGTGTAGCATCCTTTTTTCGTTTGAGACCTTTGTTAGTTGCATTTTGTATTTCCTATACAAAAGAGAACTTTAAGACTTTCCTTTAGACAATTCGTGTGTTCTAGTAATACGAGACAATTATGAATTACTCGAATACAAAAAATTTTGTTTTAATTTGGTTTATTTAAAATATAAATACGTACGGCTTTTTTAGCAATTGGTGTTGTCGTTGTAACATTGTGGGACACAGTAAAAAATGAGTCCAATCGACCCTGTTGTGTTGTTGTTCGAGCTTTTGCTAATTTTTTTGCACCATTACGAATACGATCTTCACTAAAAATTGGATGATAAAATGAATAGAACACAGTGTCGTTTAGAGTCTTATTAATTGACAAGTCTGTATTAAGATATAGGCCTCATGATTTTGTACGCCACTTGTATTGTAGATGTCAGACATCAAGTTTTTATAGGACTCAATCAGATTTGATTAATATTCAAAAATGTGACGTTGGAGAACTTTTTTTCTTCCTTAACAAAAAACACCCCTTATGCACTTATTTTTATTTGCTGTAAGGGCAAAATGAATCTACATGTATAAAAATACAGAATAATATCATTATGTGAATCATTAATGATTCGTTTCTCGGTAAATTTTATGTTCTCTTTCTTTTTCTTATTCTCGTACGTTCTTTTTTCATGACTGCGTAAATTATTCTGTTGTTTTTGCCTTTTTTTCTTCTATATTACCTGTAGAAAACTATATTAACGACGACAGAAACACTATTTTCTTCATATTTCTTTCTTATTCAGACAAACTAAGAAAATGACTGCTGTCTATTATATCAAAGTATATTTAACAAAAATCAATCAACAACAAGAAATTCGTCGATTTTGTGTATGTCATATTCACTTAATACTCACAAGAAGAATTTCATTGTTTTCTTTAGATTGACATTTCACCAGAAAATGATGTTTATAATGAATTAACAACAAAAATCAAATCATATCTATCGAATAATCAATTACAAGATTTCATTCTTCAATATAATGATGAAGATAATGAACGCATTACATTTAGTTCAAATGATGAACTCCGTTCAGCTATTACTTTAAATAAAGATACAAACACTTTAAAAGTTTTTGTTACATTCAATCAATCAATTCCTCAAGAACAACACAATGCAACCAATAAAGAATGCCATGTTGGCGTTGAATGTGATGCCTGTAAAGGACCAGTTATTGGTTGTCGATATAAATGTTGTGTATGTCCAAACTATGATTTATGTGAAAAATGTGCACTAGTTGGTATTCATTCCGAACATAATATGATTAAAATATCAAAACCAAGCAATTATCACAACTTCAATGATCATTATCATCATCATTTTAATAATCATCATGATGGCCATCAACATAATCATATGCCGCCCCCACACCCACCATCTTCACCATTTGTGTCAAGTCAAGATTATCTTCAAAAAATTCAAGCGCAAATTCCTCAATGGTTACCAAATCGTCAAAATGCTGCTCATTTTCGATCTCATGTACAACAACACATCGACTCATTAAAAGCCAATAGCCAAACACACATGAAAAGTTCAAAACAATATCTGGAAAATGTTGGGCAGTATTTACAAAAAACACTAACACCACTTGGTGTTAATTGTGAATATCATGTTGAAGAAGAAAAACAAAAGCCAAATGAACAACAAGAAGAACAAGTCTCAACAACAACAACAACTACTACTCATTCGGCAGTAAATTCAGTTGTAACATCAAATTCGTCAGATTCAGATTCGTCTTCAACTAATAATAATAATAATCAAGAAAATACCGAAAACTCAATCATACCACCAGTTGAAGAATCAACCCATATAAGAAATTCATTAGAATACAGCATCGATGATTGTATGCAAAGAATGACAGCAATGGGTTTTATAGATGCTAATGGAGCATTACGTGAGCTTATTCGTTCAAAACAAGGTGATATTAACTTGGTTCTCGACGCTATCAATCCACGTTCTTATCAAGTTTAGCTGAAACAAATTATCACAAAGAAAATACTAAAATGAAAAAAGAGACAGTGCTTGCATTCTTCTATTTATTAAATATATAGCGGCGTATAAACGAATAATTTCCTTTTTTTTTCTTTTGAATATGATAAAAAGAAATTTTTCGAAATTTAACTTCAATCGCAAAATAGAAAGCTTTTCTTTTCACTTACCCAAATCCTTTTTCAGTCACCATATAAGCTATGAGACCCTCTTCATCTGGTTCAGTCCATTTAAGCTAAAAATTAATATTTAAAGAAACAAAACATGAAAAGAAGTGAATTCAGAAAAAGAAAATTACATCAACAGCATCGCCGGATAAAATGTCTGGTTCTTTGAATAGTTCTCGTGCTTTTTCATATGCCCACTCATCAGGTACGCTGTATTTCTATACAAATAATAAGACATAAAAATTAGTATAATTCATGTAAATAAATAAAATATACTTTGGTATCAATATGTTTAAGAATTGTTTCAATATCACGATATTGTTTAATAAGATCGAGAGCACGTTTTTGTCCAATACCTTTGATTGAATCACAATAATCACATCCAAGTAAAATACATAAATCTATGAACTAGAACAAAAACAAATTTTAAAACAATAAATTAAGATAAATCATACCTCTTCGAAATTAATTCCTAAGCCTTGAAGAACTTTTGGAAGTGAAAATTCTCGAATGGGCATTTTTCTATAAAAATAGATTTCATACAGAATGAGTATTTTGATATGTGAATAATAACTAACGCACCGTGCTTCACTAAATGTTAAATGACGTACAAGCACATCCGCGCCAAATGTCAATGCCTAGAAATGTGTATGAAACAAAAATAATAATACAAAAATAATCAGATCTAACTTACATCCATATCTTCAGTACCAACTCCATAAACTTTTCCGTCTTTGACAAGTGCTGCACATTCTGAATGAGAAAAAGAAACTATATTAATTGAATATAAAACAAACAAATCTTACGAGCTTCAGCTTCTGTAGGTGCATTGACATAAGGTATACCCATTAATTTTAATAAGCGTTTACATTCTTCGTTATGTTCACGAGTAACCTTAACAGTTCGCCGAGCAAATTTATCAAATGCTTCTTCATCACCTAATTAATAGAAATCAGTAAGTTTTCAATGCAAGAAATAAAAGAAAAACAATTGAACTCAACTACAAATCAATAAAATTCAAACAAACAGAAATATCTAGATGATCTTTTCCCCATTGGAGTCATTCCATTGTTGATAAAAAAACATTTATGCTAAATTTTCTTTACTAATTTTATTCGCTTTTATTCCTATTTAAACGTTTTCAATGAGAACTTACCAGCTTCAGCTGCTTTGGACATTTCTGCTTCAGCTTCTGTACGTCGTTCAAGACGTTTTTCTAATTCTTTCGATTTCATTTGTGGTGGTTTTCCATCGAATACATAAACTGGTTTAATACCATGTTCCACCATACGAATTGTTCGATAAAACATGCCCATTAAATGACTAGTTATTTCACCATTGTCATTTGTTAAATTTTCACCATTTTGCCGAACAGCTATAAGAAATTGATAGATCGACATCGACCTAGAAACAATATATATAGCAATTTTCAAAGATAAATAAATAGTTTATTGGAATAGCTTTTCTCAATAAATTTGACTAATTCTAAACGTCTTTTTTTTTTCATTGAATGAATGCGTTTCCGCAGAATACATTCATATGAAAAATTAATTAACTAGTATCTATCATTTAGTAAGTAGAATAATTTTACAGATAAAATAGATTACTTGAATATTAATCATTCACCGAGTGGTAAACCAGAAAAATGCTACTTTTACGACTATCTAAATATTGTATATTCAACTTACGCATCAACTGCAATCTTTCGACCAAAATAATTTTTCATTTCTCCTTCTTTTATAGCTCCTGGTGCTTGATCAGCAATTAATTTTGCTAAATTATGAATTCCCATGATGTGTACACTTAAATGAAAACACCAGTTTGAATTCTAAAAAAGAAAACAATAGCTACGAACAAAACAGATGTATAATCTTCGAAATAGTATTATTCTTGGTGTTATTTGTTTTTTCTCTGAATTATATTGAAAAACAGAAATAAATAATAGTAGCAATGAAAAAAAAGACAAAATAAGCGAACACAAGAACAATAAAAGTCTGAATAAAACAAACATAGCAAAGTAAATATAATTCATTTCCACAAGAGAATTAACAAGAAGAAAATAGCCTAATGAAGCAAAAAAAACTTCTTGGAATTAGTATGATGAAATTTTAATTCCGGGTGCTCCACCTGGTGGTCCTTCATTTTTTCCAGCATATTTCACTTTTCCATGTGTAAATGGAACATATTTATATTGTATCATATGTGCTATACGTTGTCTCATGGTTAAGAAGAATAATGTGAAAAAGTAGATGACAAGCACAGGCCAAAATACTGGTATATCAAATATTGGAAATATTGTTAAAACTAAACTGATCATTAGTGCTTTGAATGATGTATACCAAAATTTAAATTCCGGTAAACGACGCATAAATGGTCGAAACTCATCTGTTGATCGTGTTGGTAAACGTGGTCCATGATCGCCTTCCTCTTCGTCCATACCAAGTGATGATGGGTCTTGTTTAGGTGTTAGAAAAAGAATAAATTGATTGAGTAAAAATATTCCAAGACCATAAGCAATAATGTAAAACCCTTGGATGAGAAAAATACGAAGAAAAAAGAGAACTAATAATAATAAATTAAATAACCAACGAAAGCTAATAAATGGTGTTGCACGATCAAGTAAATGTTGTGTATAAATTCCAAGACGAGTAAATGAACTAGCTGCGCCGGAACCGATCTTATCAGAATTACCCAACGTGTCCATTTCAATTGTTTTCTTCTTTTGACTATAGTAATTGTTTATTTTAGTTCTTTGTCAAAACGATTGTATTGTGGCAATGAATGCCTATCGGAGATGTGGAATAGATACTAACTTTGATTGGTTCAATGAAGTGTAAATTGATAGAGGACGCCGTATGTTAATAATGTTTTTTCAACTAAAATTAGAATAAAAAAATATATTTTAATATAAATTTTCAAATCTTTTTGGAAAAATCTTTTTTCTTAATATAAAATTTATGTTGAACAAAGATAGTTTACGGGTACGTGTTTATTCGTTCGACATGCATGGCGTCGTGAAATCATAGAACAGCGTTAAGATTTCTCAGTGCTAACTTTGTCTTCTTGTTTTCAATGAGTTTTCATAAAAAAATATTTCTAAGTATATTGATTTTTCAGATCTTTTTCATGTACCCTATGGCATCTAAATTTGTTCATAGTAGTAAAAGAACTATTCATTTTCCTTGGTATGTATTCGTATTTTCTCTGCTAATGTATGTTCACTAATGGCATACGGTTGTTGATTATTGATATTTGAGTCTCATCGAAATGAGTTTCATATCATTATATACAAAAATCATTATCACTATTTCTCGATTACATCTTGTTTAATCATCGATCAGTAATAAAAAAAAGCATAAGTCTTTTTGAATATTTGATGAAAAAAGCACAAATTCTAGCTTTATATAATGGGATTTATTGATTCAGAAATTTAAAAAAAAAACGATCATATTAATTGTAATAACTAATTAATCTAATTCGACAATTTTGTTTTCAATTAAGGTTATGCCCAAAACTGATCTCGGTGATGTTTGTGGACGCTATTTATCCTCGCGTCTGTCAAAACGTACAGATTCATCATTATCAAGTGATCAACAATTAATAAAACATTTTTTGAACCACGAATTTGTAACTACTGAACATAAAGGAAATACAATATTAAAACAGGAACTCTTTTTAAAACCTTATACCAAGACTCCACTAGATCAATTACGTCAAAATTATAAAATCAACCAACGTGATAATAGTGACAATAGAAATAATATAGTCATGCCGGCTAATAATGATGTTCTATTAACTACGTTTAATAATAATACAACGAATGGCACTAATGGTACCAATTCAAATCATCAATATTGTTCAACATATGTCTCATGTAGTAATGGTAATCATTCAACATCGCCACCTTCTGAAACGTCCTCGTTATCGTCATCGTCATCGTCGTCATCATCATCTTCTTCTTCTTCTTCTTCAATGTCAAATAGTAGTTCATCGTTAATGATGAATTGGGAATTATTAAAAGATCGCGGTTCCGGTTTAGTTAATCTTGGCAATACATGTTTTATAAATGCATCATTACAATGTTTAGCTAATACTCCTCCACTGGTTCAATGGCTTTTATGTAATTCTCATTCTCAATGTTGTCGTGTTAAATTAGAAAAACAATTCTGTTTATTTTGTGAAGCTGAGCGTATTGTTAGATTGATTCATTCAAAAAATTCCAATTCATCCTTTTCATCGTCAGTTGGTGCTGCTAATCCAAATAATATTGTTCGCCGTATTAAAGATATTTCAACTACATTTAAAATTGGTCGTCAAGAAGATGCTAGCGAATTTCTTATTTGTTTAATTGATAAAATTGTTGATGCATCACTTCGTTCATCTCAACCGCCAGAACGTTTACGTCCATCATCTGGTACATCTTATGAACAATTATGTCATTCTCAAACAATATTTCATGATTTATTCGGTCTTGTTTTACGTTCACGTGTTGTATGTTCACGTTGTCGTCATACATCAGATACATTTGAAGTACAATATACATGGATTGTTGGCGTACGTAATCATACTGATTTGAGACAATCGTTACAACAATTTGTTTGCCGTGAAACATTATCAGGAGAAAATCTATATCGTTGCATTAAATGTAAACAATTAGTACAGGCTATTAAACGATATACACTACATAAAGCATCAAAGATTTTATTAATTAATCTAAAACGTTTCGAATTTGGAAAAAATTCACATAAACTATCACATCTTGTTCGTTATCCTGAATATTTAAATGTTACTCCATACATGAGCGATGAAAGTTCTAATGATGAATCATTGAATTATCGTTTGTATGCGGTTTTAGTTCACGTTGGATCATCTATGCATTCAGGACATTATTTTTCATATGTACGTTCACCAAATAATCGTTGGAATAAAGCTGATGATATAACAATGACACAATGTGATTTAAGTCAAGTTTTAGCGCAACATGGTGCCTATATTTTATGTTATATTAAAGAAACATCATCAACAAATACTACAATAAATGGTTCTTTAACAACAACAAATATATCATCATCATCGTCAGCGTCGTCGTCAACAACGACTACACAAACAACAACTAGTAAACTTGTCTATCAAAATGGAAAATTGAATAACAGTGAACAACAGCAAACAGCAACAAATAATGTAACGTTCTTTACACCACGTCAAGTTCCCGTACAAAATCTTCCTAAACAAAGTATGTAAATTGTTTTAATTTTTTTTCTAGAATAAAAATATTAATGCCTAGTATTTTTAAGAAATTATCGTCTAGATTTTTACTTTGTTATAAAGATGATATTGACATTTATTAGCATAATAAATATTTACTTTTCTTGTTAGTTCTAATTATATGATCTTTGAGCAGATTTAAATCTCTTAATCTAATATGAACTGATAAAAAAGAAAAAGAAAGAAGATTATTATTTATGAAGAAGTTCAATCGACTAGGAATAATTGTATAGATTATTATTTCAACATTATGAATAATTTCGTTAAAAAGAATTTTGTTTTTGTAGAATCATTTCATTAAAAAAAATTTTTAAGAAATCAAAAACTAAAAGTCATTGTTAATTATTATTGAACATTTTTTTTTAATTTTAGTTAATGGGCAAAATGGAAATCTGAAAACAATGTCCTCATCTTTGACAAAACCTACTATTGTAACATCTAATTCAGAATTAACTAATGGTGGTAGTGCTTTGTCAACTGAAAAACGAGCACCAATCGTAATGCGCATTCCAACTCTGAGTTTTCTATCAAATAGGGTAATAAAATATTAATCTATATAATATGAATTGTTTAATAAAAAATATTTTGTTTTTCTTAGCCGGTTCCACTACAAGATAAATCAATCACAGATCCACATTCAAATTTAACAACATCTCTCTCTTCCAAACTTGTTAATAAATCAAATTCAAACCCGATTGTTCTATCAACAACAAAGAATAGTAATTATACGATATCTCCAACAACTTCATTATCAACTGTACAATCGACTTCATCGCCATTAAAGTTAATAATAAAAGCTTCGGGACCATCTCCAACACTCAATGGACTTGCATCTATTTCGAAATCATATAATCATTATGATGATGATGATGATGATGACGATGACGTTGATGACGAATATAATGATGATTCATCTGATTTGCAACAACCAGCAACGAAAAAACAACGGACTGATGAATCGAAAATCTCGCCATCTATACCACTACTTCCTTGTTCATCGTCTGCTCCCACTTCTACTCACACTTCGGTTCCTACTTCTATCTCTTCTCGAACGAAATCGATGGATGAACAATCTAATCATTCATCATCATCGACAACGAAACATAAGAGGAAGAGGAAAAAGAAGAAATCTCATAACCATCAACATCATCACCATCACAAAACTCATCATCATCATCATCATCGCAAACGATCTCGACGAGATAGTAGTCGTCGAAGTCCATCGCGTTCACCCGTTTTTTCATCACCATCACAATTAAATTCATCACCATCCTCAGTAACTGATGATCAGCATCGGCGACATCGAAAACGTAAGAAACATCATCGTCACAAACGATATAGTTCACCATCATCATCGCGCGAACCTTTGTGATAAAATTTTCGTTTGCATTCGGAATTTTTCTCCTTCGTTTTCTCTTTTGTAATGCACATTTTCCTATTCGATCACTCATTATGAATGGAAGAATTCACCACAACGGTGAATGATATGCAGTGAGCACCACCACTAGCATCAACTTTGTGTAACTTAATTTCTCTGTATTCTCTCTCGTTTGTTGTGTATGCTTCTCCTATATTTCGCGTATGTGTTCATACGGCTCGCGACAAGTTGTTATCATCATCATTGATATCCGTTTGTCATAATTGTCCATGTTGTTTGTTGTGGTGGTGCAAATTTCTTTTTTTCTGTCTGTCTTTTTTTCTGCTTGTTGTTCATTGTGTATGTGTGTTACTTGTTTATGTATTTCTCTGTTGACATACACACGTGTGTTTGATTAATGCAAAGAAAATAAAAAGAGGCAGGTTTTTGATGTTTATGGAATACGATAGAATATTGAAAAATCAATTTATTAACATATTTTTATTTCGATGATCAATCAAAGAATGTGAGTCAAACGAGAGAGACAAATATATACTGTATATATAAATATATTGTAGAATGTTGAAAGATGAATTCGATATGATCGAAAATTTACTTGAATTTATTGATTTTGAATATTGAATGAATTAATATCTCTATCTGAAGGAAAATAGTAGTAATAGAGAAAAGTATTCGTAGAAGAGATTAGAGTAGAAAACGAATCAATCGATCAATTTTTCTTCATTTCAGTCATACGACAAGATTGATCAAAAATAATAAAACGTTCTTATAATGAATCATGCGCCTATTCCATATTTTATTCATTATTACAATATTATCAATTGGTAATTTTTCCTGTCAATAACATGCTAATGCGTAATAGTTCTTTTCAATTTTAATTGTATCGGATCATTAATTCGTATTCGTTATAAGAAAAAATGACAAAACATCGAGCGTATTCGAATGACATCAAATGGGTAGTACAATAATAATTTACAATATCAGATTGGTATCATGTTTTGACAGAAGAGTAGTACCCATTTCACTTACCGCAAACCTTAACTTTTAGACATGTGATTCAGTCACATCTAGCAACGTTGGAGGATCAAAATGGTATGTAAAAACAAATGAAGATGTTACGTATGACGTAAATTCGTAGGTGACCTCATCGATAAATCTTCATTGAATATTAACATTCACATATTGAATTACTAAATACGCCAAGAAAATAGCAACAGACAGACATTTGAAGAGAAAAATAAATTATAAATTATAATATCAAAATTTCAAAGTAACTACTGCCAACTCCAATGTAGAATGCTTTATGTTTAATCTCTTGTATCTATACTCGTAACTAATATTTTTTCTATTGTTGAAGATATGATGAATTGTTTTTTTGAATATCTCTCACGCCAGTTATTTTACCTGTAATCTTCCAGTTAAACAGAAGAACTAATAAGATTATGTTCTCGACCAGACAGAAGAAAAGTGAATCAAGTAAAAAACTATGCGTTTAATATTAAAATATTATACTGCTTATTAATGGCACAGAAAAAGCTCAATTGAAAGATTGTGCATATAGATGTATACACTATCTGTTAACTTTTACGGATTAAACGAAATATTCTTGGTTCGTAATTTACGCACTATGAAAGTTGATAAGTGGCAGTCTTTCAAAAGTCGAATAACCCCATCCGAAGTTTTAAATCATATTTTCGAGAAAAGCGATTCGAGTAACATATTAGTTTTAACACTGAATTAAAAACGATAGTTGTTCTGTGAAGTAAAAGTGAATTACGAAAATTTAAATCTCATGTAAACGAGCAAGAGAATATCACATTCTTCGATGAATATTAATTAATTTCTCAGATATATTTCTATTCATTAGTAACAACGAAATGAAAGAGTAGCGCACTATTTTACTTTTATTCTAGTTTTAATTTTTAGACTAAAAAAATTAGAATGCATTAAATCAATGATTTTGTTCACATATATGTATATACTGTTTTATTGTAATGATTTTAATAAATGGAACCGGTGCAAGAATCAATAATAAGAATGAATACAATAGTTTAAAAAAAACTTCAAGACACGTACTCTCCTATCAGACTAAGAACATATACGCATATAAAGTATCGCTTTGGTTTTGACTACTTGAAATGAGATAGTTGTATTTATTTTGTTTTTGATTTCAATGATTTATTGAAAATAAATCTGTAGTACATATAACAACGGAAAACGAAAGCAAAGCAAAAGAAAAACAGACAGAAAGAAAACATAAGACAGATTAAGAACAAAAGTGTAGGATTCTTGACAGTATGTCTTATACCCTACATATTAACGGCAAGTGAATTTCGTTGATTGTAGATTCCAGTTATATTTGCGAGAAAATGTGCATCAAATTTTTTGCAGATATTTTATCTCTATAGTTTTTTGCTGTTAATATTGCGTGTTTGAGTAAGACTGTGGTATATATCTTTATTTTTGGCATGTTACTAAACTGATGAATGTAGTCTACAGATGTATAGAATGATACTTCTAGTGCTGCTCTTAAGGCTTTATTATTTTGAGTGATTTGAAGTCGTTCCCAAATTTTGTTGTTTGCTGTTAAGAGGATATGTGATCCATACGTGATAATTGTTGTTACTAAAGATTTGAATAAATTTAACATTATTTTGATATTTGGTTCTGCATCTGCACAAGAACAAGACATAAATCGTAGAAGACTTATTCGAGTGCCAGTTTGGATTCGATATGCTTGATATGTGATCTCCAATTGAGTTTATTGTCAAATATAACACCTAGATATCGTGTTGGTGCTTCAACGTTTATCTCCATATGTTGTACATATTTTTTTCTTGGGTGCGGACTGAAGTAGATCTGTTCCGTTTTGATTAGCTGAATTTGTAGCTTCCATGCTTTGCACCAGCTTTGGAAATCATTGAGTGATGTTTGCATACGATCTTTTAAATTTGTAATCGTATTTGATGACGATCATAGGGCGGTGTCATCAGCAAAGAGACCATACTCCGTATGTTTTTGTATAGCGTTGATAGAGTCAGTTGTGTAGATGATGTAGAGTAGTAGAGACAGTAATGAACCTTGAGGAGTGCCACTTTTCAAGCTGAAAGACTTTGATAGTACATTTTCTAATTCAATTGTAGCTGTATGATGATCAAGAAATAAAATGATAAATCGAATAAAATATTATGGAAGTCGAAGATTGCGAAGTTTGTAAATAAGTCGATCAAACCATACAGAATCGAAAGCAGCTTTAATGCCTGAAGAAGATAACTGCTGAATGCCTTCGTTGTTTCGACTGTTCATGTGCATATCTTTCTAGGCGTAAGACGTTATACATAGTGCTCGTGTTAGCTCTGAACCCTGCTTGGTGTTTAGGAAGAATGTTTCTTTTGTGCAGGTTCTCAGTAATTTTTTCTTTTTTGATCTTTTCAAGTAGTTTTCCCACGCTACTGAGCAAGCTGATTGGTCAATAGCTTGATGGTAGTTTTTTGTCTTTCTTGGATTTAAGTAATAAAATGATGTTGGCATTCTTCCATGCCTTTAGAATATGACCTACGTTCAATATTGCGTTGAAAATTGTACCTAGAACGTTGACCAATTATGCTGTATAGTTTTTAAGCATTCCATTATGAATATTATCAGGCCCCAGTGAACTGTTTGGTAGTTGTTTAAGTAACATTTTCATTTCTTTGGCGGTTACAGGCGGAAATGTTGTTGTGTTTTTGATTTCTTCAAATTGCTTTTGATTTGATTATGAAAAGAAAGATTGTCTGGTATTTCGACAAAGATTTCTTTTTCAAAGTATGATGCGAAGAGATCGGCGTTTTCATGATCAGAGTAGGCGATTGTATTTTGATACGTCAGCTCCCCCAACTATGATTCCTTGAGCCTTTTATTGTGATATTTGTGAACTGTTGTCCATACTTTGGATGAGTCCATCTTAGCATTGCTTAACGACGACATCAGTTTTTTGAATCTGGTTGTGCGATCATTACGAAGCGCATTGTTAGAAGCACTTTGAAATCGTAGTATTTCTTTTTTGTTACTGTCAAATTTGTTTTTCTTCCATTTTCTATAAGCTCGATGCTTGTTTTCTATCAGAGCTTTCGTCTTTTTGGAGATTTCGAAGTTGTTCATGATTTGATTTACTACTCGTATTGCTAATCTTCCTGCAGAAACAATACAGTTGGTGACCATTGTTGTAAAAGATTCAATTTGTTGAATTGTGGTAATTGTTTGAGCAAGATCTATTTTGCTTAAAAGATTATTTAGATGTTTTATGTACAATTGCCAGTTGGCCGACTGGGAATTGAGTGATAGACGTGGTGATAAAGGTTTAGGATCTGCATCCAAGTTTAGAGAGAATGTTAGTGACTTGTGATCTTCTTTTTTACCCAGAGGATCTTGGGTTGATAGATCGTTGATTGAAAGTATCGTGGGGTGACTTGCTCAGATCCAGTCGAGGTTTTCTTCATAGTTGCTTCGTATATGTGGTGAGTGTACTATCAGCACATTGCAGATATCCTTCGTCAAGTAATTTTCCTAGTTGTCGACCTTTGGAATTGGTTCTGTTGGACCCCATTAGTTGAAGTGACGCATTAAGATCCCCAAGGATTAGACGGTCATTGTTTAATTGATACAGTTCTTCAAAAACTTCGTTAACTAGTTGTGCGGCTGGTGGAATGTATATTGATGCAATTAATAAATATCCACTTGATGTACGTAATTGTATTGCGATGATTTCGTTGTCGTTCGCTGTTTTATTTACTTTTTCACAACATTTGATATTCTTCCGGATTGCCAGAAGTACTCCTTATTCTCTTCAGTCAGGTCTGTCGTTTCGAAAAATATTGAAACCTGGAAGCGAAAAATTATGATGTGGTTCAAATTTGTTTCATTGATTGATATAATGTCATAATTATGAAAACGTGCGTATATTTCATTTCTATGTTTAGTGGTTGATGTGACGTTGTAGTGAATGATTTTAAGCATTTTGTTTGATGAAATCGATTTCTAAGCTTTTATCGCAACTATTGTTTCTTTTTTGTTTAGGTGGTTTTGTTTTGTTGGAGTCAGTCGGACTATTTGTCGACGAATTTTTGCGTTTTGATCCTCGCTGATTGTTGTTTTTGGTTGCGAGTTTTTCGAATTGCGGACTATTGATCTGCTGATGATTTTTATTGTCGTCATCTTCTGCTAGACAGTTTGCTTCACTCTATGTAGTTGCATTTTTTCTTTAAAAACATCATTTATTTGTATATGCATATTTGATGAGTAATTTAGATCTATCTTCGTTATCATTAATATTAGGTGCTGTCGGAGGTAGTTTTGATATTGTTGTTTTATAACGGTCTATTGTTTGCTGGACTCATTGTTGTTGTTGTTTGTATATTGAATATTCTTTAAATGTTGCCACATGTTCTCTCTTACCGTTACTACAGCACGGTGCTTGATGTAAATTAAAGCATTGTTCTGTCGCGTATTTATCTCCAGATCTTGCGCATATACTGCTTGGAGCATTGCAATGTTTAGCAACATGTCCAAATCTCATACATTTAAATCATTGTGTTGGATTACTGATTTGGATGGCTTTTTCTGCAAAAAAAGTGCATTGCGTCTATTTGTAGACCAATTTTCATGAATGTGTTTCTGTTCTGCGCATCACTGAATGTTGTGTTGACAGCTTTTAAGGGCCATTTTGCACTGTTATACAGACGATTGACGGATTGAAATTCGAATTTTTTGTTTGATAAAGCTTCTTTAATTTCGTCTTCAGTTATCTCCAGGTCGATTCGGCTGACGAAAGCGATTTATCAACTTCTAACACACATTGTATTAATCGCAGTATATATATTACTGTTGGTTGATGTTCGTTTTCGTTTAGATATGTGCTGAGGTTGTTTAAGAGAAAATTAAATGACTTGATGTCAATAGCAAGAATTGTAAATGTACCAGAACGATTGATTGGAATATCTGATATTTTAACATCAGCAAAGTCTCTTTTTAAAATATTATTTAAATCGACTTTTGGCATTGATTTTGTACCCTCCCATATTAGTGGTGATATCGTAAACAATTTGATTGGCTGTTATTCAAGCTGTTTGTATGTTATTCCGAAAAGCACGGGAAATCGCTGAAAAGTGGAAGCCGTATTCCGGCCGGAAATTACCGAAATTTTTTTGCTATGTATTCCGGTCAGTTTCTTGTGCTTTCCGGCTGGATGATAATCAGAATACACCGGAAAGAAATCCGTCAATTTCTGACCGGAATACTGTTTCCACTTTCCACCGCTTTCTCGGGCTCTCCGGCCAGGTACAGTGATTTCTCCACATCTTTCCTGGCGGCTCCTACGGGATCCGCCCTTCGGAATCATTGACCTGGGTTGAGGAGCCAGTTAGTTCTCCTCAACCACAATTTCCACCACCACCACCACGACTTCTACCCCATTTAGGAGGCATTGTGCTTGGTGTTGAATTCACCAAATTAAATTAAATTGATTTAATTCCTATGTGTTGTTGTTTATTTATTTATTACAATTTCTACCGATGACTCATTTCAAAGATAGTCGGGATATATTATGTATGCAGGATGAAAAGAGAGCAGAACACGTCTTATCGATATGCAAGAAAGTGCTCGAATGAGATAGTTGTATTTAGAATCACGAAAGTTCACAAAACAGGAAGAAATTTCCTATTCCTTCGATAAAAATCTTCATTCTCAGTCAGCAATCTTTTGTGCTTGTGCCGAGTTATATGCACATATCTCATTTTAACTGTGTAGCTATATATCGCACAACGAAGATATAATTCAGGCCACCGTGATGTATGATTCACGAAAAGCGATTATTTCGTGTTTGCCTTACAATTAAAAAATAATTGTATGAAGATAAAACACTATTCTTTTCGATGAAATATTCATCAAAAATAATAAATAGAGTCATGCATTTTACGCTGTTCATTTTTCCCATTATAGATTAATTATCAAGTATGAATAAAGTTGACTATGAATAATTATTATCAGATCTATCGTACACAAACAAGAATCTTATCAAAACTAAATCGTGACAATTTAAATTTTTCTCTCGCAGGTGCCAGTAGAAAAATCTTGTCAATGTGACTTTGAAAATTTTAGATTTTATGAATGAAAAATAAATTCTCTGAACAAGTTGTATTGACAGAGTGTCAGCGAAAAAAACATTATCCAAACATAAAATGACCATACAGTTACCCGTAAAAACATAGACTGATATTTTATCTTTGATAGTAATTGCATTGAAAAGATATTAGTCATGTGTGGGAAGAAGGTCAGGTAAATAAGAAAAAGAATGCGTAATTAATGATTAAATACTGAAATATTAATTATAGAACATATCGTGAGTAACATTCTCTATGAATAACTTAATCCACTCATGCAAGTCAACAAGTATACGATTACTCATTTATGTGAAGGTGGTACGTATGTAGGCAATATATCGCTTCTTCTTTTTCGCATATAAAATAAGTTACATTTTACAGTTCTTTTTTAATTCCTAGCTAAAACTACTATCAATTCTATTACATACAACAAAATTCGAAAAAACAAATGGGTAATCGAGCAGCTCGTCGTCGACAACCGAACTCAGTCCTTTTACCTTCCGCTTCTATGGCCTACGGTCCAAATCCAGGTTATCATCCTCATGGTTATCGACCAGTTTGTCATCGTCGTCCAGAATATTATTCTGGTGCATATCCTGGATATCCACCAATGCAACGCTACTACTAAGAACAACTTATGTAAACGATAAGGCAAAATAGACTGTTTACTTAAACATATTCTCTTATCACTGTTTACTGTTTATTTAATTTTATGAAGGAAATGGTGTCTTATTATTTCCTTAGTCATAACCTTTTCCGTTATAAATAAATGATCTTTTTGTAATTTATGATTCATGATGTCCCATAGGCTTATCGTTCGTTGGGACCAACTGCTGTTCGAATAATTTCTTTCCATTTCCTTCGATCTTGCGTAAGGTGAAACAGATCTTGTCCACTGTGACCAAACCATTCTATTATATCGTCCGTCCGCTCTCTGCATGGACGTCCTCTTCGTGTTTTTCCGTTGATTCTTGCGAATACGGTGTGTTTTATTAGCCTGTTATCGTTCATTCGACAGATATGGCCGAACAACCGCAGCTTTCTTCTCTTGATGCTATCTATGATGGTCTCTTGTCTTGCTATCTGTTTCCTTATGTTTGTATTTCTTATCATATCTTTCCAGCTGATTCGTAGTATTCTTCGATAGCATTTCATTTCGAACGCCAATAGTTTGTTTCGATCGATTTCCTTCAGTGTCCATGTCTCTGATCCGTATAATAATACACTGAAGACACAAGTAGTTAGGACCCTTATTTAGTTTTCTATTTTTATTTTCTTGCTATTCCAAATACTTTTTAGTGCAGTCATTACTCCTATTGCTTTGTCTATTCATTTCCTGACTTCATCAGTACAGTTGTTGTCCCATGTGATTAGACTACCAAGATACTCGAACTGTTCTACATTTTCTCTTGTGGTTTCTGCTATTTGAACATGTTTTTCAATGTTTCTGTCGCCGAATACCAGTGTTTTTGTTTTCTTTGTATTCATGATTAGTGCTGCTTCTTCCGCTGCAACTCTTATTTGTTCTGTTTGTTGATGTAGTAATTCGCAGTCTTCTTCTAGGACATCAATGTCATCAGCGAACCGTAGGTTATTCACTAGTGTTCTACTGATATTTATTCCATCATTGGTCTGCATTACCTTGTCCATTACTAGTTCGTGATATGTGATGAACAGTAGTGGTGACAGAGGATCTCCTTGTCTGCTTCCAACACTGGTTTGAAACCATTCTCCTGTTTCTTTCTCCACTTGTACTGCTGATTGAGCTTTTTCATATATATTCTGTAGTAGTATAATCATTTTGTTCTCACTCCGTATGACTTGAGAACAGTCCATATGATTTTATGTTTGATTGTGTCGAAGGCTTTTTGGAAGTCGATGAAACAGTTGTATATCTTTTTTCCTTGTCTTTTTGCTTTTTCTGAAAGCAGCCTGAGTATTAGAATTTAGTGTACTGTACTTCTGTCTTGTCTGAATCCTGCTTGTTCTTCCGACAAGTATGGGCCCAGATACCGCTTGAGTCTGTTTAACAGTACTGTCAGTAGGATTTTACCTGTATGGTTTATGAGTGAGATTGTTCGGTAGTTTGCGTCTGCTAGATCGAGGGTTTGTTCAGAGACCCAGGGCTTTTTGGCTCTCTTTGCAGTAGCTACAGTTGCCTGTAATGCCTCTTTTATTGCATCCTCGACCTTCGCTGGATGTTCTTCTAGGTTGTAATCGGAATCTATATCTTGAAGCCTGCTGTCTAGTCTAGCTTGGCAGGCTTCTCTAGTTTTCTGATTCTTGTTGAGTTGATTTACGTTAGGTCTGCGATTCTGTTGCGGCTTGATGCATCGCCTTTTGAGTCTCAACTTGATGTTGTATAGCACTAGGAAATGATCTGAGCTGATATCAGCACTTTGAAATGTTCGAAAATTCGTGACTGATGATTTCCATCTCATTTGAATCAGCACTAGATCAATCATATTATTGTCCACGCCATCTGGTGATGTCTGGTTTCTATTTACTTTCTGTTGAAATCGTGTATTACAAATATATAGACTGTGTAGTGCTGCGAACTCTGTGAGTCGATCGCCTCGTTCATTTCTGTCACTATATCCATATTTACCCATGACCAACTCCCAATTTGTATTCTCGCTGCCAAATTTTGCGTTCCAATCACCAGTTACGATTACTATATCCTTTTTAGGCGTTTGTGTTAGTGCATGTTCGATGCTATCATAGAATAGTTCGATTTCATCGTCTAATGATGCTGGTGTTGGCGCATACACCTGTATTACGGTGAGCTTGAATGGTGTTGTATGGAATCTAGCCGTGATTACTCGTGAACTAATCGGATTGTATCCTATTAGTGTATGTTTTGCTCTTGCACTTAGTAACATTCCTACACCTCTGTTGTGTGTAGTATCTTCTCCTGGCAAAATGAAGCCACCACCTGATATTTCTCCTTTTCCTGTCCAACGTACTTCAGAGATGCCAATTACATCGAACCTGAAACGTTTTATTTCATTTCTTAGCAGTTCTAGTTTTCCTGTTACCCATAACGTTTGAACGTTCCAGGTACCCATTGTAAGTGTGTCTTTCATTATCTTCCATCGTTGTTTATCAATTTTGACCTTTGACGTTACTGCTGCTGTTGTTCCTATCTTTCCAGTATCCAATTTTTCGACTCTGACCTGGTTACTCGGCAGAGGACGTGGGTCTTGTTCACTCGGGCGACGTCCGAGTCGGTATGATTTTCAATTATCACCGTTCGTGGTTGGTTTCTTTCGTCTTTTCTTTTTGACAATCGGCGGTATCTGCATTCCTGCCGCTAACGCTCCTCCTTTTTCCGGACTTGCGATCGGCATAGAAATCGCTGAACTGCGACCTCCATGATGGAGTTGTTTTTTTATAATTACTATTATATAAATCGTATCACACATTGAGAAAGCGAGTAATTGGTGTGCAAATTTCAGTTTTGACATAGCGATCTATCATCCGATAAATTATTATGAGACCAGAACAATAAGAAAAAGACTTACATTTAGAATTTTTTCTGAAACATTTAATTGATACTCTTATTAAATAATTATTAGACACTCATGAGCATATCTACAACGACGAGGATTCATTTCTTGAAGTGTATATTATTTTCAACGGAAATCAACTGTTAGCTGTAGAGTGTCACAACGATCCATTTTACTCGGAGATTGATTATTCCGAGTAAGACAAGTTTCATTTTTTTTAAGTTTTCAACAGCACTCATACATTATTCAATATATTTATAGGCTAAATATCTAGTAAAAATTGTTCAATTTATTAATTGTTTTTGAAGTGTTTCATTCTTGGTTAGAAATTTTCGGATAAAATAAAATGAATGATAGCGTATCGTATTGAAATGTCTGATTGTCATGATGTACCGTTTTGAATTATATACTCTAAGTCGACATGGAACTCTGTGCGTCGAGTAGTTCCTTTGTTTTAACTTAACATAATCTGATATTGAGAAAAGTATTTTTAATTATGAATATACAGGATCTATTGCAGGACTTTTTTTTTCGGCAAGTACATTGTCGAAATGATCAGCAACTAACGCCATCATTTAAAGGGGAAAACATAGAATGGCACAATCCAAACGCGAATCCCATCGACACTGTGAGTTGACAAGTAATCAAGAACGATTATATTGATATCAATATTTTTCTCTATCACTCATAATGGATAAGATTGCAAATCCTTATCTAATTATGCTTGAGCGACTTCAAGCTCTTGATCAATCTATTTATATTCTCAATTTAGTTAACAGTGATCTTCGACAGATTCTTCAAAAACAGTATATGGAATAAATTCATCTTTTATTCTTGTTTAAATTTAAAAAAATTTAGAAAACCTTTACCACAATTCATTCATGATTCATTCAAACGATCAACAACACTTAAATCGAAAATTGCTTCTGCGATCCCTCCTCTTCCACCGCTACCAATGGGTACAAAAAGAAATTAGACTATTATTGATTAATTAAATGCCTATTATAATTTAGAAAGTGAAGAAATACTCCTAGCTGCTAGTATTATTGACAAAGCTAAACGTACAATAGAAGTAAGTTAAGTTAGGCAAAAATAAATATTCTTTTCTTTATTAACCTTTGTTTTCTGTTCAATAGAATGTGAGTGAAAAGAAGACCAAACTGCCTTCGACTGGAATAACAACAGCAACACTCAATCAACCAAACGCTACTCAAACTAACCGTCCAAAAACATCTTCAACAATACGTCCATCTTCTGCAAGTTCAACTATTCCACCAGAATCGGATTCGTCTTTGTCTCAACAACAAAATCAGCAGCAACAACCCATTCGTCGTTATGTACCAGCTCATATGAAAGCACCATTTTTAACTCAAGCAGAAAAAAAACGACGACCAAATTCATCGACACGTTCTAGTAGTCAAGCTAATGTGAATAAAAATACAAGTGCAACAGTTCGCTCTGACAGTCAACAACGACAACAATCCTCATCAGTATCGTCAACTAGACAGGCGGCTGTGAAACTGTCTCAACATGTTGAATCGATGTCATCGATTCATGCAATGCAATATGAGAAAAATTCAATAAAAGATAATCGAAGTATGAATGAAATGAATGATGAAAAAGCAATGCCAGATCAAGAATCTACTGCGATAAGTACAGAGGAACCTATATATGTTTCAAATGAAACGAATCAGATAGATACAATACCTATTCTACAACCAATCATGCTCGATCAAGCACTAATTAAACCATTACGTCGTTTATGGAAACAAAATCAAAATCTTCGTACAAAATTAGAGTTTGAACTTAATAAAAAATCACCGTCACTATCATCATCATCATCGCCTGTGTTTATTGATCGTTTAAATGAAAAAGTAATATTATTTAAATAAATTTATGTTTTATATTAGAGTTTGCTTTTCTAGATTCATTCATCATCCACCAAAGACGCAATAATTGTACCAAATATTGAAGTACTACTTCAGTTAGCCACTAAAATTCGTATTATTGTACTTTATCTCCTTGAAAAATGTATGTTGCTTTTGAAGTAAAGCCATTGATTCACATATATTTTTGTAGCAACTTTCAATGATCTTGATGGTGCATTAAAACGTTTGAATACATTGAAATATCTTGTTAATCAATATTTTCATTTGTTTACGTCGAATATTAATGTTTTTGTTACTGTAAGGAATTTTTATTTTTTTATTTTTCTAATAGTAAAATTTTTTACTCATTTTAGAAATATGATTATCATCCTTCGAATATCAATACCAATGTCGATGGTAATATTCTTTTGGCTGAAATATTTTCTTTTCCTGACATTTTAATTGTTTTTAATTTTAGAATGGTCAAATAAACCTATGTCTCGGCCATTAAATCGTAAAATTATACGCTATACTGATGATACTCAATTAATCGCTTTTACAGAAGTACGTTTCAAACAATTTGAAAATGAATGTCGATGGATCGAATTGAATTGGCATGAACGAATAATAATAGAATTTAAACAATCATTATCAAATACAAATCTAAATCTAAATCCTCTTCAACTCTATAGAGAATTAATGTGTCTAGTTACCGGTTTGCAAACTTCTACTCCAATTGTTGTTGAAAATAAATATGAATGATAATAAGAATATGATTAAAATTTTTCCAGTATTTTTTTTTATTGTGTTCTAAGTTTTCTTTTGTGTATAAAACATGATTAGATTGAATTTTTAGATAAATTCTCTTCTGTTTTCAACATTCCATTGAATGTCGACGACATGGCAAGTTTTACTTGCACTTGATGCCCGCTATAATGCTCATCGAACACCAAATAATCTTCAATTCAGTATGTGATCATTTTGTCAACGATGATTTCCTTCTAGTATTACTTTTACATCTAGAAACACTTTACATTCGAAGGCGAAGTCAGTTGTTACGTGATAATCATCCAACTGAAGTAAGTAAGCTGTGTTTAAGTTGATTTTGTGTTTTAATATTTATATGATACAACATGCAAGAAAAGAAATTTGAAGAACGACTTTGAATGTTGCTCTTCAACATGTTAAACGTCTAGCTTACAACTAGTTAGTAATTTTCCTTGCCAATAGAATCTTCTATCTAATGTATTCCATATCAATATTTTGTAGATGAATTATGAGGACAAGGTTTAAAAGAAAACAACTCGAAAAAGTAGTATTGAAGTTTCAAAAACCATTCTGTTGAAACTATTTTTCAAGAACAATATTCCTTTGAACAGAACAAAATTCTTTCTACAGTCACCGGTCACTGTTTTTACTACAGTAGGTCTTACGAATTTGCATAGAATCATAAAAATTGTAGAAAACTGCTTTTCTCAGCTTCTCTAATGATGTTAACTTTCTAACTGGGTGACGATTCGATCTATATTTCCTCTATTTTCAAAAACGTCCTATTTTTGTCCTATATTTTAATGAAAATTCCTATTTTTCCTATATTTTATCGAAGAAAGTAGAAAATTTCCAAAAACCTCTTAATTTTGCTATTGCCTTTAGACGAAAAGAAAACTTTTAATGTGTATAATCATGTGTTTTGGACAAATTCTGGTATTATAGTGACATTTGTTTTAAACAATATTTTTCCTTTCGCCTATTTAGTGGGCTGATTGAGAAATTGTTTAATACTAAGTACAAAATACAAAATAGTTTAAAAGGAAAAAACATTCACAAATGATCATGTACTAGTTTCGGGTTTTTAGTGAAGTTTTAGTTAGATATAAAAGCTGTATATATATATACCCCTGGAAAAAATAAGTTTCACTCTGTATTTTGAGGATACTGTTACCAAAAGAACATATTTTTTAAAAGTAACGACATCTTCTGAATGCTCGTGAAATTTTACACTATCCTGTGTATATGCATTTTTATTTACACTTATTTATTACCAGAAAAAATTGAGTTATGATAAAATACAAAATAAACGTGTGGAAAATAATAAGCAATGAATGCTGATTATCAGGACAATAAAATTAGGTTGAGATTTTTTGAGAAGCCGCGTCCGTAATCTGAAACGCCTCCTTTAATTATGAGAAATAGTATTTGTCTTTTTCATGTATTTATTTTTTCAAAGCTTATGATCTACTTTATTGTTATTTATCGATTTGTGAAAAACTTTTATAATGATCCTCGAATTAGCGACTTATTTCAGTAGAAAAAATTAATCAAGGATCTTGACTACGGTTGAACTGCTTATAACAACTTCATTAAAACGATTTTCGATCAGAGCAGTTAAAAAACTATGTATGAAACATTGTATATTTTTGACAACCTTGATCCTCTAAGGATTCCTATAGTTTTTAAAAAGTGCAATCGGAGGCCAGCTTTCTACAGGAAAATATGATCGCGCATGACTTTTCGAAGAATTTTATTCGTTTAAAAAAACGACTACTGTAAAAGGATAGCTTTGATAGAATGATATGGAAATCAAAAATCATCCTCTGAGCCTCCGCTTTAGATATATTGCGTTCATAGTTTACCTTGACAGCTTTGGCGTATAATGTATTGCGTAGGAAACTCTATTGGTGATTATATTCATCACTTGTATTTTAATTAATTGTTTAATTATTTTATACTTTTATGAATCTTATCTGTAGAATGACGTCAATATTCGCAAGCAATATTTGAGATTACGCTCAAGCCTTCTAGCATCTAGATATGGAGCAAATCTAGTCGATAGCAGGTAAAATATATGAGTGAAAATGTGACAACTATTAAATAAAATATTTGTTCAGGTCAATTGGTAGTCATGCTAGTCGAATGAATTCAATATCTGAAGTGAATATAGTCAAATTTTTGTATTCGATGAAACTGTTTTTCTTTTTTGATTTTGCTTAAAGAGTGCTGATTCATTTGCTGATTGGACTCGAAGAAATACAACATTAGCAGTCAATCAAATATTAATTGATGATATTCCAGAAACAAATTTGACTACATTTTCAACATCATCACTGTCAAATGTTTCAATGGCTAGCAGGTGAAGAGAAACATGATAAATTTTTTTTAAACTTCCTTTTCATTTAACAGAGCACTTGCAATGGGTAGATCGTTAGAAGAAACCTATGCATTCTCCGGTGTTCATCATATATTTGACCATCATAAGGGATCAGGTATAATTTAAATTTTATACAAAAGAATTCAATTGATTCATTCATTTTAAACGTCGTATTTAGTAACTCGAGTACAATTTGCACCGAATGATCGAAGTCTATTAGCAACATGTGGTCGAGATGGCATTCTTGCTATATGTCAAGTTCTTCCAACACCAGCAACAATTATCTATCGATTAAAAGGCCATACGGCTGCAATAAATGGTTTGTATAGGACTTTTGGAATATTTGTAACAACCGAGATTACAAGTATTTCAACTTATATAGATATGCAATGGTCATCAATAAATGATTTATTAGTAACTGCTAGTAGTGATTCAAGTATACGTATATGGCAAATATCCAACGGCAAATGTATGCGTGTTATTGAAAGCAAAGATGGTGTCGAAAATCTATGTTGTTGTTTTCATCCATCAAACAATAATTTTATTGCCGTGGGAAATAATCAAGGAATATTACAAATATTTAACGTATCCACTGGAAAGGCGCTTAAAGTAGGCATCTTTGGTTTTTTCATTTTTTAATCTATATAGGCAACATAAATTATTGTTTTGTTAGAATTGTGTAATTAAATGTTATGGTCGCTCAATGTGCGTAGCATTTGATGAAACCGGTTCAATCTTATGGACAGGGGATAGTCGTGGAAATATTTTAGCGGCTACATTTGACATGACAACAGGAAAGCTACATAGTTGTAAACGGTATATATTGTTAAACTTATCAACAAGTTATAAGTTGAATTTTGTTTTTCAATGTTCTAGGGTATTTTCAAATAGTAATGGTTCAGTGACTAGTCTTTCCTTTCGATACCGTTCAACACGTGATGGACGTGAAGGATATGTTTTGGCTAATGTTATTCCTAATTTGCTCTTCCTATTCAAGTAGGTTTCATCAGGATCAACATTTTCTTTTCGAATAAACAATAATCAAACAATTATCAGCGTTTTCAAAAACAAAAAATAGTGTTCTATTCATTTACTGGGATTTTCATATTTTTAAGGCTTATGAGTTCGTTTGGTTCGAGAAGGAATTTTATTAGTCAACAAAATTACAAAACTAAATAATATTTTCTTCGTCTATTTTATTGAAAAACTGCTTATATTGCAGAATAATTTTGTGAAAGATGTAACATTAGAAATATATTTAATCGACTACGAATTAGTTTCAAACATTTGTTATGTTGCTTTCGAAAATAACTATGACACGCTCTAAGAAACTAATGATAGTTTTAATAGACGAAGTGTTTCCTAAGCCACTCGATCAAATTAGAATTTTCATCAAACTTCAAAAAATCTGAAGTATCCTAAATCCAATACTTCATGACATAAAACACTAATTGGAAATTTTCTTTGAATCATGCACAGCAAGTGATTCTCTAGAAAATGGAAGTTCTATATAGCTTTCATCATATTTCTTAACAAAACAACATCAGTTTTGAAAAGACAGCAGGAAATAGTTTTTTGTTTCGAATTTGGTTCAAATGAAATTCTTTAGCCTAATTATCATTACAAATAAAAACAGAAATTATATCTGTTAATTCAATTTTTTGAATCACTGCAAATATTAATTAAAATAGTAAAAATCACTTAAGCTTATTCGTTTTTTTATGCTACTTAGTTTTTACCTTTTTGTAGAGTTGTTGGCGCAAGTGGAAAATTGATTGTTCGAAAACGTTTCCCAATACGTCAGAAATCCTTATCGCTGCATAGTTCATTTTGTCCAATTGTTTCTCAACGTCAGGGTTTTTGTGTTGTTAGTGGAAGTGAAGATATGTGCGGTAAGAATGATATTTTTTTTCTCAAAAGTTATCCTATTTATATATTAATAAAAATTCAAAATCTCGTTTTTTTAGTCTATCTTTATGATGTTGATCGAGAAGTTCGTACATTAATCAACAAACTACAAGGACATTGTTCAGTTGTATTTGATGCTTCGTTTAATACCGATGAAAGTTTACTAGCATCGTGTGATCAGCAAGGACTAGTTATTGTTTGGCAGCGTGATAGTAGATAATAATTTTTCTTTTTTTAAAGTACCGACATATTTCTCTCAATTGTGTTTGTAAATATTTAATATTTATTGATAAAATTAAATCAATTCTTGTTTTCAGATGAATCCATCAAAAAGATTCAAAAATGAAAATAGTAATAAAGATAGTGATGATGATATTATCATAATTGAATCAACAAAAGCATCAGTCATTCATGAATATTGTCAACATATTGATAACATAACAGGTGAATCGTGCAAAGAATATTATGCAATTGTATGCATTCATTGTAATCTTTATTTATGTTATATACACGTTGAAATACATCGGGTATTATTAATCAATGAACGAGACAAGCTAGTAAATGAATTGAATGAACGTATTGAAGAAATAAATCAATTAATTGAAAATCCAGATAGAATACAACAATTATTAATAGAACAAATGGAAAATAGAAAGAAAACGAAAGTTTCTTTTATTCATCAATTAAGTTTAGAAAAGTTAATCAATATAAGCAAAATAATCAACGACTTAAAACAATTATTTGAACCCATTCGAATTGTTCTCCAAAAAACTCGATGTGTTAGTTCAATTCAAATTAAAAAAATTCAAGAAAGTTTTCTCAAATTCGATGAAAATAAAAAGGTAAAAAGATTAGACACAAGAAATGAACATATTTATTTCTGAAGCTTCTCGTTATGTTTAACAGATATTAATCAATAATATAGTAGACTCAATTACTATTAAACAACATCACTCGGTTAATCTGTTTCAGTTATCAAATCTTGATAGACCTTGTCGACAATATGAATTACCTGTACACCATTCTGTACATAATGAAATGGCAGCCAGTGAAGATGTGCTTGTTATAAACGATCGGGAACATGTTCTGTTATTTAATTTAACAAATTGCTTCGATGATACTTTAATCCCAGAATTAATTGAATGGAAAAATTGTGTTGATGGAAAAATTATCGATATACAATATAGTTTGTATCTGAAATTATTTTTCATTTTAACTGATGAAAAATTATTTTCATTGAATCGTTTATCATCATTGGTTTGTCTGTATCGTTTTGCATCTCTTCCATGGTCATGCACAATAGTGTTAAATTCAATTTATATTTTATATAAATATTCCACAATCATTGAACAATGGACATTTCAACAAACATCAGCAATACAACTAGTCAAACAATGGAAACTAAATGAAATTCTAACAGAATCCGAACATGATCGACATTTGAAATGTATTAGAAGTAATCCTAGTCAAAGTCAGCTGGCGATTTTAATTGTAAGTTATTCAAGAAGACGGGTGAAGTATAGTAAAGATAATATTTTAATAATGAGTATAAACTATTTAAAAAAGGAATTATCCTATTTAGTATAGCACAAAATCTCTCTTATATCGTTTGCAAAACAAAAATGATTTCAATTCATAATGTTTCATGAATTCTATGTAATTTAGTACACATCTACTAAATCTTAGATCCTAGTAGACATCAATAGTGATTTTTCATTTCAAAAATTGCAGGATAAACTGCTTCAAATTATGAATGTCAAATAATTTAACACATTGACTGTGGAGATTTTTTCTAAAGATGAAATATAATTTAAATTTCTCAAAAAAAATCTAAAATCAGATATTTCCGTGTAAGAACAACAGTGTATTACGTTAGACTTACATCAGAATCATACATTACAGTATTTTCAAGATCAACGGAATGTTCTCATAGCCTTAATGAATCGTCTGCATTTATGAGTAGTCTTATGGCTCCATAATATACTAAATAGCCTGTTTTCCATGCAATAGATACATTCATTTTTTCACCATCTAATATCCATAATCCATTAACTAAAATTTACACCGTAACAAGATATATGAAAATTGTAGTGTTATTAAAATTTTAGATTTTATTGGATAGAACAATGAAGATTCGGGAAGAATAGAAGGTCTTGATAGCACACTCATTCAAAATGATCATTTTCAGGAGAGCGGCTCACGTTCCTAGAAAATTTGCCACTCTTAATAAAATGTTCTTATTTGTGGATGATAAGCTTTTCGTTTTGGAAGATTATTCTTACCAAGAATCACTACGACATTATTCCAGTAATGCATTCAGCATTTGAGAAGACACTCATTAGACATTTTTATAGCCTCCTCAAAAATTGTTCTCCTTTTACAGATTTGACAACAATAGTAAATAATTCATTGATGTTAAACTCTAGCATATTGTCAGATGATAATGATATTATTAAAACTTTTTAAAAAGGTTAAATAGTGTTCGATATATGATTCTGACTTCAACTATATTCATATAAGAACAACGTTTGATTTAGGCTGGTTACTATCATTCATTGTTACCTTATTTAAAACAAATGAAATATGTTTTTTTCTAGAAATCTTTTGCTGAAAATTAGCCAAAAGATAGGTCATTTTATCTGAAAAGACTATATTGTATATTTACTCACACTGAATGTTCATTCTGTAGTAGAACCACAGCTTTACTAATAATAGAAAATTTCTAACATGATAATACTTCCAGGATTTTATGTAGCTTGACGGATAGATATTTCATCACATTTTGAACGTAAAAAAAAAGAATCAATCATCTGTGAATTCTTATTGGTCTCTAGATTAAGATTTTCTTCTTTTAGGAAGATGATGAATGTCGTTGGCGAATAGCATTATTTGATCATGATATGAATTATTTACAGCAAACTAATATGCTTCCTAATGCTTCAACAATAGATTGGAGTCTTATTTTTTCATTCATTTCCGATCAACAATTAATAGTTATGGATACAACAACAGAAACTATTTATTTAATCACAATTAATGAAAGTACGTCAACCATCAACTATCAACAGTATTCAAATTCAGACTATCCAGCAAATGCATGTAGGATAACAAACAATGACTGTAGTCAATTAATTCTTAAAATGGTCAAACCAAATATGCTCAAATTTTTTCAGATTTAATAAAAGATTTTCTATTTTGTATTTAATTGATTTTTGTACTAAGATCGTTGTATTTTCACTGTTTAATACTTAAAATCAAATTTGTCGATATTTTTAATATTTATGTAGCCATTATGAAGATAAATCTGCTGAAATAAACGGTGATAATGAATAGGAACGAAGAATATCGTTGAAATCAAATTAATTTATAAGAAAAAAAGAAAAAATAATAAATGGTAAAAAAATTTACAGATATTTTCTATATGTAGTTTATTTTGGATTATATACAACTATTCTGCAGAAATGAAGACGATTGATGTTACTGTCGGTAATTTAGATAAAAAATATAAACAAGAAGTTTTCTTTTTAGGACAACATGTCGTGACCAAATACTATTATCCATTCCAGAAGTCAAGGCAGTCGGTTGTTTTTTGAATAACGTTTGATAGGAACAAGATAGAGACCTGCGTTTTTCACTGTTTGATAGCCAAGACCCAGATACATATTTCCACAAGCAAAATATTTTCTAAGGAAAAATGTGAAGACCAGTTTTTCAGAGGATCACTGGAAAATCACTCTGGATTTCTGGTAACTGTTATAGAAGTCTTTAGATTTTCTTACACATTCGGAATCAGCATTAAAAGCTGAGCCGACCAATACATATTTCGAATCTTTCACGAACTTTTGTTTTCGTCGAGAAATTCACTCCTGTGGTCTCGCTCAGGGGCCCGTCAAAAAGTGAACTCTATCAAAATTCCATTTGAACAGTAGGAAGCAGGTTCCAAGTTTGTAGAATACTGTTAGAAACCAAAATGGTAAATGAATAATCAACAAAAACAGCATTTTGATGGAATTTACTTTTTGACGGACCCCTGAGCGAGACCACAGGGGTGAATTTCTCGACGAAAACAAGTTCGTGAAAGAGTCGAAATATGTATTAGTCGGCTCAGCTTGTAAGGCNTTGCTTATGAACATATGCGTCTGGGTCTTGGCATTGAAACAGTGAAAAACTCAGGTCTCTATCTTGTTCCTATCAAACGTTATTCAAAAAACAACCGACTGCCTTGACTTCTGGAACGGATAATAGTTTAAACACAAACAACTTCGTTCGGATGCATGCAATATCATTAGCATATGTAATTGACTCATCATTGGTCGATTCAAAGTGGCTATCAATTTTCTTTCTTTTTTTAATGCAACTTTTCTCGTCATAATCTCTGTGTTGGCAGACTTAAAAAGCAACTGAATGCCTCGATCGATAAAAAAACAAAATTTATCGACTGCATCCAAACCAATAGATGGAATTATTATGAAGAAGAACTAGTCGTTTATTTACATCTACCTTCTGCTGCATACACAGATGAGGACAAGATGTTTTCCATATAACTTCAATGCATGATTTAAACGATTATTTTCTCTGAAATCTTAATCATGACTAAATAATGTCGTAAATCTTTTGATCCGAATTCTATAGTGTTTCATTGATTTTCAGAATGATTTACTTGCAATGAGATTCTACCTTTATATAATCGTGAAGATAGAGCGTGATACTTTCAGGAGGCTCGTCGTCAATAAGACATAAATATATTTATTTTATAGAAATAATGATTTCTACTTCCACATCAGATATAAAGTAATATACAGGTATTAATGTGTAGCACTCAAGAACTTATATTAATTGAAACGCATCTTTTCTTTAAATCATAACTAATATTAACTTAATCAGCAACTAGCGCCATCGTAAAAAAAAGAATTTATCGCAATACATGATATGTAGCATGTACGAATCGTTGTTGTTTTTTTTATTCGTTTAGTTTAAGCTGCCAATCTCAAAGGTAACAAGCTAAAGAAATTTTTACTACATTTTTTAGAAGAGTTCCTTTATTGTTAATGCAAAAACTATTTACTTGATGATAGTGTATTATAAAACTTGATCAATTGAAAAATAAACAGTTATCAAAATATTGATTATCAAAACCAGCATTAAACGGCAATATGCAATTCTAACCGTAAGTTAATTTTTATGATGGTGAAGCTATTTGAGCTTTTTTTTGTTTTGCTCCTTTATATGAAATACATTTTTTATTCTTAGTTTCATTTTTGTTGAATCATCATCATTCTTTCATACAGTTCAATTCTTTAGTTATACAATTTTAGATATTTTCAGTAATCATGTATTATGAAACTAAAGAAGGTGACAATGAAATCAAATTATTGTGTTCGATCCAAGAAAAAATAGCTGAAGAAAATGAACTAAGTGATGATGAAGTAGAAATAAAAACTAAAAACAATCGAAAGCGTCGCCGAACTGAAGCATCCATGCTTGAAGAAGAAAATGAAATCGATCGATTAAGTAACGTTCGACCGAAGCGCGCAGCAGGTATATTGAAAGAATATTTCTTTTGTTTTCTGTTTATTAATTTAAAAAATATTCTCTAGCAATGCGTGTCAATGAAATCAACAATGGTCGTCGAAAGATCGACGAATTTATTTCAAAAAAAAGATCACCTAAAAAAAGTCTCAAATCTTTGAAAATTGGATCGATTTTACCATCGATACCAATTAATGATTGTGAAAATTGTCCAATATGTGATCGACTTATATCTAACGATATACTTGAAATACATACTAATGCTTGTTTAATTAATAATAGTGAAGCGGGCAAAGAATTAATTGAAAAAAGTAAACAACGTGCAAAAACTGATGCTGAAATTAAAGAAGCTTTATTTCAACGAATAACTCGTCAAAACGTAGCAAGCCATTTGATTAGAAATAACAGTGAAACAACTACTTGTCCCACATGTGGGATGCAAATGACAGTTTCTCGTCTCGAAAATCAACATAAAAATGAATGTTTGAAACGTTAGACATAATTTAGTTTTGTGATATCTATGTCCATTTTATTTTTTATATCGGATCTGGTTTATGAACATTTTTCTCTGGATTATTGTTGAAAATTATATTTATATGTTGCTTTTGTTTATCATTAACCGATAAGCTCCTTATTTTCTGTATACATAATGTGTTCTATTTGTTTGCTTTTTATGTACTTATCAAGAACTTAGAAATATTTAGTTGCTGTGATTAACATAGAAAAATTTATATATATATATATATAAACTTAAAAATATCTGAACTAATGACTTAGATTTAATTTGGTACAGATCCATCAATGTTTAGTGAAAATAATTTTTAACTAATTGTTTTTTAAAACGCCTTTAAGAAAAAAGATTTTTCATACTTTTTATAGTTTTGTTTTTTATATAAAACAGTTCGATTTTTTTCAGCGCAGTGGCCTATTGTTTTCATAACTCTATGGAAAGGATAGCCTTATTGAGTTAGATGAATCGTAAGGTGACTATTAACTAATAGCCTATTGATTGAAAGCTGTTGTTATACAAAATTGTTATTTGCTATTCTTTTGCCTTCCAGATATGCAATCATGTTCTACGTGTAGATTGACAACATCTGCTATAGTCTCATATATATATAAGCTAGGTGTTGTTTTTTGTCAACTTTTCTCTCTTTTAAAAAGTCTACTTTCTTTAGAAAAATCAAAATAAAGATGATTAAATGAGAAAAGAGTCCGAGGTCAGATCTTTCATGAACAACATTTTTGTTTTATTTCACATCTCGGTTTCTTTCCGAAAATTTTGAATGATTCTTATCAACTTTTGTTTCAAAAGCTTTTTTTATGAAAAAAAGGTAACAAATATCTTTTCGTTCTAAATTCTGCCTAGGCTTTACTAATTACACATTCAAGGATTCTTGGAAGAGCTTCATTGTAGTTTGCTGCTGATTTTTTCTCTTCACAATACATATAAATCTGCAGTGGATGGTTGAATCTGTTTTTTTTCTTAATTAAGTTTTTTTTTGCTTTACTATTATATGAAACAGCGTTTCTATAAATATGATTATTTTTTAAACGTATTAAGGAATTGAATTTTTTGCCTTCGTTCTTAGCATAAAAATTTTAAATTAAAAAAAATGAACAAATTTTTCAGTCAGGGAAGTCTGACATGCACCTTCCAATGAGAACAAACAGAATACACACAATGAAACGCATATAGTGCGTCTGACGTGTTACCAACTAAACTACTAAATACTTTGATTTGTTGAAAACTTTTGTCAAAAATACCGTAGTTTGTGCTGATAAATTTCAAGTTATTCTAAAATCTATTGCTTATGATGAACGTCGAAGAGTGAAAACACATTTATTAAATAATGATGTTACTTCTTTTAATATTTTCAAAAAATCACTGTCAATTTAGCAAAAGAAAAAGGTATTTATACATAGAGGATGCACACATTAATAGATAAAATCCGAACAAAAACGAGTTAATATAAAGTTATTTTATATTAGTTATGACGAGAAAATATATCGACTCGATCAGTCATGGCCACAAATATGTCTCCCTTTTTATTTACTGCTAATGATTCTGGATATTCGATACCACTTGTTATTAATTGTTGAAACTCACCATTATCATCAAAAAGCACTAAGCGATCATTATGAGAATCAGCTACAAGTAAATGATTTGTGTCGGGAAATGCGGTTATACCACGAGGACTTGAAAGTGCTTGAGGAAAAGCGGATGATGTTTCACTGCCAAAACGTTTTACAAAAGTTCCCTCAAGTGTAAACTTATGAACGCATGAACCTACATAATTATAAAAATATAATTGTGAATATGTAAAAACAAATTACCTTGTGGGTCTGTTATATAAACATATCCATTAGCTGCTGTACAATATGCCAGTGAGCTAAATATATTTTTATCTCCGAAAAATCGTATGATAGTTCCACATCGAGGATCATAAACTTTGACTTGTCGATTAGCTTGATCGCATACATAAATTGAATCATGTTCATCAACGCAGATACCTTGATAATTAGTTGAACCAGCTTGAATATCATCACAAGCTATTGTGCGTGTCAAACGAAGATCACTACTCAAGATTAATACTTCTAATTCATCACTCATCAATACTTGATTATTACTCATAACAGCTAAACCATTTTTTGTTCCATAATGACTTATAATTTTAGCGAGTTTATTATCTTCTGTGAAGGCAACAACGCGTTTATTTTTTGAATCAGCAATAAATAGTAAAGAATCCGATGGACGATAAGCAATACCACGAGGTTGATTTAAAAATGATTTTCCAAATTCAAGTGAACCAAGTGAATTGATTACTTTTAATTGCATCTCAGATGTATTGGCCATCTATGTAGAGAAGAAAACTATGAATATAACTGACAATGTATAATCAATTTTTCTTCGTCATTTTCCGATCTAATACGTTTGCTGTCTGTGTGCTTCGGATGTTAGCTGTTGCCTTCAGTAGAATCAAACAATTCTGTATAAGAGCAAAACCTTCTCTCACTAATAATTATATGTGGGACACAACAAATAAAATCGTTTTCTTCTTCTTCTTATACCTTATTATAAATAAATTTGAAATGTTGTATAATCGAAAACCAATGAGAATGGTTGATTGGCAAAACTTAAGCTACTACACAATCGTATATTTGCGATCTTATATATAAAGGGAAATTGACGTCAATGCCAATATGTTATGACCATGATGAAACTAGATAGATAGCTAGAGAGAGAGAGAGAGAGAGAGGAAGAAATATGTTGCCCGTGTTGTACCAATGCAATAAACTCTATGAAAAAATAATGTCTATATGTGCATAATGTTTCTTGACTATCGTTTTCTTTAGCCTGCAAGCTGGCGTGTGGCATGCGTCATTCGAGAGATAGAGAGCCTCGCAAAAAAAATACACAAAAAATTCTAGATACCAATTATTAAACTATTTTGTGAAGTCCTTGAGACAGTAGCGCTTTCTTCTTACTAATTTCCTTTTTTTATAGTCGAGATATAGCATGAAACGAAGACCATTTATGGATCATATGGAAAAAAAACTCAAATTTGACCTGATTCAATGATTTCATTTGTTTTTCTTAGCGTAACTGTAATCATTGCAGGACTGATACGCTAGGGAAAGATTATCAATATGACAAAAAAATACATACACGTGTATTCTATTTTTATATCTTCCGCTTTTTAGCGTAAACACATTGATAATGCTTATGTTGATGGATGCTGGAATAAATTGAATCCATAAAAAAGAAATCTTATCTATCTAGTTGTATAATAGCCCATAAGAAAATGTTCGCATTTTTTTATTAATTTTATTGTTTTTGTACTTTTTTTTTTATTTGAAAGTTTTCATTTTATTTATCACTGTGCAAATAGACACGAAAAACAAAACACAAAAATGTGAATAGTAAAAAGCAAAGAGCATTCATAAAAGGAAGTAAAAGAAATCATTGTTGATAAATAGTAGATCATATTTATGCGCGAATGTGTTCATATTATATAATCAGAAAAGAATAAAGTTAAAAAAAAAGAGTAGATTCATTCATATGAGACTGAAACGAAAAGAGGTTCAACGGAATGTGAGGAAAAATTAGTACAACGATGTAAATCTTGATTTCATGAGAACATGTATTATCAGTTCGCGAAATTATCTCTAAAGGAAAACATAAAATACTTTGACCATCAAATAAATCATAATGGATTCTTTGTTTTATTATTGAATAAACTCGCTATTAATTATTTGTTGGTTGTTGCGGCGTACTATAGCGATCAGCAGACTGTGGGGGAGCGTCAGTTCTGATTATAAGAAAATGGTAAACAGCTTCGGCTGTATAAGTAAGAAATGCTGCGAAACCAAAAAACTAAAGGAAAGCAAATAGAAAAAAAATGTATAGTTGTTTTCTTATCATCCCTTTCGAACTAATTATTTACCGTTGCACCACCGTACGCCCCATCATAGCGTGCTATTGTCGCAATAACAATACTTGCAATAAAATAAAATAAAGCAATGAATGCGCACCAACCAAGTTCCTGAAATAAATCATGCTGAAGGTTTATACAAATTATTTCGATGACTTACAGTGTACTTCCAAGGAATTATTATACACAAAACATTTAAATTGAATATGAATATAATGAATAGTACAAAGGTTAATATAAGTGCCAGTATGGAAACAAATAAAAAAAAACCTTTGTTTCCGCTACTACCACTGATAGTCGGTGCAGCACCACATAAAATGACTGCAAGTAGATCACAAAGCTAAATATAATAATAGATATCATTATTCTTATTTTAAATAGCCATAATATACTTGCCAATTCAATCATTTTGAGTATACCAGGTACTGATTTTATATAGTCAACAACATGATTACAGTATCCTGATGATGAGCCACTCATGTTTGAAATATTTTCTATTTAAATTTTTAAATCTACCAAAAACTAGATGAGCAAAATTTTTTTATTTGAGAATAAGAAGAAAAAAGAATAGGATACGTTGGTTGCAAACGGTCAGACATAGAACGTCCATTCCACCACCTTTCGTTTCCTTCCGTCAAAAGTCAATAGGACGACAACGTATGGTAAGTGTTCTATTTGGCGTACGGCCGTTAAAGAAGAAGAAATCACGAACGAGAAAAAAACGGGGCTAATGGTAAGACCACCTTCATTGAGTAACTAGTAGCCACTAATAGATCCGTCTATTGAACAAAGGCTGAGCGAGTTTGTCAATAGAAAGCAATCTCACGTTAGTTTGGACAAATAGAACTAATAATGAATAGTTTCGTTTATTGACACAAAAAAAAAGAAAATAATGGATTTATGTTGAAAGAAAAAGAGAGAGAGCAAAGAGAAGAGAATTTCTTTTCTTAAGAACCCATTTTTTCTCTTCAAAAATAATATCTTCATTTTTTTTTACCGTCAGCTAAGTAAACAAGTGCTTCCTTCGGAGCACCGAAAGAAGAAAAAACGAGAAAAGAATTTATTTAAATTTTCATCAATCATAGTTGCTGCTACCGTAGAACGGAACGGGGAGAGAGAGAGAGAGAGAGAGAGAGAGAACAAGAGAGAACAAGAGAGACAAGCATATGGTTCGACAGAAATGAATCATTAGCTAACAAGAATTCAATTGGTTCATATTCACCAGTAAGATTTAGTTTTTCCACCATGATAAACAATCGTTTGCCTCTACTTTTCGGATTATTTCTCATTTTGTTGTTGCTATTGTTTTTTTTTCTTTTTTACTACATGATCTTATTCTTCTAGTGCTTTGTATCTTAATTTATGAAAAATAAACTTAATAAATAAAAGGTCGTTTTATTTCTTCTTTTGTTTTGTTTATTTAGCGGATCAATATATGTTGACAAGGCCGAAATGTTTCCGTAAGTGCATAGCGACGGACGGACAATCGAACGTAGTTCACGATGCTGTGTTGTCCGCCCTATTGAGAAAGAAACAAATGTTTCTTGCAGTCATCGATCGATCATACCTACTTATGTGCCTCGTGCATAAATAAAGTCGGAGCTATTATCGTCGCCATTAATATCGTTTCATTACGCACAAAGAATTCGATCAGCTGATTTCTACCTTCTGACTCCTTCAACATTACTGATAATGTGAGATTCAGAACAAAAAAAAATTCTGCAAATATGCGAAATAATTTTCTTTTGAAAAGAAAACAGAAAAATTTTACTTCTCTTTTAGCATTATATCGAATATATTCATCTACACATAATATTATTCTTCGATCTCTCGATCGATGGCCGAATCAACAATTGTTCTTCGAAGTCCCGTAAAACCTGTAACAACATCAGTGCGATGTTCATCACCAAACTCATCTTTAAATTCACCTACACGTAATAGTACTGTTATTATTCTCAAAGATAATAATAATAATGATCAACAACAACAATCAGCATCGACACTTAAAACTTCAGCAAATAATCATTTATCATTCCCATCGTATGGAATATGTTCTTCATTAAAATTCGATTCAACTTTTTTCTTTTTTCTTTTTTCTTTTGTGTCTAGTCTGAAATCAGTTCAATCTAAACTCTATTACGCCGGTTATACTGGTTTATATAATTTGGGTAACACATGTTACGTCAATTGTGTACTCCAGTTACTTAGGTTTGATAACGATGAATCTAATTTGTATGGAATCGAAAATATTCTATGTCTTTTTAGCCATGTACCACAATTTTGTGATGCTATCTGTTCGATGAGCTTTGAAAGTCTCGGCTTAGAACAACCGTCTGACGTCCCAATGGTAAATATTTTATTTCTTGTCTAGAAATATATTCTACGTTTGATAAAGATATCAAAAGAAATCCTTTTTTTTTTAATTCTAATTTTTAACAAAAACTTTTTCAGGTTGCTTCATCACATAATCCAACACGCTTGAAAGGTGGCGGTCGTGGTTTACTGAAAGCACTTGAAGCTCAACCACGTCGAGTACCATGGTAATTATCTATTCATATGAATAATACTTGATAGACATTTGTATTATGTTTAAAGTTATCTTGCATATGAATTACATGGAACATTTAATATAATTTGGTCGGGTAAATGTATGGTTTATTCACCATTAAATATGGTCGCTGCTGTCCGACGTTTATTACCAAGTTTTGAACCATGTGCAATGGAAGATGCGCAGGAATTTCTCGAGTAAAATAACATGAAATAAATCTTAATATAAATCTATTCAACATTATTTTCTATAGAGCACTACTGGCTGCAGTTACCGATGAAATAAAAGCAAACAAATTAGCTGATTCAAATATCATAGAAGATCTATTGAGTTTTTCTTCGGAAAGTCAGGTAAAATTAAATTTAATAAGATGATATTGGTATGTACTATGTTTATGCCTTTTCGATATTAGATACTATGTGAGCAATGCCATCGTTTGTCAGTCACAAAAACAGATGAAACATTTATTACATTAACATTCTCAGAAAAAATGCTGTGTGATACACGGGGATCTAGTCGTCGCCATTCGTGTCATCTTACAGGTTTGTCATAATTGATTTAGTATCTCATTTGTAGAATTCAAAATCAATCTCCTCTATTACGAACTGAGAAGGATACACAGTTTTATTATAAACATTCGAATTTGTATTTTCTTTTAGAAATGCTTGCTCATTTTTATCAATGGGAAGCTTTATCGACACCATTTCATTGTTCAAATTGCACTGGTAAACATTTTCAAAACCAATTGATTTCACAATGTGAGACTTTCTATTTTGTTTTCTTGTATCATTTAGTTCGAAGTCCATCAAAAGAAGGTACAAAAGCACAAAAACGTCTAATAATTTCCAAACTTCCACAAGTATTACATGTTGTTTTACGTCGTTTCCGCTCATTACCACAGACACCTTTACGAAGACCGACATCGCGTCAAGCACGGCAACTATCACATAAAATAACTTTACATGTTAACTTCGATGAATATCTTGATATGGCACCATATTGTACACAATCAACATTGAGCGCGTTGTCATCAATGTGCTCAAAACAAAATGGCAATACAATGAATGAATGTCTGTATCGTCTACGTGGAGTAATTGTACATTATGGGAAAAGTATCAATACCGGACATTTTGTCGCTTTCGTTTATAATGATATTGTTGGTAAAAATCTCTATCTAGTTTTCTAAAAAATAGATTGTTATTAAAATTATTTTTGAAAAACTAATATAGGTGAATGGCTTCGTTGTGATGATCATATTATTGAACACACAACATTTGAATCTGTTAAAACATCGGACGCTTATATTCTTGTGTATAGTCGATGTATGTCGAATGTAGTTTCATCAACTATTCTAACGAATCCATCAGGTTCGAAAAAATGTATAAAATTCTAAGTTTAATTCTAATTTTTCATTTTCAAATAGTTACATCGATAACATGTCAATTGAATAAACGAAAACGAGCTGTTTCAGTCGATAATTTAAATGAGCAAAAAGATGATTTAATACTATCGGAAAATAGTAATGAAATCCGTATGTCAATATTCAAACTAGTTATTTATTCATTGACGTTTGTAATTCTATAGATATAAAACAAAATAAATTAGATGAACACTCTAGTGCAACAGATCGTTTGAAACTTTTCTGTCTTGATTTGGGTAAATTCAACATCAGTTATACATTTGTCTCTTCAATGAAATATTTATTATTTTTCTAGACCCATTAGCAAGTGGACTTCGTCGTCGAGCACAGTCACTTAATTGTGCTATTCGCAGTAGTCTACCTTCGATTGATAATAGATTGGAAAGTATTTCGACATTGCCTATAGCTAAACGTCGACGTGCCGAACTAATCAATAATCTTTCCTTATCCGAAACTGATTCATTACACCGTAAGTAATTATTTTTCTAAATAGATATAAATATTATTTTGCTTACAGATTTAATGTCACGGTCTGCACTAGTATCACAGCCAGTAATTCAAATAAGAAAAAAAAAATCATCCACAAAACTAAGCACTGATTCAGTAACAATTTCAGAGAAAACAAAAAAATCTATAAGAAGGCGTCGACGAGCTGATCCTTATACACGTATATATAAATATAAATCAATTTATATGTTTTCAAAAATGATTATTTATTGCTTTAGGTAAAAGACGAATTAGAAAAACATCTAATATAAAAAATGAACCGAAAATTGATGTATCGAATCTCGTAGCTGTTTCATCAACAACTGAACAAACATTATCATCAGAATCTCTTTTATCGTCTGGACGCTCACCTCTCTCTTTCACTTATGACAGTTCCAATGATTCCAATACACCAGTCACTAAGTAAAAATATATAGATATACATTTTTCTTGTTCGTTTATAATTTTAAAGTCTTCGTTTTTCTCTTACCTTTAGACGCATTGGTCGTATACGAATTCAACGATTTATCAACGGGCCAACAACACCCATGAATTCCACTGTACGTTTAATAACATCCGGTGAAACCAATACTCGTTTATCTTTGCCGTCACAACCAACTATACAATCATCAGCCTTTTTAAATAATTTAATGACTGCACGACGTTCCAATTCGCTCAATAATTCTACAAGCAATCCGTCTAATTGTTAAAATAAAACAAAAAAAAAAAAAGAAAATAATGCTTTCTCACTTTTTTTTCTCGTCTCTATTGTTCGTTAATTACTGTTGTTTGTGCGTATGTATTTTATATTTGTTTTAATTGTATCATCAAACGAGCAAAAAAAGCAACAGTTTCTGTTCGACAGATTCTGTCTAATTACAAGTTTTTTTATATATGATATGAAATCTTTTCCTCCCTCCCCTTTTTTCTATCGCCGTTTACGTAAGTTTTGTGTTAGTCATCATATTGTTTTTCTGACTTCTGTTTTGATCGTTGCGTGTCATATTTCTTTTCGTTTTTCTTTTTCGTTTCTTGCTAAATCTTTTTTTTTATACCACATAATATCCACGGTAAATTATGTCATACCTATTATAAACATTTATTTCGAGGATGTAATCGTGTTTTTAGATTCCACAATTTTCGATTAAAAATACATTAACGCGCACGTGCATCTGTTTTGTTTGTTTGGTTTTTTTTCTTCGATTTTGTGATTATTTTAGATGACAGCAACAGCAGGATCAACAACGACTACTGGAAAAAGCAGTGTAACACTGTCTCTTCATCCTTTGGTAATTATGAATATAGCTGAACACCATACACGTGTTCGAGTTCAAACATCCCGTGTAAATCCTGTTTATGGTGCATTATTAGGTAAAATAAAAGGTCGTCATGTTGAATTATGTAATACATTCGAATTTAAACTTACTAATGATTCTCCATCAACGACAACAACTTCTAACGTAACAATTGATATGGACTTTTTAACAAAAAAACTTGAATTAATTCGACAAGTTCACCCGGATCTTGATTTTACGGGCTGGTATACAGTTGAGAGTAAAGATTGGAATCCATCAACAATGAGTTTATTTTATAATCAACTTTCATCGCTTAACGAAAGTCCACTACTACTTCGACTTGATCCCATTGGTGTTTCAAATGAATTACCCATACATGTTTATGAAACCATTGTTGATTTAGGCACTAAAATTGATTTTATTGAAATATCTTATACACTTATCACCGAAGAAGCTGAACGTATTGGTATTGATCATGTTGCAAGATATTCTGTGACGGATGGAACATCTGACACATCAATCGTTTCCGATCAAATCGCTATACAATTCAATGCCATTCGTTTACTTTATCAACGGATGCTCATGTTACTTGAATATGTTCGAGCTGTTAAAGAAGGTCAATTAGAACGAAATGATGATCTTTTACGTGAAATCGGTTCGTTATGCCAACGTTTACCAATTATAAATACAGATGATAATAATAATCAAATGTTTCGTGAAGATTTCGATATTCAACAATCTGATGTTGCACTTTTAGCTTTATTAGCATGTTGTACACAAGAAATTAGTACATTGAACGATTACTTGAGTAAGTTTTCTTTCGAAATATTCGATACCTTTTGATGAGAACTAAAACTTGATTTTGAAACGTTAAGAAAAAGTTTGAATAGGCAGTCTATTTGATTTTGAAAAAAGAATGCAAAAGTCTTTCTTTTCTTTTCTTTTTAATCTGCTTTTTTGTTTTTACTCTTGGATTTTGAGATAATTTGATTTATATTTATATCTCTTAAAAAACTAATATGATTGAATGTACGGATCAATCAAATAGGAAAAGAAATTTGTTATGCGGATAATAATCAAGTAGAAATAACTGCATGTGGGATTTAGTAGGCACGAAATCGACATATAAGATCGTACTAAAAGTTTATTTCTTTATTTTCTATCTTTCTGACTGATACGAATTAATTTATAGATATTATTTAATTGTGAATATTGTTCTACGTAGAAATGATTGACAAAACTGAGTATTACAATGAAAATTTTCAAGGTCATAAAGTTGATTCAATGTATTTATCTAATTATTGTCTTGATAATACATGATATATTTCGAACGAAAAAAATCATTCGTTTTTCTTTCATAGTTAAGAAATTAGATAAATACATTTCGCAGCATTTGTTCTTATAACAACAGATTCAATTCATGGTCGACATGTTTACTATTCTTATTTTGAATTCATATGAAAATATATAATTTTTTTAATTCTAGAAAAATTTTTAACAATTTTCGTTCTTTATTTTAGACAAATTTCAAGCGGTACATGATAAACAGCAACATTCATCGGGTCCTGGTGGCAGCTTTGGATATGGTAGTGGTGGCCGACGAATGGTTCGTGGCACTGGTTATTTTCCTGCGTCGTTTGTCTGATGTCATAGACACAAAACTTATTATTTTTTTATTATAATAAAGATGTTTTTTTTGTGGTGAAAATGAACTAATTAAATGAGATGTGAATTTGTAGAAGACAAAAATTTCGATAGAAATTCATTATTCATTATTCATTATTCATTTGCATATAGATAATATTGGACAGACTAAGGAGCCGATTGCATTCGTCTTGCATACATGCCGATTAGTATTAGCTTCAAGTCTTCTTCAATTAAATCAATGAACGTGCTGGCTAAATAACAAAGAATTAACATTTTTCTTCTTCTTTCTATTGATAGCCAGGAGAAACTAGTGAAAGGGAATGAGAAGAGATATAAATTGTCCTTTGTTAGTTTAATAATAATATGTCGAGAGAGAGAGAGAGAGAGCGAGAGAGTGGAATGAAGCAACAAAATAAAAAAGAGATGGCTAGAAGAAAATATTTATAATCATTCAGTCTGATGATGGCAAATTTTCCTGTAGTTGGTTCGAACTAACGATGAATGTTACAAGAAACAATATTTGATGGATGAAGACTATAATTCTTCTATTGCTTTTTTCTTCCTTCTATTCATGCTTAGCGTTCTTTTCTAATATTGATCTACATTTATTAGTTTGCGGAGCCAATTTTTCGGAAAACATGTTTTTCTCTTTCTATCCATCTCTTTTTCCTCTATGCTCATCAATTAGTTGTCTCTATTGTTGCACAGATAGAGTAATTTATTGCTCGTCTTTTTTCATATAAAGTTAGTACTCTTTAGTGCCCTTCACTTTCATTAGAATATGTGGAGAAGACGATGTCTCTCGCTGCTTCCTCTCATCCATATATTTTTTTCTTTTGCTTATTACATTAAAAAAACTCGACTAGAACAACTACTTTCAGTTGCATTCAACCATCCATCGGTCCATTCATCCACATATCTATATTCTGTGTTTCATCGATTTTTTTTCTTAGTTCTATGTGGCAAGCGAAAAAATTCTTACCATCAGGGAAGAACCGGAGAAAAAAATGAGGAGGCCGAAGAGAAACGACGAGTCGATTCGAAATAGGTCGTCAACAGTGGTGCAGGCGTTTTCTTCGTCCTCATCGTCGTCACAGATAGATAGAAAATATAATCTATCAGCGCGCGCTCGCGCGCACACACACACGCATACATATAAACATTTTGCATGATTGTGTAGCCCCCTCATCGTCTCACTCGCTTTTTCTCTTCTCCCATCATTCAGCCTCAAGGCAATGTAAACGGCATGGCACAGACAAAAAACATTGCGGTTCTAATATCGACGAACAACGATAAGGACGCTGACGAGGAGGAGAAAAGAACGAGAGAAAGACGGAAGAAAAGTGCCAAAAAAATGAAGCAAACATGGGAAAGAAATAAAGACGAATGAATAAAGAAGCAAATGCTTTTTTTTGCAATGCATACGTGTGCGAATGTCCACGATACATCATTTGCTCTCTCTCTCTCTTTTTGCTTGACATGCTTCCTTGCTTGCCTCATTTTTTTTCTCGTTTTACTACCATACCATCTGGTGCAATACAAAGTATAAGAACATGTATATGAAGAAGCACAAAAAAAAGACAGAAGACAATAAAAGAAGCAACGACCGAGCGACCTGTGACATCAACATGAAGTAGTATCATATCCCTTCGAATGATTTTCTGCTTGCTTGCTTGCCTATCTCTCTCTTCGATGCGTAGTTTTTCGCCTTACTAACTTGATTAAGAATTTTAAGCACGAGTCATGGAATCATTTCTTTTTTTTTATGAATTGAATGTAATGGTAATCATCTCGCTTCGTAACATCGACAAACAAAAAAAAACTAAGATCAGGTAAGCAATGTTAAGCAAAGATCAAAAAGGGTTATACTCTTTTGTCTCAGTATCACAAGTAAAGTAGCAACAGAATAGCGACAGCGATCAGAAACACATGAGAGTTCATCTCCTGAGACAAGAAACAGTAGCAGCAACAACAGTAGTCGAAGCAACTCCATTTATTATTCTTTACCATTATTATACATCCCTATGTATGTGCAAGTGCCGATCACACGTTGTGTCACCGACGTCGTCTTTTTTTTTTTATTAGATAAGTGACATGCGAACATAGTAGCTAGTATTGATAATATTGCGTCCTATTACTGCTACGGCATATTCAACGAAGTAGAATGAATCAGATCACTGCGACTTGTTTAAACATTATTAGATGTTTATCTTAACATTTTCTATTTGAGAAAGGCTTTAAAAAAGACTCAAGAGTGTAAAGAATTCTATTTTTTGTCTTCTACATTTACATAGCTATATGATAAAGTATAGAAACTATTTCTGAGAAAGACAATCAATGATAGAAATAGTGAGTCCATGTCGAGTTGGAAGTGTTTTTTCTTGTTGAGTGCGTGCGTGTGCAAGATAAATTACTGATAACTAGAGATCTTTTCGTGTGAAAGATCAAGAAATCGGCTGTTAAGTAAGAAATGTCGATTGTCTAATGCGATCATTGGCAAAAATCAGTAAATGGACGCAGCTGATGGTATAGACACAAATATTTCTTGTGTAAAGTCGCGACCCAAAGCTGTAATTAGAACTCATTCTTTCCTTTTTTTTTCTTTATGTATACAGTTATATATACATTTATTTATTTATTTATATACATAGACCCGTAGTCGTACTCGCTTTCGATAAGGTTGAACTCCTCGTGCTTACAGCTGAGCAGTATGATGAGAAGAATTCTCTTTTTGTTCTTCATTCAACACACATGCGAAAGTTAGGAGAAGAACCGATCGAGTTGAATGATAATGTTCAAAATGTAAGTGTTGTGTGTGAATATATATATATATATATATATATGTATACTATCGTCGACTATTGCTGTTCGATTCTTTAGCCATAGGAATATGTATACATTTGCTCATTCATTCATCACGCGATTTTCTTTTTTTCCTCATTCTTTCTTGCCTTAATGTTTTTTTTCTCTCTCATGCTTACTCGATGTACAACTTGTCGACAGATGAGTAGTAGCTAACGTTGCTTGTCTAGATGGAATTGTCATGTAAGGTCAGATGTTTTGTCTTTTCATTTTTTATAGAATTACCCTTTCGACAAGCAATTAAATATAATATGTAATAAAACCTATTAACAATTATTGATGGATGTGTCGATTCTACTTAGTTTCTTTCAGGAATCATCAATGAAAAAAACCTAGAAAGAAAACAACCAATCTAACAAAAGAAAAGAGATAAAGATATATATCTTCTTTGTGCTTGAGTTCTATATCGTCAGTGGTTTGTCGTTTTCTTTTACTCCGGCTTTTTCTTTTTTTCTTTTAAATTTTGTTTGAAGATGACCTTGTGTTGCTCATGCTGTTTGCCATCGTTTCACTTAGTTTGACTATTACGCATTGATTCATAGATACACAATACAACTTTATTCTTACTGTTCGTTTAGACATTTTTCTTTCTTTTTGTACACAAAATAGCAACAAATTCATATTGAATTACACTATCTACACGTTATATTTCGATTGTCTATTTCTACATACATAAATAACAAGGTAGCCTTATGTCTATCTTCTATCTGCCAATCTGTTTAACTAGACTATCTTTACGTTTTCGAACGGATGAGTCCTCAGCACCTCGTTAATCTTTGTCACAAATCGATTTTCTTCTTTTGGACGGAGGTTTGACGAGGAATCGAGGCTCATCAATACAATGAAGATAGAATCAGTTTTGTTATGTGCATCATGTTTTTCTTTTTCGTTTCATGTAATAATAAAATTATATTTTATTTTAAGGAAAGCTTTTTCAATATTTCTATATTTCTATTAGGTGACATAATTATTGTAACGGTAGTATTTATTGTTTGTTGAACAATCACAAGTTTCAAGTGCGCAATATCGAGTGAAAATAAATACTATTCAAAATGAATTGTTCATTTATCAATTTAGTAAGTAGTTGAACTGACCCAAATCTCAGAAAAGAAATTCTATCAATTAGTAATCAATTCATCAGTTAGAAAAACAATAGAAGTAAATTGTACATCAAAATCAAAAAAAAGCATATCGAATTCATATCTAGGATATATATTCATACATAAATTTATGACTGTTATCATTTTAAAGTAGATCGAAATATTGAAATAAAATATTCTCAAAAAAATATTGAATAAAATTATTTATTTCTTATTCATCAGTTTCATAATTGATTCCGATCATGAACGCATAGAATAAAAAAGTAGCATCGTTTTTTCTTCTTTTTTTTTCTTTTCGAACTAAGATTTCCCTTGAGAATAGAAACTGTTGTGGTCGGCCTAGTAGTTCCATTTCATCATATTGGTTAGTTTTTTTTCTTTCTTTAGAAAATATTAATTATGTATACTGAATAAATAACTTTTTTTCCTTCTAATCTATATTTTGTACGTAATCATCATTGTAGCATTATTTACACTAGTTTCGATAAATTCTTTATGAGAGCCGTTAGTTTTATGTACTGAATGTGCAAAACGATAATGAATAATTGGATCCTATGGTTAGAAGAACTGATTACTTGAAAATGTTGTTTTTATTCTTTACTAATGCATTCTAAGTAATATACTGGCATATGATAGAATCATTTTGAGATGTTCATATTCGAGTAGATTTTTTTGTTTTGTTTTTATTTTAAAATGATTCAGCTTTAATGGTTTTCGATTGTTTTCGCTTTTTTATTGTCTTTATTGTACGTTTTGAAACTGTTTCACTTGCAAATTTTTTACTAGAACCAATAGATTCTATTGTACTATGTTGATAATAGTGAATTAAATCATGCATCATTGTCACACATTCTTTTGGATATAGTCCAACGGCTGTTTCACTAGATAGCATAATATAATTAGCTTTGTCAATAACTACAGCTCGATAAAGATCTGATACTTCAGCACGTGTTGGCACTGGACATGCAATCATTGATTCAAGTATCTGTGTTGCAATAATAAATGGTTTCTTTTTCTTTTGACAAAGTTGAACTAAATCAGTCTGTATAAATGGAACACGAATATGTACAGGTGTTGTTTCAAGAGCTAAATCTCCACGTGCAATCATAATCATATCACTTTCATTGATAATATTCGTTACATTCCTAGGTTCAATAGCTTCAGCCATTTCAATTTTAACTATAATCTCTGGATAATAATCCTTTATATTAAGAAGTGCATTTCGAATGGCGTTTTTTAAACGATGAATATCATTAATGTTTTTAACAAATGATGTAGCTACATATTTAGGTTTAATTATGGGTAATAGATTTTCAATAAGGCGATGGTCATTTTCAGTAAGAAAATCTATGTCAATGTTGCCATCTAAAAAGTGAAAAAAATATTCCTATGATATTCTGTACATATGTATATATATATATATATAATATTTTGATCTAATTTTTTCTCTTTGTTTTTCTTCATTAGCTTACAAGGTAAATTAACACCTTTGTGAGTTTTAACAGGACCATTATTGAGTGCTTCAGCATGTATACGATTGGCTTCTACTTTGAGTACACGAAATTGTAGTTTCCCATCATCAACATATATAATATCGTTTATCTTAGTCGATTTTTCAATCGAAAATTGACATGGTAGGATTACAATGTGATTTTCTTTGTTCAGAGCATTTTTTTCTTTTTTCCGTTTTTCTTTTTCGATAATCACTTTTTCACCAGTTTTTACTACAAGTGATTTATCGTCAATTTCTCCTAAACGAATTTTAGGTCCCGGCAAATCAAGCATCAAATCTAAACCAGCATTAACAGCAAGCTTAGCTACACGTACATGTTCTTCAATGATACCATGAGATCCATTTAAGCGAGCTATTTCAACTGAATGTTCTTTAAAGTATTGTAAAACTTCTGGATTACTACTAGCTGGCCCTAGTGTGGTAATGATCTTAGTCGGCATGATATAAATAATTTTAAAAGAAACAAACAAACAATATCGATAATAATAATAATAATAAAATAAAATAAAATAAAATAAAAGACTAGACTTTAATGATAATCATTGTTTCTAAGGAAACTGTACGCGAATTCTATCATGAGCATGAAAGAATTATTATTCTTTGTCTTCGATATCATCTAACAAAATAATAAAATCTTAAAATATCTTCTTTCATAAAAAAAAAGCGTATCATCTTCATTGTGTCTAGTATATGTTGCTACGGATATATCAACGATTATCATGATTTCGAAGTCCTTTTTTTAAACTCATCTTAGAATCATTTTAAAATTCAAAACAATATTTATAATCACCTAAAATTACATGTTTTTAAATAGATCGTTTTGAAATCGTTAGTGGTAAAGCTAAACAGTGGCATTAGAGTAATTAGTCCCATTCACGAAGCTTGTAGCCATTCAGTAATATATTTTATTTCGCTAGTAGAGACTCAAAAATGAATAGCTGAAACTGAATATACTCCAACCCAAAATCCTGACTGTTAGTTGAAACAGTTTCAGCTAAAATTTAAATATTCATCTCTTGATGAATTACTTCTTTGTGAAAGAATAAAGAAGATGAAAACTATGATTTTTCTCAACTTGAATTTCATTCCATGAAAAACTTCAATAATTTATCTCAATTTCATATCATTGAAGAAAAATAACAAATTTCGATATACCATATTGCATCAAGTAATCACTAATAAATCATCAGTTAAAAGTACGGGAGAGATTTTCATATGAACTAAAAACTTGCTGAGATAATACCATTAATTCGTGAATTTTCTATTAGTTTTCTGAAAATTTCTACTATGAAACATTTCATGGTGTCTTACCAATTTATACTTATTTTCTATGCAGTTAAAATTTATTGTAATTAGATGAACTTGATCGGCGCACTAAATTTTATCATTATAAATAAAACAACAAATAAGAAGTTAACCTTACGAGTTGTTCTAAAGTCATTTGCATAAATATGTTCCATGAAATTTTTCTATTGATTTAATCGGAGATAAAGCTTTGCTGTTACAATAATTAAATTAGTGTTTTTGTTTTATGTATTCATCACATCGTCGTACAATATAGAAAAATTACCTTAGTAATGTATTCGGAGAAATTTTATTGTCTCAATTGATTATCTTTTGTTTTTCATTTTTTTCAACATTATTGATGAGATAAAAAGAGTCGATCTAATTCAATATATGAACGGCAATTTAAAAATTGTTTTTATATCGAAAGAGTATTAATGCAATATTGTTCTCATAAAAACTGTTCGCATACTAATATCATTCTATTATCCTGTAAAGAAATTCAGCGAATAGCATCAATCAATAGATTGGCAACGACTATTCTCTAGTCGTTGAGGAAATTGAAAAATTGTCTTAATTCTATTGTCAACAGGAAAAAGAATAAAAGGTGTATGTTTTTTTCCTTCTTCGTCAAGATTGATAAAAAAAATAAAAAATTCATTTTTTATTTCCAATGAATATTTATGACAAAGAACCAGCGATGGATTGAAAAGGAATAGATGCTGAGAGGACTGATTTCTATTCGCTTTCTAGCAAGAAAGATTAAAAAATAAGTCAATATGACTTCTCCTGAGTTTCAAGATACGTTTCACGATTCTGACTATCCCCCGTCATCTGCATCGAATCCCCATTGCCGCCTATCTCATAAAAATACCACGTTCACCACTACAAAAATGTAAATTTCAAATACAACATTTTCTGTTTTTGTCATGATTTTATGATATTTCAACGGAAAAGAAGAAAAACAGTTTTAAAATGAATTATAAAGTCGCAACAATGATTCACTTGAGATTAGTATAAGCCTACGCAATACGAAAGGGTGATCTAAATCCCAATAGCATATAATAAATCGTTACTTTCATTCTAACCATTCATTCAGTAGTTTTTCATTGACATAATGCGTCTATCAACACTGTGCTTTACTCTTGTGTCTCTGTTTATTATTTTCTTAACAACAAATGCCACACAGGATATTCGACAACGTTTTGAAGGTCTGATTGACAAATCTGTTCAAGTTGCTTGGAGGCAAATTGACCGAGAAGGTTTCAATTTTTATTTTTGAATCACTATTTTTTACAGCTAACTTTAATTTGTCTCTTACTTTAGCACCCGGACGGCCAATAGAAATAATGCGAGACAGTTCTCCACAAGCAAACAAACCAATAACTCCAGGTTATGTTCGTGTCATACTTAGTGACAAAACTGGTCGCGTACTTTATACACCTATTTTACAAACCAATTAATCAAATTTTTCCTATTGACTATTGAATCCGTTTTATTTTTATGTTAAACAAACTACAATATAATACTGAATATATATATATATATATTGTCTTCGAACTATATTGAATATATTGAAAACAACTTCAGAGAATCTTCAAACTTGATGATGAACATTTTAATAATCATCAATAGTGAGTACATTCAATGTGAAGTATTTCTCTTATTCACAATTGATATCTCATTCATAATAAAAGAAAGAAAGTTGAATCTACAAGATGATTATCATGAGAATGTTGAATATCAAAACAAAAAAGAAAACACTTCACAATTAAAGAGGCATCTTACATTGTTGCCATAACACGAACAAATGTATATTAAAGAAAAGATCTATATACATTTTAGTGAATGATAAATATTGATGAAGTACAATATTTTTATAAAAGAGAATCGTTAGAAATAAAAGAATAATATTCATATTCAACAAAATGTAGTAATTAGCTTCTCCTAAACTAGTATGTTTTATTTAAAATTTAGTGTTATTGTACAATGTCAATTTGAAATACATGCATGTATATTATACGTATGCAAACACATATGTTCATAATTTTTAACTTTCAAAGTAAAACATAGTATCTACAATAAACAATTCGTGACTTTTATATATGATGTTCTGCATCAAATTTTTATAGTAGGTTTGCCAACAAACACGCCTCAATAATTTTCTTTCTGCCGTGATTGTTCTTGTCAGTTATGTTATTGCATGATCGAGTAGTTCGAAAACAACATGTTTGTTTAGTGAAGAAAAAGAAGACATAGACATTCAACAAACGCTTACTCACTTATCCTTTCATTCACTAACGACAAAAGAGCAATGCGTTGTCGTTAACATTCATCTTTGATTTACTTGTTGCAAATATTAAATGTTGTCATCTTGAGTGTGTGTTGTATTTTGCTTTTACTATTGTTACTTATTTTACCATGTTGATTGTTTAGTTGAAAGAAAAAAAAAAAGAATACAACTAACAGAATAAGAAGGCCGCTTCTAATACAACTATTTATTGTGTGGCATCTTTATTTGTCTACAATCGACGCAAAAATATAATGTCAATAATTTACATGCACATTAATAGCTAAAAGAATGTTTTATCATATCAAATGAAATTAAATTTTTCCAATCTTCGATAATAGCAAACAAATGTGTATAGTCACCAAATTATTCATACATGTCAACATATATAGATTAAAACAAAATAGTGAAACAATATTTGAAGTGTCATCTTAACGAGAGCTAAAACGAATCACAGTCTTCTACTTATCCCTCTTTTGCCTAGAGTATATGTATATATTTATCTGTGTCATATCAGATTACACTATATCTTTTTTGTATTCTTATATATTTTGATTCGTATTCAACACTATTAACATTACAAACATCATAGAAACAGGAAAAAAAAAGAAATATCTTTTATAAAAACATTATGTTTTCTCTCTTGTCTTAATAAACTCTATTGAACAAATCATGCAACCATTGTTATTATTAAGATATCGGTTTTTCTCTTCTTTTCTTTTCTAAAATCAATTAAACGCTTTAGGATCACTTAACACAAGTTATATCACCTTTTAAGAAACGATAAACTTCGTTTTTTTCCTTTGGGTGAAAATATTTTTTCAAGAAACTCAATTTTTAATTGAACAAAAGAGAAGCTGTACAAGAAGAAGAAAAAAGAAAGCAAAATTGGTAAAAGAAGTGCATGTGTACATTGTATGATACGAAGAAAGTTAAAATAACAATAGACGTTTGGTTTAGTAGTAATGCTTATGATGAAACATAGGTGTTTTATTAAAAATACACATACGACGAGTAGTAAAACGAGAAAAGAAAAGAGAGAAGAACATTGATTGCTTTATTGAAAGAAGAGAGAAAGCATCGTATTGGTTTATTTCTTTTTTTCTTGTTCGTATAAGATCAATTGATTGGAATCGCATCGGCAAAAGAAGACGGGAAGCAAAGAAAAACAATCATCACCCGACCAGTCAACATTTTCTTTCCATTTTCTTCTGTTTCTCTTCTCTCTTCGTTTCTTTTCTTTTTGCTTTTTTTACACATATACAAAATACATCGACTTCCATAATCATTCATAAACTCAGAATTATTTTATTATTAGAAGAATCAAAATGATTTCATCCCCATCACATCATCTACAACAAGCTTATTTAGCCGCAACAGCTGCTGCTTTAGGTGCGCCACATCTATTCTATGCAGCTACTGGTAATCCAACAAATCCTAGATTAACAAATGAACAATTATCACCTGAATCTTATGCACTATTAACAAATTATCTATTACGTTCACAATCACCATCTGATAGACGAGAACAACATCAAAAACCACCGTAGTAAGAAATTTTTAATATTCATTCATTTATTTATTTATTTATTTGAATTTTTCGTTTTGTCTCTTTTTTTCCGTCTATTAGTTCATATATTGCGTTAATAGCAATGGCTATTAAACATGCACCACAAAATAAAATAACACTTAATGGTATTTATCAGTTTATAATGGAACGTTTTCCGTATTACCATGAGAATAAACAAGGGTGGCAAAATTCGATTCGTCATAATTTATCATTAAATGATTGTTTTATTAAAGTGCCGAGAGAAAAAGGTAACATTTACTTTCTTTCTCTTCTTATTTAATAAAAGAAAAAACAAACAAATTTTCTTCAGGTAAACCAGGCAAAGGTAGTTATTGGACATTAGATACGAAATGTGACGAAATGTTTGAAAATGGAAATTATCGTCGACGTAAACGACGACCAAAACAACTTATGTCAGCAGTTCAAAAACCTTCATCGACTTCATCATCCATTCCATTGGATGATTCATCTTTATCATCATCAGAATCAAATCATAATTCATTGTTAATATCATCAAATAACGATGATGATGATATAAATCACACGACAAATTATGATCAATATTCTTTTCTTAAAATTGAATCATCAAACCACAAGAAACGACATCGTTCACCAACACCTGAAATGAATAATAATAACAATAATAATAAAAAAATAAAAACAGTTTCAGCATTTTCATCTATCGATACATTGATTGCACCAACGAAAGAAACAAAATCTGTTGATTTATCGTTATCTCCTTGTCGATATAATAATAATAACATCAACAACAATAACAATAATAATAATCCATATTTATCATCAATTTCTCATCAATATTTATCCTTATTATCAAATGGTTTTGGTCTTAATCCACCATATAATCGACATTCTACAGCCAAATAGAAATTAAAAGAAACATAACAAAAATAAATATTCGGACTTGTGTTTTTTTTTTGTTTTGTTTTCTCATTCCAAAAAAATGTCTTGTGTCGATTCAGTGTTTTTCTATTTTCGAAAAATATGCTACACGTAAAATGATATCATTCTGTCGATTTTCGCATTGCTATGTCTGTATTAAGAGAAAATCAAATCGAATTTGAGACGCACGACGATCTNTTTTTTTTTTTTTTTTTTTTTTTTTTTTTTTTTTTTTTTTTTTTTTTTTTTTGTTTTTTTTTTTTTTTTTTTTTTATTAAATAACAACGATATGTATCTGTCTATATGGAAATAATCAATATTCTGTTCATATAAAATAATAAGTGTCACCTATTTGAAGACATAATAATGATGATTATTGTTTATGACCGAATATAAACAAACAATAGTTAGAAAAGCACAAACCACTTGCTTTACCCTGATAAGCTTCATGGTGTGCGTGTCGATGTGCAATTCGATAATTTCTTTTTCAACAGCATTATGTGATTTGTATCTTGTTTTGCCTATTTTCATATACATTAGTAGAGCATCATATAAACATACATTATGTCCTCGGGCTTGTTTTCTTATTCCTCTATCATGATAATTCTCATCAGATATGGAATGTTGTATAAAATAGTATGATGTAATTGACTAGATTTCAATGTTTTCATAAAGATCATTTACTTTTAAACCAATCAAATTTATATCCGATAAATAGATGTAAAGCAAAAATGAATTTTTTTCTTATTTTTTCTGATGATCATCATCATTGTGAATAATTAATGATGAAACATACGCGTGCCGTATAGTAATTCTTTTTTTTTCTAGAGGGCTTTTTATATATTAGTGTTATTCTACAATGAATTCTTGAGGAAACAAAATATAAATATGTGTATGTGTGGACACATCAAACACATCACTTGGCTATAACTACTGTAATACTACATTGTCTAAACTTCTCTGTGTGTATATATATATATATATATATATGTGCGGTACATCTTCTAGCAACTGCCTGAAGCAAGACAAACAATCGGAATAGTTTGTTTGTCTAAAGTATTCATTTCGTGTCTATATTAAGATATGTGACGATAGTTTGTAGTTGAAAAAAAAATTAACTTTCTCTGTGCGACTTCCCGTTGTTCGTTTGTGTTTTTTTAGCTAGTTGAAATGATATTAGAAAGTCAATTTCACTTTGCCATATGTATGCAATAAGGAAGCCTAAAAACGAGACGGAAAAAAATTGACGAAGGAAAAAAACGATTCTTTTTTTCTTTATTATGCTTTTAGTAACAAGATATTTGGAATTAAAGAATAATAATAATAATAATGATGATTTAACATCAACTATTTCTCGAATATATATATATATATATATAAGATATGTTATTATTCATGAATAGCAAATATATACATTTGTATATGCTTGTACAACAATAGAAAGAAGAGACACATAGACATTCAAAACTCATTTTCTAATTACATATACACAATATATGAAATGCTGAAGATCACAGTCTCCGTCGTTGTTCTTTCTAAGATAAACATAAATATACATACACACACATAGTGCCGTGTAAATCTCGTACATAAATAAACGACCATTAAAGGACAACAACGAAGAGAGCGCACAAAAAGAATAAAAGTATTCATACCGCCATCCACACTGCGCATCTCTTCATTTTTGACACCTTTAAGAAATGTATATTTTTTCATTGACTATAAATACACCTGTAAAAACTTTAACTACAAAAAACAATAATAAAGTTCATTTTGTTCGTTGAAATCTATTTGTTTAATAATTAAAGTAATTGCAATATGCTGAAAATTAAATATCTAGGGTTCTTATCATATTTATAGAAATAAATGCCATCATCTATTATTGTGTCTGTGTGTGTGTGTGTATATATAAATATATGTTCCAATCAGAGTGCAGAAATAATGTTGACACGAGACAGAGAAGAGTACATTGAAAGAGGATGACAGGAAAGTGATCAAACAGTATGCGGCCCGCTTTTGATATCTTTTTTTTGTCTATGTGGTGTTTCTATTTGGTTGTTGTTTTAACTAAAATGTGCACTTGTGGTGCTCATCATCATTCAATACAGATGATGATAAATTTACTTATTTTATACATAGTCGTCAAAGGAAAGGGTGCATATGAAAAAAATAATAAGCTACATATGAGATTTATTTTTATTTAGAAAACAAGAATCAATCATAGTTCTCTCTCTTTTCTTGAAAGTTAAGAAAACATGTTCGGATGTATATATTTTTTTTCTTTACATCGTGAAAGTGACGATTATGATACGTCGATAGACAATTAGTTTTACAATAAAATGGTCTCATATATTTTATATTATATTGTTGTTATTTCAAGAAATAGTTCATGTTCTTTTTTACTCTGTATTATGAAGAAAATTATGCAGATGTTTGCCACTAGTCGGTTAAAATTATTCTTTCTCACTCCGGTCATAAATAGCAAGCGGAACTAAATATATGACTGTGAGGTGATAAACATACTGAAAATTTAATTGAGTTATGATAAAAATGAACTTGAGGCTTCTAGTACAATAACTTTTAGTTGAGTAAAAACTTTTTATGTTTGTCTTGATTGAAATCAACAAATGTTAGTGTATTATAATATTATAAAAAGAAAGGAAATGTCTTATATAAACATTTGCATTCCAAGAAATGGGTAATTGAATATTGCTCTAGCTATTTTCATTTGTATAGGAAACTATTGCCATTCCATTGTTTTATTTGATATACATAAGTGTGTGAAGAGTTGCATACAAAACATTAACGTTTGTAAATATCTTGACAAGCTGAAATGTCCTTATTTCTTTGCACTTATTTCGTGGCAGACCTTTGTAGATCGTCGTGCGTCTCAAATTCGATTTGATTTTCTCTTAATACAGACATAGCAATGCGAAAATCGACAGAATGATATCATTTTACGTGTAGCATATTTTTCGAAAATAGAAAAATAAAACTGATTATCTCATAGACAAATGGATACATTCAGTAATCCGACTGAATAGATTGAAAACAAATTTATTATTCGAAAAAATCTTATTTTCTACAAAATTTGTATATGAACATCTGAGAAAATCTGTTACAATCATATTTGATAACAACTATTTTGTAGTTTCTAGCGCGGAAAAATATCGATTGATTGAAATAACTCTATCATGACACGATGTAAAACAATAACTCATTTGATATAACAAAAAAGTGTTGGATCTTATTCCAAAAAGATAATGAAAGTAAATCTTATTTTAATAGAATGTTCAATTATATTCGATTTAGATTGTTTAGATTAGTTCATAGTGAAAGTTTGAAATAAAATAGTGCTGTATTAGATTTGAAAATGTTCTCTAATATAAAAAAAACGAGTATAGCATTATCAATCAATATCCTATGATATGTATGAACATTGATTAATTAAAAAACAATGTTTTGTTTTTTAGTATAAAATTACAACTACATAAAAAGGAACTGCAGACAATAAAATTTAATAAAACTCTTAAAAAAATGTACCTATTTCTTCTTTTTATCTAATATGAATATAGATCAATTGTTGACAAGCATTTTGACTATTGTTTGTAAGTATTTCGAACCAATTATGATATTTATGTTCAATATCATCATTTATATTTCGTTTTCCAAATATATGTATATCATGTGCATAGGAAAATCTCATACGTCGTCAACGCTTGGTATCTGATGTTAATGTTAATATAACAGCATGAATATTTTCACCATTTAATAGAATATCATTTATAAATTGTTCAATTTTTTCTTTCATACCAAAAATGAACATGAGTAAAACAAAAATTATTGTAAATGGAATTATATGTTTTAAATGGAAACCAGTAGGATTTACAATTATTATGATATATTTGAAAATATCGCCCAAATCAATGATCGGATTGTGACGATTGATTATCCCATGCAAATGAATGATAAATATAATCAAGATTATTTTTATATGCCTAATCAAAAAAGTCTTTATGAATTGGTTCTAAAAGGTAACTATCATCATCTAATCTCATAATACAAGTATAATTATTTTTGATTAATGGATGATGGAATACTGTATGCAACCAAAATTGACATATAAAAGGATAGCCTATTGAACGCTGATTGTTAGTTGGAATTTCACGATTAATTATGCCAATGGTTTGACTAGGATTTTTCATTACTATAAATAAAACAATATTTTGAAATATTAATGCTAGTCGAAGACATGATTTTATATATTCTATAGTCGAATTTCGTATGTCAGTACCATGAGAATCATAGAAAATAATAACTGGATATTTATGAAATGATTGAGGATAAAAATATTCTATTGAATGTAACATATTAAATGCTCGTTCGAGAATAATATCATTACATTTAATTATCTAATATTATTTTTAAACGATAACACAATGTGAATAACAGACTAGATGTCATGAAGCATGGAAAATGGATAAGGCAGCTTTCAAAAACCAAAAAAGATATACAATATAAGAATTGATGACAAATAATTTCAGTTATTTATTTTATTATTTCTTGATGATATAAAATTCTGATGAAATCAAGAAATTTGCCAAAAAAATTTACTGTTCTCTTACTGAATCAGAAATATTATTTTGGTATATTTTGTGGTATTCATGATAAACTAATAGGAATCAAGTAATCTAACAGATCAATTGTATCTCTGTTTCTGTAAAAGATACAAAAAAGCTGTTGGCGCAATCCCTGTGGGATTAAAATGGGAAACACGATGAAACTCCTTTTCTGGAATCCGTCAATCACGGTCAGTGATGGTCTGTGAAGCTTCTCTGTTACGGCCTGTATGATGATGTATGGAGTCGCTAGAAACCATCACAGATCGTTACAGAGAAAATAAATAAATAATTAATTAATTAATTTCTTTGTAACGATCTGTGGGGGTGGGCGGGGGGATGGGTTCAAATTTCTACCCTATATACTTCAACACTCCTTTCAGATCGCGTTTCACAAAATCTAGGTTGAAGGAAGAAAAAACCAGAAAAAATTCCATAATTGATGATTTTAATGTGTTAGTGATTCTAGAAACATAGATACTGATAGCCTAGTCTACAATTTTCTTTTAGTCACAATATCACGATGGATATACATCGAAGGAGTAACACTCTTAAAATTTTATTTCTATTGCCATTTCACTACTACTTTTAAAAACAAAAACTGTAAAAAAAGAATGGCTATTACTACTATTTTGTACATGTGATCTGCAAACAACGTACAGTGTTGATCCTATTTTAAGATAAGAAAGTAGTTTTCTGTGCTTTTATTAGTCTTCTTAATTAGCGAATAGTTCCTAAGTAAACGTATTGGATCTTCACGTGTTAAAGTAACAATAGTTGCTCGAAGTGAGCGATTTTGATGATCACTTTTTAAACTCTGCTCAGATTTAAATCATAATAATAAATGATAAATATACAAATAGGAAATTTAAAAAAATGTCCCCACGTTTCTCGTTTCGTTCTTTAGCATAAAGAGACAACAAAAAAGATGAAATTTGATGGTTTCTCTTTCTTTCTTCAAATTGTTTAAAAAAGAACACAATTATTAGTTGATTCAATAGGCCGAACAAATATATTCGAGTAGTCATTTTGTTTATGGCTATCAACAACAAAGTAAATATGACGATTATTTAAATAATTTTCTTGTTGATTAGCGACAATGTTTATTTCAAGTTGATCGGAATGTATAATCAAACGATTATTATTTGTTATAATTGCATTGTGTAGTAATGGAACAATAAAAATATGATGATTTACAAGACATATCTCACCAATAAGTATATTACATAATTTAACTATACCATATTCAGATGAATAATCTAGATGATGAACGTATTTTGTCCACATAAGTCCATCTAATAGATATTTCATAGCAGGAGCATAGTAGGAAAGAGTCGCAGTTTTTATTGAGTTACTTTCGTTTGGTAAAATAACTAAAATGGGTGATATATGTATAAGAACTATTCTAGCGAAAAAGAAAGGCTACATACGAAATTTTGATCCTTTTTGATGAATTTGTTTAGCAAAAAGACTAAAATGATGATAAGATTGAATAATTGATTCTGTAAAGAAAGATTCGATTTGTGCACTATCATGCGGCTCTGGTTTAATTGTTGAGGAATTTAAACCATGTTTTAGTAATGTATGTAATATTTTTCCATTATAAGAACGTTTCCATACATCTGGATCTTCTCCTCCAAGGTCACAAAGTATAGCTGTTAAAAGTTGTATTGAAGCGAGTTCATAAACACGTCCTTTTGATGGATTATTACATTCAGTTAATAAACGTCGAATAAAGACTTGGTAATATTCAATACTTGATTTTAAATTTAAATTCATTGCAAATGTTCCATGCTTAAGAAAAAAAGACGATCAGGAACAGAAATGAATCTTTCCTCTGATCAAAGATTTATTTGATTATCTTACTAACGAAACACTCAGCATCAGATAACGAAGAAGACCATCATTATAACTACAATACCAATTATTATCGTACCATTCTTTTGCGTATTCAGTTTTTAATGTTGTTAAACGAGCAAGAGCATCATTTAAGTGTACTTGATTATCATTAAAATTAAGACTAACAAATAGACAACATATGTAATAGATTTTATTTCAAGTTTTTTTTCTTGATGGTATCAACTACCAAAATTCGGAAAAAGCATTTCGTAGAGCTGACAGTTGTTTTCTATTAAATAAATATTACTAGACTCAGAGATGTTCACAAAACTACTTTGGTTCGCATGTACAGAAAAGTAAGTTACTACGAATCAATTGTCTAGTTTCTGTTCGATGGTTTTAGAACGAGATTATATTCAATGGAGTGCATAGTTCTTTATTAAAACACCATATTCTTTACTTTCATAAGATCTACAGAAAATCCTACAGTATCTTACGTGACAACAATATTATTTTTTTTATTAAAAAAATGAGCGAATTCTTTAGCATTCAGTAATTTGAATGGAATATTAAAAGTCTGCTTTTGAAGGTCAAGATTTTTTCATGATTCCACTCGAGTTGTTTCGTTTAAATGTTTTATTAAGATTGTTACTGGCTATCACTATTAAGAGGAAAATTTTGAATTAAAGCTGTTCTGAAAATTTACTCATTAAATTAGTGCAATCAATAAATTATTTAGTCCTAATAATGCAAAGTATTTAATAGTATTTTAAATTTTGCATCGTGTTCAAAGTGATCAATCGAAAAAAAAATTGATTCTGTGGTGTATAAAATTAACAAACTGCTAAATGGATCGAAAAAGTTCGACTTGGATATACAACCGACAAGAAACTGCTCCATTAACCTATATCGAAAAACACATATGTAGTTTTTGTATGAAGATTTGTATCAACAAAACTTCGAATTAAAATGTTTGATAAAACAAATGATTTTTTCGCTCGTTTCTAACACGAAGAAAATCTATTACTGAAAGACTTAGAATTTTAAAGTGCATTCTAGCTAAAATTTTACATAGCACAACATAAAGAATTGGATAATTCAATATGAAGTCGTTGAACATCTGTTGGTGGTAAATAATTAGCATATTTATCAGCTTGATTTGCTCCTTGAATAAATGATGAAAACTTATGACGAAAATCAAGTTTTTCCATATGTATATGATATTCTTTATGTTTAGCTGCGAGCCACTCACGAATAAGTAATGCTGTAGCATAACTCTAAAAGACTGAATCAGTTAGTCATCATTCATAACTCTACTTTATGTTTTACTACATACAAATTGTCCAAGACAAATATTATCTTTGAAAAATTCAAAATCATCCTCATAATGTCGCTCTTTTAATTGGTAGTCAGGTATCCAATCTTGATGCCAAACAAATTTTCTTTGTAAAAAATTTTCATTTGAATGATATTGAATAAAAATACGCGAATGAAAATCATTTTTTATTATTTGAGATAAATTTGGATCTATTTGTAAATCAATTGTTTTAGGATATTTATATATTTCTCCAACATCTTTATTGATATAATAGAATTCTTTATCTGTTGATTCCAAATCAAACAATAAACAATAATCGTTTAGATGAAAATCTGGCCAAATATAATGAACGTCTTTCCATATCAACCATACTAGTCGAGCAATACGTATAGCATAATCATCTTTTGTTATAGAAGAATTTTTCCATATATGCACTGGAACTATTGGTTTAAGGATATCAAGTTCAGCTTCGATTGGAACATTTGGATGTTGTTTTAATTTATTACGAAGTTCATGGATAAAACTAGATGAAACTGCTTGTAAATTCATGAAAATTTTATGAATAAATATTTTTCTTTTTAGTTAAGCGCTCAAATTCTACATTTGCTTCATTAACTTTAGACTTGAGCAAAATCTTATAACTAGGAAAAATTCGATGAAGAAATTGACGATTGCTAATATTTATAGAGTGCTTGATTGTAATAAAAATATATCAATGTTAGATTTAGTAGAAATGCCATATCTAATCAAATGCTAGCTCGATTCTATATTTTCAAACCATGAACTAATGAAACGATATAAAATAGTACTGTTTAATCCCCTGATTAGAATTGTTAAGCACCTGAAAACTTGAAAAAAAAACTCAAAGTCAAATAGTGCATCTTGAAAAGGATTTGCTTTCCTTATAAGTATTTTATTTTTAAATGCATACTTTCTTCTATACTAATCAGATTTGAAGGCCACTTTTTAACTTCTCTAGTGTTGAAATCACCTTCGTACTTGAATCATTGATGTTTCAAGGTTTTGTTTTGTTTTTTGTGTACTCAAAAAAAAAAGTGAGTGCACTATAGAATCGGTCAGTGTGTCCGGTCGTCCGGCCGTTTACACGATAACTCCTGAAAGGCTGATCCGATTATCATGAAATTTTGTACATAGCATTATCTCATCAATATCTCAGTCGAGTTCGAAGATGAAAGCAATCTGTCAAGAAATGGCTGAGTTATCGAAAAAATTGTCATTGTTGACCAAACCATCCCTGAGGGGGGAGGGGGGGGCACAGGGATTTTTTGAAAAAAAAAGTTTTTTTCTCAGAATTATTCACAACATATATAAATCGACTCAGTTTTTAACGCTGATTCCGAATATGATACTAGTTTTGAACTAAATCGTAGCTTTCTAACAAAACATCGCCTGAAAACGGTCTCAAAATGCACAAAAACTGCATCCAGAAACAAAAGTGCGTAGTTTCTCATGGTAATTTTGGTGTTCAGACATTCTAGAATGACTCATATATCCCATGTACCTTTTGCAGTACATATAGCTCTCGGATGAAATCCGAAGTTTCCACATTTATTTCTTCATGATATTATTTTCAGATATTTCCACTTACGTTATAGATGATAGTGTAATCCTATTCAACGGTTATTCTATCGAGTTTGTTAAAAAATTTAATTCAATTTAGTTATTATAATACACGACTAATAAAATTGTTTGTGCTGATACCGATGAATAAATAAGAATGATATAGATTGAAGTTTATTCCTCTAATTATATTAGAAATAATTCTATATATCGTTCTCATCAAGCCCATAAGTTTCCTATTGAACAGCTCATATAACCAGAAAATATCTACATCATATTATTACTTGCAGATAATCAATGGCTAATGATAGATAAGATCAAGCATAATTATTTATAGCTAATCTATATGGAACATGCTTTTACATAAATTATGGAAATATTTCGTATTTTATTTTATGTTTAACTTGTAGAATCCACTCTTATAACAAGTGTTGACTTCTACTACTAAAGAAAAAGAAAACAAATATCGCAGCGAAGATTATCACAAAAAAATGAGAGAGAGAGAGAGAGTAGAGAAATAAATGCCGCATTTATATTTGATCATTTTGTTGGACAAGTCTGTGAAAATATCGATGATATTAATGGATGTTTATCAATCTAATTAGAATATTTGAAAATATATTTGATTGCAAAAATATAACTAAGATCTCTTACTTCCTGATGTATTGATTTAGTATTTGTTGTTAAACATGCTGTTGATTGTTCATAATTACGTAGACGTACATTATCATCTTGCAAATCGCTAATACGACCTTGTAAATGACGAATAAGGGTATCCTGCCTGCCAACACCATTGGTATTCACTGACTCAGGTTCGAATTTGAGCTTCGAAAAGAAAAAGAAAAAGTCAATAGTTTTGAGCCAAGAGAAGTTTAGATTAAAAACCGTTTTAGGTGTTTCGAAAGGATATAACGTTGATCGATCATCATGAGATTTTAAACCGTTTAATGTTAACCGTTGTTTAGTCAAACTAAATAAATTTCATAGATAAATAAAACAAACAGAAAAATAACTATTAAATGAACGAACCGATTGAGTTCAGAGGCAATGTGATCTTCAAGCTTTTGCACAAGATTATTGATAGTATCATTTTGTTCTGATGATAAATTGAAAGGATGATGCAAATTATTCTGAGAATGATAGTGATCATGATCATAGGGTTGTGACAAACGATCAGCATCATGGAAATAATCTCCATTTTCTTTTTGATCTTTTGAAAATGAATTTTTTATAACTTGCTGATAGGGTTTTCGATTATTCGTAATATCATCATCAAATTTTCGATTTGAATAATCAGTTATCTAAAACAAATACACAGCATAAAAGACTAACGTTATTTTATTCCATAAAATGATTTACTCGATCAGTTAATACTTTCGATTTATTTAAAAGCTTTCCTTTTGCTTCAGTTTGCACTTTTTGTGCAAGAATATAATTTTGAATATCGTTGACAGTATCTTGAAGTAATTTCTATTAGATGGAAAACAAACGAAAAGCTTTTCTCTTGTTCATTTTTCATATTCATAACATACAAGTGTATTTTGAGTTGGTAATCGTTCAACAATTGACTTTTGATCATATTTGAATGATGTAATATGTCTGAAGAAATCAATGGAGAAAAAATTGTAAATTTTCATATTAAAGCATTTATTTTACTGAATTTTTGTGTAGGCTTTAGATGGACTATCCATTGACATGAGTAATTTTTTAATGCAATCGTTTATTGTATGAACACAAGCTTTTTCTGAGACTTCTAAATTTAAAAATAATTCATGTTGACGTAAACCAGCATCAGCATTTTCATTCGAAGCATGATCTAATGCATTTTCTAATTCACGAACACGATCTTGAATACGAGCACATTCAGCATCTTTCTCCTAAATTAAGTTCATCAGTTAACATTGTAATATAGAAAAGTGTAGAACTTTCATAATTATTTGTAAGCAAGAAGCACATTATCTTTGATAGTCGTATGAATTCTTTTTTTTTTTATGGAGGATTCCAATGTATATTTTAAAAAAATGTTGTGCAGATGTCGATTCTCAAAGAATGTTTAATTAGAATATACATCGGCAGCTAATAGACTAGAAATACCTTCAATTCAGAAGAATTTCGAGAAGGAATGACTCATATATTGAGAAACTAGGGAGAAGATTTTTGTTACAGTCAACTCAAATTATAGTTGTTAAAACTTTCTTTTTTAGATATTGGCGTAAATAAAAACACCGATTAAACACTGAAACTTATATAGAGAAAAACTAAAACTTTTCAAAATTTCAAAATCATCTCTCATAGAGCATCTTCTGCTTAGAGCAACAGTTTGAATTGTATTAGATTAGTAGAACTTTCATAGATACACAATCATACAAATGCATTCTTTATCTTTGATAAGTAAAGTATGCATGATAATAATGACTTTATTGAAAAATATATCATTGTTTTCTTAACTATAATTACTAAACTATTTCGACTAAGACAAAAAATGTAGTATCTTACAAACTAATGATGTCATATTCTGTTAAATACAATTAGTATAGAACTATTTTCAATGTTAGATATTTTTTCGATTCAAAAAAATAAGTCCATGTGACATAGCATAAGTTACATGTTTGTTCAAGTGCCGATATCAATAGATATTATTTTATTGTCAAAATACAAATTCACTGCATTAATTCAATCCTTAGTTGCAGAACTTATTTCTTTAGAATTGATAGACTTATTTACGAAGAATTTTTATAGATAGTAGGGCAGTGTTTTGGTTATTATATTTGATTTCAACAGTTGTCTGAATAGTTTCACTTTACAATCATATGAAAACAAATAATTCTTTCAAAATGCTTTCTAATTAATGATAATAATTTATATTGACGCTAATAATCAACTATACGGATCATTGCATTTCGTTAAATTTCTGATGTATGTTTAAATTTGATAAAAATATAGACATCGATGATAACTGTCACATGTTTAATTTGAAGTATAGAATAATAAATAACTATTCGCGAGAGAATGCTTAATAATCTAGTGAGAGTATCACGCTTCAATTCTTTTTTTCATTTATTGATTCGACAGTACTTAAGACTGTAAACCATAAAAATATACCAATCTCGAAACGAACCATTCTATGTCATCTATTCAATCTCTAGTGCTTTTGTTTGTCGTACATAGAAGAATACGCATATCATTTTTCATATGACAAATGTTCATTATTTATATAAAGAATGAAAACTCATGTGTAAAATAATATTGACCAAATCGAAAGTAAAATCTATTAATTCTTCAAATAACATACGATGAAGAAAAGAAAGCGAAAAAGAAAAAGAATTGTTAAATACTGCATCAATGCTACGATTACTTTCAGTATTCAAAAGTCGACAAGATCTAAAGAAACTCTTTCTTTTTTACTGTTACGTACCAATTGAAATTGATTACGTAGTCGAGTAACTTCATCTTGAAATTCTTTTCGACATTGTTCTTTTATACCATAGACAGCATTGATACGTTCACGACCACTGTCTTTAAGCATCAGTTGAGCTTCATTCGATATCTACAATGAAAAGTATATTGACATGGAGAAAAAAAAAAGAATCGAGATCATTAAACAAGAAATAAATAGAACTTAAAAGAAGAAGAAAATTAGAAATTTTGTTCTCAATTCAAGTATTTGTATTCGTTGAGTAATTAATTTGACAAGATAGAAACTGAATTAATAATTTAAAAATTCTTGTGTAAGGAAAAAACCAAAAAACATGAAAGAATTCTCAATGACAAACCTTTTGAGTATCCTGTAATTTTTTCTCCAAACGTTGACAATGTTCTTGTTCAAATTTTAGTTGATCCTGTAAGTCTTTAAGTAAACGAGTTTTTTCTTCTTCAAATTTCGTTCGTTCACCGGCTATTAAAAGATCTCTATGATCATTCCATACTTTTTTTTCACGCTCTATTCGTTCTTCCATCTATATATATAAGTTATGGAAAAAGAAAAACATTGGCTTCTCTTTATTGTTTTATTAGCAATTAAAAATAACAAACCTGTGATAGAGAATTTTTATTAGTGGATGTAAGTGCAATAACTTCATTATCTTTTGCAAAAATGAATGCTTTCAATTTGGCTATTTCTCGATCTTTAATCTATAAATCAATGCAACGATAAATGTCAGATTTTTTATGAAATAAAAACATCTAGATAAATCTTACTAGTAATTTACTAGTGACGCTACCACTGGAACGCTGTGAAATACTGCGGATAGTCTTTGAATAAAAATAAATCAGTACGAGTTCGTAATAAATTTTAAATTAAAACAAAATATTTAACTGATTTCTCAGCTGAAATACATGTTGAACGTGATTGATCATTTTGTTGATTACAATGATGGATTTCATTCCTAAATAATAATTATCATTAGTATGGCTTTTAAATTTCTTATTTAAAAAGAAATAACTCAGATTATGGATAAATTCTCATTAGCAAAAACAAAATTAATCATATGATCTACCTGAGTCTATCAATTGTATCATTTTTTTGTTTAAGTTCATTTTCTAATATTTGACATCTCTCTTCAACTGTTTGCTGTACATGTTGTTGTTGAGAACGAGGATGAGGATGATGGCTAGAACGTCGATCATTCATATTTCGTTATTCTATTGTATATTTGTATTCTCTTCAGTTCATTTCCTTACAATCAATATGTAAGAATGAAAGAAGCATTTTATGTATCAATAAAGAATAGAAAGTATGACTGAAGTGAAGCTATACACACAATGAACAAAGAAGAATCGATATGATGATGATGGTGATGGTAATCAAATATTTGAAAACGTGCTGTTGTTGAAATAAATTTCTCTTGATTCTTTTTACAGAATACAACTGCAAATTTATCGGCATGTATATCCTTTCTCTCTCTCTCTCTCTTCTCACTTCTCTCTATACATCTCTTCTTTTCTTGGCGACCAGACTTTCTCTTATTCTTTTCATTCTTCGTTTTTCATTCATTTACTTCTTTTTGTACTTTTTTTAGAGTGCTACTATGCTTTCATTTTTCAATAGGCTTGCTTTATGCTCAAAAAGAAAAAAAGAAAAAAAGAAAAAAGAAAGAAAGGAAGTTCCACTCTCCGATGTTGTAAAATAATAGTATTCCATAATCAAATAAGGTCAGATACTCATCTCTTACATCATGTTCAATGCAATTACTATAGAGAAAAAAAAACAAACCAGTGAACAATGTAATGAGCATGACAACTATATATGGAGTCAAGTTTGTTGAATTCAGAGGACACATAAAAACGAAGAAAGAAAAGCCAAAATATGTAAAGACGAAACATAATCTAAGTGCATACTTGTCGTGTTTTAATCAAAAGATGTTAGCTAGATCGTTTTATCTCTGCAAGCTTGCAATGAAAGTAATGAAAGAACAACAAGCAACTTTCGTCATTGGATATCCTACTACTATGATAAATAGATATTGATTGTCTCTTTTTCTACATTATTATTGCTGTTGTTATTATTATTATTATTATTATTATTATTATGATTCGTATTATGAGTTTCTGCTGTTTTGTTTCATTTTCCAGAACACATACACGTAATTAAAGTGAGAAAGAAATGAGAAAGCAAAAAATGAAGGCAAATGAAAAACAACAAACGATACAAACATTATTATCGGACGCATATATATGAAAAATCTACACATTCAAACAGTGGAATTCATCACCGTCGGATGAGACTGCGAGCGAGAAAGTAAACAAAATAGTAAATCACGAAAGAAAAAGAAGAAACCTATTTAAACGTAACTCGTTGACCAACTCCTGTTAATGTTGTTGTACTAGTTAGATCTGATAATGTTTGTCCAGGAGCACAGTCAATATCATCCATACTACCATGATTAATAGTCATGCCAGCAAGGTGTGCATGCTCATTATGACTTCCAGTACTATCTTCGGGTGTTTTTGTTGGTTCATGATCATGTTTATCTCCGACAGTTGTTACACTAATTGGTCCACCTACACTCATGCCTGTGGTACTTGCACCACCATGACGTTGAAATGGTTGTATGGAAAATCGACGATTTTTTCGTCTTGGACCATGCCGTTTTGTTAAATGTGGATTATCTTTACGCATTGTTTTCGTTTTTAATACATGCAATGACGTATACAAGCGTTTCAATTCTGCCTATAAACAAATGATATTTTGTTTTTTCTTAATATAATTCTATTTAATTCAAGATAATAGTCTTACTCGAATTTCTTCTGGATCCATATCTCTTAAGTTTAATTCACCAAATTCTATGTCACCATTCAAGTGTAATTTTGTTATAAGATCAGTTGGTTCAACACCATCAGGTACCGAACGAAAACGATCACGTCCTGAATGATCTTCATGAAATGGTCGAAATATATAACATAACTAAAGAAAAAGATTTTTAATGATGAGTGTGTAAAGAAATACTTTTTCAATTTACCTTTGTACAAAAAATAAGAATAAGCATACATGTAACTGTAGAATGGCATCGAAATACAGATAAAATAAAAATTGTGTCGGGATCAACTGTTGACCATAAACAGTCCCTATTTAAAAATAAGAAAAATATTTGTTTATTTTTTTATTTTGCTTTTTTGCCTTGAAAATAACCGAAGATAATTTTAAAAAGAAACTCACTTAATAATATGAAGTAATGTTGAGAAAAGCATTTCACATGCAATAGCAATTGTTATTAATTTTCTTTCATGATATTCACATGGAGCTGTTCTAGTACTATAGATGAAGCGAATCCCAATACAAAGGAAAATAAATTCCGCTACAACACAAAAGAAAAAAGACTTTTTTTGAAGAACTCATGTTTTTGTGTGCGTGTTTAACAAACCGCATTGAACAAGATAATCCCATGATCGTGGTCGGCACGTTTGAAAGTAAAATTCGTCTTTTCTTGTACGGCCACTTCCTAATAAATATTTTCTAAGCGATATGTTTTCATTTGAATGATCTATATTAACAAATGTCCAGCCAAGTAAATAGCCAATGGTTGATATTGAAATAAAAAATAATATGCGTAAAATATCTTTTTCTTTTACTTGAACGCAATGGGCTTTACGAGATTGAAATTCTGCTAACATTCTTTTGAATGGAAAGAAAAAAAGAAGAAAAACGCATCATTATTTTTTACTTAGAAATTACTTAGAAATAAAATTTACTTGTAAATACGTAATATTAATATTCCATACACAATAGTAAAACCAAGTTCACGTAACCATGGCATAATTAAACAAACAATTCCATGTGGACCAAAGCTATCTACAATAACCTAAAAATAGAAACAGAAAAAAGAGATTCTTTTTTTTGTATTGTGGTTGTAAATCATTCATGTTTCTTACTGATGCATAAAGTAGTACTGCACCGAAAAGTACAAGTTCCAGTAAAATCCACATTGAATGCTTAATTATTTTAATTTTACGTCTTTGAAATATAATAGCAGCAAGAATAGCAACAAAAACAATAAATATCGATTGTATTATTATTATTATTGTACGTAAAAATCGATTATGTTTTAAATGACACGGTTCATGATTACATTCACATGATTGCACAGAAGGTTTTGTGGAATCCTCGTTTCTTTCGTTCCATTCTAATTGATTGCCACTTATTGTTAGATTTTTATTCTCATTTGAATCCAAACAACGACATTCATAAGCACCGAGAGTAAACCCGTGACCAGCGTGATGAATGCACTAATCAACGAACAAAAACGGAATAAAATATAAGAAAAATTATTCAAAGGAAATTATTATTTACTCCCATTCCAATCGGACATTTATGTGTTCCACCAAATGGCATCTCATTATTGGCACATTGATTGATATCAACGGCGGATATATTGAAATAAGCGACAAAAAAATAGCTATGAAAACAAAAGTTTTTGTTATCAGTGTATTGTTTTTCTTTTCTTTTTCTTACCTCTGTGTTAATGGATATATATGTGCCATCATGAATGTTTCATTTTTATTTTTTTCACACAGAACAGGTCCAATCCACCAACCATCATTAATCAATGAGTAATCATTATTCCTTGCTTGTTTTAATGTTTCACGTGCATTTGAAGGTGTAAATGTTTGCAATATAATATTTACATCTGGTTTTAATTTAATATCATGTATAGAATCATAATCAATTGCTCTTGCTACTGTTGTTGTGTCATTACTTACACGATAATATTTTAATGTATCATAATAAATATAGGAACTTGCTTGATTATTATTATTATTCGATAATGGTGTTGCAATCATTACACTTATTTCTTTTATTAATAATTGACTAGCAAGTAATAAACGTATTGAAATACTGAAATCTTCTTGAAATTTCGATAATGCAAAATCGCCTAAATGATTTGATGATTGATTTATTTTGTTACGTATTTTATGAACAGTGAGTTTTAATGCATTAAATTCTTTTTCAAAAGATTTTTCAACTAGACGAATTATTTTTGATGGCAAAGAATTTTCTAATGGTAAACTATAAATTCCATCTAATGCCATATTTATTGTACAATCAGCTAATACAGATGAACTTGTTCGATGCAATAATATTCGACGTAACATATCTGTATCATGTTGTTTATCACTAATTTGTATATCTGATGATAATATGTGTCTTTTTAAACGATGATTTAAGTACGCATTTGCATTTTTTTTTGTTGGAAATAAAATACAAAAAGTTAGAAGTAATAAAAGAAAAATGAAAAGAAATATAATTATATATGAACGAATATGTGTGTAGTTAAATAATGATTGCTTTGATGGCGAATAAGTTAACATATTGTTATTATTTCGAAGTTGAACATAAGATGATGATGATGATGATGATAATGATGATGATGACGATGATGACGATGATGATGATGATGATGATGATGATGATGATGATGATGATGATGATGATGTATGATCATAGTTATCGCGTGAATGATAATGTTGTTGCTTGATTTTTTTCTGTTTCATGATTAGGATCACAATAATAATATTTTCAAACTAAAAGAATGACAAAAAAGATGCCGAATAGATAATTTAATTGCATCCTATATGTGATTTTCTTTTATATATACATATATGTTAGTGTTAGATGTAAAAAAAAGACTGAAGCAGAATAAATGAAAACTCCAAAAACACACAAACAAAGAAAAACTCAAAATGTTTTCCATAATATTTTAATATAAGAATGATTAATAACAAATAATTACCATAGCACAACTTTTAATCCCCGTTTCTCTTGGATATTTATCTGATAATGTAATTTTAATCTGACTTAGAGATTAAAAATTAGTAATATAGGCTAAGACTTATTTGCTTACTGACTATTTTTTAAACGTTATTCTCATGCGCTCTTTACAATCTCCTTTTCTCATGTTATAGATTGTTTCATCTAAACTACAATACAGGAGTACTCGACATCGTCGGCAACGGCATCGTCCTTTCAGAGACTAAATCTGTTCTGTCTTTCTTCTTCTTCATCGTCGTCTTCGTCTTCGTCTTCGTCTTCTTCGTCTTCGTCTTCTTCTCCTCTTCTTTTCCTGCCCGATGCCAGGGCGCACACAAGTAGACTTGTGTTCGCAAGCTCGCTCGATAATTGATCATTTGTTTTTTGACATTCACTTGGCTCTTCGTTCTGAGTGCAGGCGTTGAATCGTGTGTGGTGATAGTAAGTCATGCAGGTCTCGCTCTAGGTTTGTACGTTAGAGTAGTCAATATCCGAACTTGCATTTCCTCGTTCTGTCTCTGTTCTATAATCATGTTGCGTTATCGGTCTCAATTGCATACTAATAATAGAACTCATTATGTTACATAGATAGCACATGTTTTCTTCTTTTCACTGTCTCCTTCTCATATTTTGTTGTATCTCTTCAAATTTGATTGTATTCATTGACAACAATCCGCAAGAGCTATTCTTATTATATCGATCATTTTCGATAGATTCAAAAAGACAAATCCATCAACATTTATGGACCATCTGCTTGATGTACACCACATCAAATCATAAAAGATGAATATATATGTTTAAAGAACTACTTGCCAATAATACGATCTACTTAACAAGATGAATTTGAAAATCGGATGAGTAAAACTAACTACATATAACATGTGAATAATAAAAAAGGCAGCGACATATGAATAAGCATAAGAAATGTCTGGTGAAATCTAAGATTATGATTGCAGATATAAAAGTTTGCAAGCGCATTAAATAATAATGAAGCGCAATAGATTTTTTTTCATATCTATTGGTTTGACTGTAAATATATTATTATCATATACATATTATATAATCAAACTTACCACAGATAGTAAATGTCCATTTTTATATTATAATACTTGTTTATGTAGAAAAAAAAGAAGAAAAATCGAAGACTTTACATATGCATCTAATATGTTATTATTTTTCTTTCATTCATTTTAAACCCATCTCGTTTTCTTCCCTTGATTTTCACACTAAGTTATTTCTATCCTTTCTGCTTTTTCTTTATATATAAATATATATATATATATATACTTTTTCTAGAATAGAAACGAATGAATACACAGGAAGAAGTATCGCTTTATTTTTTTACTCACACATCCAGACATAGACTCTCTATTTTTATTGTTCTATTACACACTCCACTACCTAAATTTATTGACAAGCGTATAGTTTGTTGTGCGCGCCTGTCTCTAAACAAGAGAAGAGGGAAAAGAAAACGAAGGGCAAATTTTTCTCACTTTCTTGAGCGTATGCACTAATTCTCACCGGAATTCTTCAGTGAGAACGTACGGTCGCTTTCTTTCGAAGACGAGTCGCGTCAACACATTACACATACAACATAAATGCAGATTTCATGTTCGCCTCGACAAAAGAGCTTGGTCTCTAGCAAACAAACAAGCAAGCACACTAGAAGCATATCTTCTTCTACTATTATTCCTCATTATTTTCCGCTTTTTCTTCTTTTCCTTCTTATTCTGTTTTTTTTTTCTTTTGCTTTTCTTTATTTTTTTTTTCTATCATGAGCATACGAATGGTTCGGTCAGAAACGACGGTAGTACTTTATTCCTGTTCTTGTTCTTCAACGACACTGACGACAGTAGCAACATCGTTTTTTTTTCTGTCGCATTCACTCCCATTTCTTCCCATATTTTGAACAGCATTAATTGCGTCGCTAGTCTTTAGAGTCTCTGTCTTCTTCTTCTTCTTCTTCTTCTTCTTCTTCTACTCCTCCTCTTTCTCTTCTTGTCTTTTTCGACAACCAAACGCAAATACATGTGGTGTTAGTGTAGCCCATCTGATGATGATGATGATGATGATGATGATGATGATGATGATGATGATGAGCACTCATCGTTGTTGCCACAAAAGACGATGTGAATACTACTGTGAATACATACAGGCACAAGAGACAAATAGCGGAGAAAAGAAATGAGTATGACGGTTCGTATGGCTGATAAACGATTGCTCATGCGCTATCATGCTAATAATACTCGGCACACAACAACGGCGTTCAACACTTTCATTTTTTTCTTGCAAAATGTCATCCATTTGGATGTTATATATATGTAGTACTGTCAATTAGAAAAAAAATAAAAATAAAAACAAGTTTATGTTGGTATTCATAGAAAAAGCTTCACTGATCTGCCCTTGTTGGTATACAAGCTTACATATGTATTCTTATTGTAAGCTCAGTGCCAGATAGAAAAATAATATAGCTGATAAATAAAAATGTACTGTTCTAAGTACGTAAGTATGCGCATGTTTGCCTTGGTAATAGATCTCATGATGCATCCATTCCATAGATATATTGAGAACTTTAGATGATAACGTTGTGTGTCAATAGAGACATACGTATCTGTTTCCAGCCAAGCCTAATACACAGATGTTATCTTTTCTTCTACAGTATGCCTACGTATGTTTTCATCACAAACAAATAATATAGAAAATGGAGTGCAAATGCTCAACAAATCTTCTGTCATCATTTCATTGTGATCGCTCGTGACTGAGAAAAGAGGAATGTATGCCTATCTACTTAATTCAACTGTTTTTTTTATATCTACATTTGTTTATGATGATCATAAATCGATTAGAGACATATACAGATGAATGAAGGCTCTAAAAAGCAAAAGCAAAATCATATTATAAATATGAATCTTTTCTTGTCTCAATTCCAAGAATCTACTTTTAGTTTCGTGAGATAAACGCACATACGGATCCACTTGGTAGTTACTTTTTTTTGTTTTTGTTCGGTCGAGAGCTCGTTCAGAAATCCATCTTTATGATGTAGAAAAAGAGAAATTCATTAGATTTAATTTGTTTGTATCAATGACAACAACAGCAACAATGCTAAAAAAATATTATTTCTCCTTTTCTTCACCCTCTTTTAAAATCCATTTTCTATGCGTCCGATCGATTTCTTTTTATACTTGTTATAATAATAGCATTATATTGATCCATGCTAATTTTCTGTCCTCGTTATATATAAAATAAATGATTTTCACGATATTTGCAAATGTCGACATGATTTAAATATAGATGTGCGTAGGATAGATATGATATATAAAATGACTAATCATTTTTTCTTTTAGTTGTATTATTTGTTTTTATTTCGTTTATAACAATAAAATGAAAACAAATTACATCCAAGGAAAAGCACTATGAGTAGAATTATTTCCTTGATATGTTTGTTGTGTTGGTCGTACACCTGAATGATTAGTATTGAAGTTTTGCATATTTGAAAATGAAAATGGAGCAGAAACATTTGTATTATTCATGTTTTGTCTATTCGATTGTTGTGGTGATGTTGTTGATCGAGATTGAAATGAAGTTGAATTCGAAGCGTTTTGAAACCAATTAGGTAAACTTGGTGGAGGTCGATTATTAGTAATACCACCACCGCCACCACGATGAAATCCTCGATTACGGCCACGACCTCGGCCACGTTCCATATTCGAATAATTTGAAGAAATACTAAATAAAAAACGAATTAATAATTATTTCTTTTTTTTTTCAATAAATCTTATCTACCTAATTGCGTCATCATTTACTTTATCAACCATTTGCTCATCAGTAGTTTCTTCTATACTTCTTTTTCCTTTTTGAAATGCTTTAGCTGCACGTTCTTGTTCATCATCACTATAATCAATAGCGAATTTCGGCGGTTCGTTATCATCTTCCCATGATGCATCTGAACCTTTTAATGCTCGTAGTTCCTGTACGAAGACATATTTGGTGTATGTTGTTTCTTTCGGTGCATAAAAAACTTCTTGATTTAATTCAATTTGACGTTGATGAATACTATTAATATTATTATACCGAATAGAATAATATGGTTTTTCAACTGGTCCAAATGTTTCGAATATAAGTCCAATTGAACGACGATCACGATTAAAAAGAACAGTATCATCGTTGAGTGGTGGTGAATGAAGTAATGATTCGATAATGACTAGTTTTCCATCAACAATATGACGAATATATCCAAGGCGTTCAACGGGCGTTTCATCACTAAGTGTAATTGTTAGATTTTCGATTGGTGGAAGATCATCGATAGCAATTTCATTACGTGTACGCGGACCATGACCAGCACGAAGTAGTTTTTGCTCGTCATCTTCATCTGAATCGTCATTGATAAGTGTACTAGAAATGGAATGAAACATCTTTTTAATGAAAAGAAAACCAGTTCAATCTATTTTACTTGTGATCTTCCGATAGAAATGATTCATCCGATGACGATGAACTATCATCTTCGGAACTTGAAAAAATTCGACGTTTTTTTCGTTTTCTTGTATCACATTGATTTTTTACTTTTTTGAATTTTTTATAATGACGTGGTTCAAGTTTAATTGAAATATGATCACAGAGAGAATTCATAAGTTGAATTTGATCGATAAGATCGTCAAGTAGGCACTTTATATCTTGATCAACTTAAAAGAAATATTTAGTAAATTATATACTTAATAGTAAAATTTTAATAAAATTATTTTTTAAAATTAAAACAGTTATGATATTACACTTTTCGTTATCATACAAAGCAGATAGGAATATTTTCTATAGCTTTCCTGCTATCATAGCTTACTACTCATGCCCAAGTTAATTAAAATATGTTGTGTAAAACAATCGTATGAAAAAGTAGAATAAAATCTCTATTGATAATACATCAATGCAACGCGACCTTACACTAATGCATTTACATCTTCAGTATCAACAATAATAACCACGCGAATAACACGTACATAACCAGATGTTCACGATTAAAGAAACCAATGTTTATACAATGGTATTTTGTATGCATTAAGAGAAAAAAATCGACTTTATATGGCTATGTTATATCTATTAGACAAGTCCTTATTCCTATTACTCATATTACATTCTACTGGTGTTCTTTAGTTCGATCGTATATAAGAAAGAATTTGATCAATATTTTCGAATAAAAAGATTTACCTGAATTGTTCAACTTTAAATTAGCCATTGTTCTATATTAAGTTAAAATTGATCTAAAGAAAAGTTTCTTTGATATTTTATCTAATAAAGTTTAATTTATTTCGAGAATAATAAAATCTGTGTTAAAATTACACATGGTAAACTAGAGTACAAAAACATTCTTAATTATAAACATAACAATATTAATGTTTGGTTAATTATTTATTTTTACATTAAAAAAAAATATTGAAAACTGTTTTAGTTAATTCAATTATTGTGCCTTGCATTTTTGTAGATACTCATGGTGATTTATGAGTGATAACATCGCTGTTATCATCATCATTATCTCGCTTATACGGAACACGATTGATATTCGATGTGTTAGTTTCTTGTTGATCGATGTCATCATCTCGTTTAGTTGAAAAACGACCAGTACTAAACGTATCAACTTCTGGAGTATCATCATTGTCATCGTTTCGTTTAAACGCTACGCGCCGGGTGCTTGATGTACCACTTGGTTGATCATCAGTTTTATTTCGTCTGGTAATCGCACGTCGACTGGTTGATGTAGCTGACGAATGATGATAATAATCGTCGTCATCATGATCATCATCGTGCCGTCTAACTATGTCACGGTGTGCACTTGATGTAATAGCGGGACGGAGTTCATCTCTTGGTGGACTTGTTTCTCGCATATAATCAGATGATAAATTTTTATATCGATAAAGATCTTCTGAATGTTGATCAGAAAAATGGCTAAGATTTGAAGTCGCAAAACCATAATTTCGTTTCGAAGTAGGTTTTGCCGGGACAATAGCTTTAGGTTCAGGGTTGTCTTCTTCACGTGACGCAGAGAAAACACGCGATACTCGATCTGTTATAGCTCCAAGGAAAGAGCCACCTGAACGTTGAGGCACAGGTGGTGGTGCTGCGGTTGATGATGATGTCAATGCTGTTTGTCTTGATGCATCAGCCTTACGATATCTCGATGTGATAACATGTGATTGTAATTCGCTGCTTGCTGCATTCCAACGTCTATAAGAAAATACATTTAGTTACAATATACAGTTTTCTATGAAAAATATTTTAAAACCTCTCATTGAATTGATCCAATTCATAGTTTCCACGTGAACGTACTTTTTCATTAAGATTACTCATGTAAGCTACACGCTGTTTTTGTACAGTTGGTGTTGACCATTTTGAACGCATATGCGTTCTTTCACCTTCCTCTTCATCGTCCGATATTGCTGCCCTACAAAAACAAAAATGATGTGTTTTATTCAAAAAAAAGTACTACATAGATCATTTGATATTTATTTACATCATATCATTGGCTGTACTTCGAATATGATTTTCTGCAATAATGCTTCGAATAGCATTAACTTCAGCCTCTTCACGATCTTCTGTTGTTTGTTTCAATTGTGTTAATACACGTAATGCTTTGCTACCATCAGCAGCTATATAAGTAACTTGTACTTGAAATGGTAATTGTTCTAATTGATCCAAATCAATATTATATTTTTCTTTTAATTCTGAATTTAGAATAGAAAAATCATATTAAAAGTTCTTCGATTTATGTCTGTAGGAAAAACAAATTGTAACCTTCTTTGTTTCGAACACCAAATTCAAATGTAACTTCAGTTTGTTTAGTTACATTTCCAATATCACGTTTGATTTTCTCAAGTTTTTCATCTAGATTATCGGGATTACGAATATATAATCCACGATGCACAATCAATGTTGCTTCGACATTTGTGGCAATAATTTTTTGTTCAAGTATCGAAGCAAATTCATCACGCATATTTAATAAATCAACAATTGTTACATTACCACCTGTACCATCGGCCTACTCATGAGATACAAAAAAATCTTCTATAAACATGTATACAAAATTTATTTTACCATTTGACCAATCACAGGAAGTAAACAAGCAGTGCCTAAAAATCAAATAATATAGTTTTGAAATTTTCTCAAATGAAATAAAAATGTTTACCTTTGATAGTGATTACTGAAATACCAACACCTTTGTCTCTAGCGCGTTCGGTTACTTGAAAAAATTAAAAGATATTGAGAAATTATTAATCAATAGAGCAAAAATTAGATAAAATTTACATCCAGCATAAAATTGATTTCCTTCTTCAAGAGCGTGATTTCTAACAGCTTCGTCAACTTTAGTATCTTGAGCTAATTCCAAGCTGCCTAAACCTCGATTAGCTAAGCCTGAATAAGAAAACAAAATCAAAAAATTATTTTCATAATTAAATAGTATTAAAATTTTGATTGTCTTACCATCGGTACAAATAACTATTTTCGAACCTTGTCGTTTTGATGCTATATTAAGAGCAAAAACAACAGCTGGGCCAAGTGCTGTTTGACCACCTTCCTCGAGATCATAAACACGTTCTGTTAATTTGGTTTTCGTTTGTGCAACAGGTTTCAATTCATTCTTTACTTCTTTCTCTGCTTCATGCAATAAATCAGTCTCAGAATTTAATTTATCACCACGTATAACCAATGGTTCATCTCTTGTCCCATCACCTGAAAAATCAATTTTAATCAAAGCAAAAAAACCTTTATGTAGTAATTACAATACCATAATACGTTATTTCGTGATTGAATGTTAGTACAGCTGCACGTCTTGTTGGTGCATCTTTAACAAGTTTATCTAAATTAGCATCCACAGCCATTTGTACACCTTGTAAACGTGAAACATATGTTTGATTATGTTGTCGAATCATGTGTGCACCACCAAATGCTTCGGCAACACGTTCTTGTTGTTTGAGTATATGAGGCAAATTAAATGTACCTTGCACTAATGTTGTCGATGACATGGATCCACTTGTATCAATTAAAAATAAAACTATCGAATCATCAACACCAGTCATATTTGAACCGTGAACAACCGGTGCTGGTGAAACCAAATAAGTTGCATCTTCTTGCTTAGGTAAATCCGATTGTTCGATATCAACTCCATTGACATGTAAACAAAATTCACAACACCATTTAGATTCTGGCTCATCAGATCGTTCACTTCGATCATTTTCATTTGTCTCGCTTTGAATTTTGCTTAAATGAGAAGCTATTGCATTACATGCCGTACAATAGACAGGATCACCAGCATGCATTTCACCTAAATATAATTTAATCATGTTTTTATTTTTAAAACACATTTTTAGTCGGCTGATTTATGATTACCTGGTTGAAGTAATCGATTGAATTTAACACTGAGAACATTGGTATCAGGTTTACGTAAACGTTTTCGTTTATGTGAAGTTAAAGCAGTACTACCTGAAGTAGTGGACACCACTTGATGTTCACGGTGTCTTTCTCCCTCACTTAAAATTAATCTTAGATTGAGTTTATTTCAAAATCATTGAAAAATTTTTTTTACCGTGCTTGTATTTGTGGCAAAAATAATGGATCATTATCGTTATTAAGTGCATCACCATCGTCATCTGATACTGATTCAGATTCGGAACGATCATATTTATAGATATACTTGGATCCGAAATCCATAATTTCAACCAAAATCTGAAAGAAAGTACGAAAAGCACTTCTATATGAATCTGTATGTTAAAAAAACAACAGCAAATAATTGCTTACAATGGTGCACGATATTCAACCTTAGACGAAAAACTGTGATGAAGAAAGGAGAATATAATGTCGTGTAAAAATCATTACTCTTTTTTTTCTTCTTTTCTCGACCATAATAAAAACAACTTACAAGGCATATTGCAGCTCGGCAAAAAAAAGGTGTTCGTCCTTCCTTTCATTTCTCTTAGCAACCGAGCATGCAGTATTTAGAAGGAAATACAGAATCAATATTAAATTATTCAAAAATAACAAAAATTAATTCAAATAAGAAAAAAACAAAATTTTTATTAAACTAATTGATAATCAAAATGTTCTCTTACAAGTTTTCGTCGACTTTAACTTCTAAATATGAAATGACGCACACTAATAGTATGTATGCTCATTTGAAAACATAATGGTTTATGACGTACTAATGCGAATGTCGAACATTCATTGGTCAGAGTTTTATTACACATTTTTCTATTTTATTCAGTTGTGTAGGAAGTATTTCATTTGTCATATTTATCATTGTAATTGATTATCCCTACAGACATATATCGATGTATGACAACAGAAAAAAGTATCACCTGTATAGCATTTCTCACAATCTCATACGAAATATATCACTAATTCATTGTTTAAATACTTTCAATCAGAGGATTTTATTTGAATGTTTCACTCGAAAAACAAAATTTTAAGTTTTCTTGTAAATTCTTATCAAATCAAAATTTTATGCTCATTATAAAACAATTTTTCGATAATAATATTGAGATGGACTAGATTTTTCCCTATGAATTTATCTAGAAAAATAAATAATTTTCTATTTCTAAAAGATGAAAATAATGATCAATATAAGATTGTGATAAATTCTTATGTTTATAGCTGTTGCCGATTACAACATCAGCGATAAATAATTTCTCTTAAGCATTTAGCAAAAAAATGAACATTATAATAAATATTTTCCGATTCTTTTTCACTTTAAAATGCGTGAAAATGACGTCTGACATAATTCGCATTCTTTGTTTTTTACTTGATGAAAACGACAAGTGACAAGGAGAAATAAAGAAAGACACAGAAAAAAAATAATAATGACTTGAAAAATGCTACAAGGCGCAAAGATAAACATAGATTTGGAAAAAAAGTAGAAAGAATAAAGTTGAAACACACGAAAGGAACATAAAATCTAATGAAAAAGTGACAGAAGATGTTCGTTTATAAATAGATTATTCACTTGCTGCTATAATTGAATCAGATGATAAATATTGTTTTGAGAATTCCCTCAATTCATTATCAATTTCATCGCCTTGCTTTCGTAATTTTTTTCCTTTATCAATATATTTTAATAATTGATCAATATCTTTTCGTAGTTGTTGCATATTATCTGCTAAATCATCTTTTTCCATGTCAACATAATGTATTGTTTGAGCAAAATACATTGATAATTCTTGTTGTACTTGGGCACTTGCATTACCTGATGTCATATCAACGATTAATTTCATTTTAGATGATGCATAATCAGCATATTGGCGTTTAAATGCACGTTCCTGTGCTTTTTTTGTCCACATTAATTTTTCATATAAAAATAAACTACCATAAATACCGGCAACAACACCTAAAACTCTCCAGCCAACACTACGCCATATCAGTGCACAACTTCCCAGTGCCAGTAAACCCGATTTTGATGTTAATAATGATATATTATTTGCTGTTGTTAATAAATCATTTGTCGAATGAAGTAAAGATGGTGATGATAGTTCATTCATACGTTTGGATCCCGTTAGAGATTCTTTCTGATTTTGAACATAACGCTGCCATAGACATGAGAAGCCTAATGAGAATTTAAATTCTATATCCTCACGAAAATCTGAACATAAATTTGAACAATCCAAACGGTAGGAAACATTAAAATCTGAACGAGGTACTATTGAATCAACGAGTATTTTACGTTCACTATTTGATAGAACTAATTTAACACGATCTTGTATTTCACGATGAACACTATTTAATGATGTATACAAGGCTGAATGTAGACGACTTTGCAAATTAGAACCAAGTCGTTCTTCAACCCAATGATGTAAATCTCGTTTATAAAGTGGAATTTGTTCTGGATCGGACGAAAAAGGACGATCAAATTCTTCGATTAATGTATAAAGACTAAATAATGAAAATAAAAAGTTGCCGTTAGAAAATCAGACAAAATATTGTGTAAATTTATCTTTTATCATTATCATCAAAAATATTTCTTTCGCTGACCAACACTTACATTTCATAAAATAATATATCAGTTTCTTCCATTTATAAAATCTCTAGCACTCAAAGGTCCTACACAAAAATTTCTAGTTGGATTCTTTCAATATTGTGTTCAATGTAATTATGAAGTTTTGCAAACCTGATCTGATTCAATCTCTATGTGCTCTTATCTAGTATCAATACATAAGAATGAATCGTTTTAATTAGAAATACACAAAGAAAAAACTTTCAATTCATATATATTGCTAGAGGTTTAAAATCGATTATTTTCTCATATTTCTCTGCCTATTGAATAGAGCCACAATAGATTACAAAGAGCTAATAGTATACCTAACAATTTTATCTGAATAATAGTTTTTTTGTAAAGATATCTGTATCATACAGATTGTATAACAGAGATGTTTTGAAACCATTCGGATCGGGGAGGCCAACGTTTTTTAAGTCAAGAGATCGATTAAATTTTCTCTCTCTATAACTGATAGAGTTTGAAAATGAATGAATGAAGACACAAATAAAGTCTAGTGGAATTTCGCTAGCAAAGATTTCAAAATTGAGAACAACTATTAGGTAGCTACTCGTCTGGATAGTGTATGATTATTTATTTCACTAATCAAGAAAATTAATAAATGCGGAAACATCGGACTCGCATCCGATTGTTACGTGTACTGCAAAAACTGAGTTGATTTAGATATGTTGTGAATAATTCTGAGAAAAATTCCCTGTACCCCCCTCCCTCGGAGATGGTCTGGTCAATAATGACAATTTTTTCGATAACTCAGCCATTTCTTGACGGATCCTTCTCATCTTCGAACTCGACTGAGATATTGATGAGATCATTCTGTGTACAAAATTTCATGGCAATTGGATGAGGCTTTCAAGAGTTATCGTGTTAACGGCCGGACAGACACACTGGTCGAATCTAGGGTGTACTCACTTTTTGAGTACACAAAAACAAGTAACTATTCTTATAAAATCAAAATTTATCAATAGTGATTGAGTTTGATTTTCAAACTGTAATTTCTTATGCATTCAAGTCATAACTCTAGATATAGGCTATGACATTTAGCAAAAAAAACAATATTATTTATGATAGCTTATTATCCACTGAATTTTCAATACAAAGAATATTTCTCTAGGATATTTTATTTGCCTTTAGTTTCTATTTCTGTATTTTATTTTTAATAACATACCGTTTAATTTCATCGTTCAATGTTTGTGCAACTCTTTTATAAACATCTTCAGATATATGCCGAATTTTTTCCTTCGCTGATTCAGTCATTGCCCGTAATTCATGTTCAAGAAAACTATTTTTTTCGTCCATTTCAGTTAATTTTTGAACTGATTCTTGTTTTAATATTTGGGATTTATTGCAAACATTAGCTGTTGTTTCACGTAGTGAGGCTATAATTTCTTTGCCTCGATTTGTATGTTGTTCGAATTTCGTTTGAATAGCAGTTTTTGAAATACACTCTTCAAATTCATGTTCAAATTTACTGAATTCCTCGAGACGTTCTTGATATCCTAAATAATAAGACAAAAGTTAATTTTTCAATTCAATTGCAATGGTTTACCTTCATTGAAACCACTTCGTGGTGATGCTGTCGGATCTTTATTTCGGCTCAATAAGGCTTCCCGTGCTGAAATAAAGAACATCCGATGCTCAGAAGCCTGTTTTCGATCACACAGCTTTAATTCGTCGCATAGAAATTCTAGTCCACGGTCAAGATGTTGTTGTCTCACCTGAGTAGAAGAAAAAAAAACTTTCAAAATTAGAAAATAAAAACGAGCCAATTAACAATCACTTACCGATTCGACTGACTCCGGTTCATATGCAGTTGCATCCCAACGATTCATCAAGATGAAAATATTTGGATTTGATAAACGTTGTGCAACATTATGTAAAAATTTTTTCTCCTAAATTTTTATTCATTTCGTTTATATGATTTGACTCAATTGAAACTTACAGCAACTGTAATTGTTGCTTCAGCTGAAATAACCAGTACAAATACATCAGCATCTAAGCAATGATTTTCAATCCATTGATCGAGGTTTGCTGATACATCAATACCAGGACTAGAATAAATAAATACTTTTAAATAAAATTCTTAAAAACTGACTTTACCTATCAACAAGAATAACATCATCTCGAATCAAACGACATTTTTCTTTTGGCCATAAAATTTTTACAAGAGAATCTGAATCCAGTTTTTCTCTTGAGAGCGCATTGCTGATACTACCCAAACTCTAGAAAGACAAAATATGTAAATCATTTCTAAGTAAATAATTCAATTTTTTGCTGATATCATTTCATAAATATAATTATTCAGTTGCTGATTTGATCTATGTAATGTTCTATTTGAACTATTTCATAAGATAGGTGGACGTTTATTCAGTGTCATTCTAGCATGAGTAATATTAGAATACGCGGAAAATGTTCATATTCAAAAATTGTTGTTTATTTTGAAGTTGCCGGCGCAATTTCATACTGACTATTGATGAAAAAGAGTTTCAACGGCATCTCAAATAGATAAAAACAAAGGTACAGATTATACATCCATATTCTGAAGTTTTCACCAGAAGAAACATAGATCATGATATATTGGTACTGATGAGAATTAAAATCTTCCTCTACTTACAGAAACACTTTTTGGTTCGTCTGATTCGGGTGTGAGAACATATGCTTCTGCTTCATCAGTTCCTTCAATCTAAATAAAATATCAGACTAGCGTTTTAAAAACAACTTATCTTTTAATAATCCAACATACTTGAAGAAAACAATTAGTTGTGTGTCCCATCCCAACTGGTAATATTCTTTCGCGTAACATAGCATTGACAGTTGTACTTTTCCCATTACTTGTTCTAAATTGTAAGTTTCAAATGAACATTAAAAAGAATACGAAGAGAATTCGTATCTATTCACCTTCCAAAAAAGACAACTTTCATATGGTCGCGTGATATAACAGATAAAATTCGATTAACTTTATCATTTAATTGTTGAATATCTTTGTATTTATCGTCAGTTATTAAATTTTTATCAGCGTTGCTCACTTCTAGAATAGAAAAATCAAAAATGAAAACAAATTGTTAAATAAAATAAAACAAACCTTCTAGAAATTTATTAGAGTAATCAACGTATGATGCAATGTTTTTAAATATTTGAGTGATTGTTGTTTTAGCTTGAGTAAATAGTTTTAATGGTGAATTAGCACCTAAATAGAATAAATCGTTGGAAAATTGAAATATATTTAGTGAATGCTGGTTTTACTAACTATTTACACTAATTTGACGAGCAAGTTCAAGCGATGCCGACTTTTCATGAATAATACTTCCTGACATAATTATTTATCTAAGATAGAAAAAAAAAACTAAGTCGATTGATAATAAAATCTTCATTTTTACGCTTCTTTAAATTAATACTAAATAAAGAATAAACTATTTAATGCCGATAAATGAGATGATTCAAGCATTGTAAAAAAGGAAATACTATTGCAACTTTTTTTGAAATAATAATGAAAATGTCTTCGAAAAGTTCAAAACTAAACAAACACACGACGTGATTCTCTTGTTCTGAAAACTACAAGAATCATCGTTAATGACAGTCAAAATAATATCTACTATTCTCATGTTAGTCTGCCGTTTCCGATGAAAGTCTAGAACATTATGCTTAATAAATGATTCTTAGCAAACTAATAAGTATTTACAATTAAAAATATCTAACCCGGGCATATACACTGGAAAATAAACATCAGAGAGGATAGTAATTTTGAAACTACTCAGAAATGGATCAACCTTACCTCTGGTAAGTAGAAATCGTTCATAAAACAATTATAAACTTCAGTGTGAGACTATATTGGAATGTTCGCTTGCTTCAGAATGTTAATCAACGTTGAGAAATGAAAACACTACTCAGACTAACTATAATTCGGGTATAAATTTTCCTTAGTTGAACTTTTACTCGTGAGTAAACATTTCAACCAGGCACGGAATTCGATTTCATACGTGCATTTTCTTCTCCGTAGAACTTATCTTTCTGATGCGCATATCTCATTAAATCTTTGTATCGTGTCAATGTTTCTTGTTCAAGAGCTCTCTATCTATGAGATAGAAACAAGTTCTAGTCATCTATTTCGTACGCCATGCTATTCCAAACAATATGTTAAACCCTCTGTTTTGCACGTTGCATGTGTTCTGAAAATTTGAATTTAACTTATTACGTATAATGTTAGAAGTAAAAATGTACCTATTTATTAATCAGATATGTTCACCAATGAAAATTCTCAATCTCCTCTATAAAAGAAAAGTAAATATTCAACTGCGTAAAGAAATAAATAAATGAAAATGAAACGTACGTACATATGCGCTACATGCACACTCATTTGTCATTTGATTTCAATAATCCAATCGGAAAAATGGTGTGAGAGGCCGCTATTCTATATACTTGAGTTTCTATGACAACGAATAATAGGATTTTAAGTCATCATATATTATAATCATTCAATGGCAACTACTGGTACTCGCCAAGGAATTAATCAAAGACGACGCCTACCAAAATTAACTGCTGCCGATCCAGTTGGTGGTAGTAGTGATGAAACACCTCGAACAGTAACAGGCGATGAAAGCGCTCGACAACGACGTCGAGCTCAACAACGGCTAACTCGCCAACAAACACCAAGTGGAAGTGAAGCGATTTCACCACCACCATCGAAAGAAGTAATTTAATTATTGGTTTTTCATTATAAATTATTTCATACTACAATATTTAGCTTCCTTTACCGCCTCGATCAACTCACATTGATGAACGTCAAACGAATAAACGTCGAAAAGCACGTCGACGTGTCCAATCATCGTAAGTGACACATACCTATTATTGAATTCTTTTTTTCTCTCAATATCTTATTAAAGATCACAGTTGGAACAAGAACCATCACTTCTACAAGGTTTTGAAGATGACATCGTTATTGAGAGACATCCAAAGTCGAATGAAGTCATTTTACCTGATCTATTAATCTCAAGTTCATATGCTGGTGGTGCACCATCGAAAAGTGCTCCGACGCCTCGTATTTATTATGAAAATAGAAGTAGAATGTTCTTTTTAAATCATTGAAATATTATAGATTATTATATTTTAAGAAACATTTTCAAGTGAAAGAAAAGAGGCTGCAGAATTACGGATAGGCAATAGAGCCGCACAATCGCCATTCAAATCAGCATATGCTGACAGTTATACATTTCAACAACAAACAGCAGAAGTTTTAAAACGTTATACAGTTCGCGTTGCTAAGCAAACTCATGCAGCTTTGCAAAAACTGTTTCTTTTCATACATGGCATTAACTCTGGTTATGCATTATGGATATGTATATTTGTTTTTGTATTTACTCAAAACAATCCAACAAACTTCTTTACTACCTATCGATCAATTGCATTGATTACACATCTGTTATTTTATCTGTTTCTTGCATTGTGCATGCTCGATGTTTTAGATCGGTGAGTAGCTGTATAATTTAACATCGAATTTTCCTCATTGTTGATGTTTTAAATATTTATTTCGTTGGTTTTTTCTCGCTAGAATTGATTTCGGTAAATGGAATAAAACTTGTTTATTACAATCGCTTACTGCACAAAATAGTACAGTAGCTTTGTTGTTTTATGGAATTGCTATGATTGTCAATTTGGTTATGATGCAAACAGAAGATTACCTACGTATGACTCAATATTCAGGTTCTGGAAATACAACATCTTTGTCTCTAGTAAGTTTACTACTTGATTATTGATTTTTATGAATTCCTTTTTTTTCTAAAAGGGAGTTATCGTGGCTGATTACAGTACATGGGCAAATTTAACAGCAGTACGAGCAGCTTTTATAATTGCTGGTTGGATTATTGTTAGTATACATATTAAAAATGATCGATTAAGAACAATGATTCAAAATACAGAAGAAAAAGCATTTTATGAAGAATTTCAAGCTGGCCAGCACACTGTACCACTTGTCACAGGAGTGTCTTCTCCTTAATCATCATTCTACTATTCAATGTTTTTTTTCTTTTGGTTGATTAAAATAAAATAGAACACGAAGAGACAAACTAATATGAATACTTTTGTTTATTAGAAGAATCTGCTGTTTGTGCATGTATTTTTCTTTTTGCTTTAATAAAACTTTTTTTTTAATCACATAGAACTATATTTCATTTCCCTTCATAGTTTGTCATTGATCCAGGTTGATTTTGACGAATATGATAATCATAGCCATTGATATGATATCGACCATGTCCATCTAACATTCGGTATGGACTGGATAAAGTATTACCCCACAGTACATGGTTGTTTGCACGTTTACCAATTCGTGGAAAAAAGACACTACGTTGTTCGAACCATCTGGAATCATTATCATTGTTGCTGCTTTCATTTTCTTCAACATTCATATTTTGGTAGTCACTAGAAGAAATTTCTTCAGTGCCAGATGACGAACGACCAATACGTGGAAACTTAGTTGTACGAAGAAAACGATCATAATATAATGGAATATTTAATCCGTATTGTTGATCAGTAATACTAGTTTTTAAATCATCCGATTGTAAAACGTAGCTACACTAGAAGAAAAAAGTTTTGAAAATTAAAAACGAAAAAAGAAATTTTAAACATGCGCATTATTCTTACAGTCGATGGAATAAATAGTATGATTAAAATATAATAGAAACTATTGATAGTTATTGTTGACGATGAAACAAGCATCATTAATTTGAGAATTTAATTAAATTTTTCTTATATCTATAAGCCTACATGCAAGGCAAAAAAAATGAATGAGAAAAATCTAGTTGATATTTATGAAAGGAATTCACTGGATGCTGTTTACCTCTAAATGTTGAATTTTCCAATGTGTTTCAAGTATTTATGCAAATCGAATAGCAGAGATTGATGTGGGCGTAGAAAATAAACTATAGAAAATCACGATTACAACCCCCCCCCCCCACCCCCCAAGAAAAAAACCTAGTAATATTTATTTTTTGATAAATGAAGGACACTATGAATGCAGTTGAAAATTTCATCGTACATAATCGGAAAAACGTCCGTTTATGCACGATTACTCGTGGGTTCAATCGGAAGTACGGACGCGCACTTCCGATTGATTGAATAAAACGTAATTTTTTTTATTTTTGTTCACAATAAATATTTATTAGATAAAGTGCTTCAATTAACATCATATTCAAACCAATATTTATACTTTCTTCTTTACAAATAATTCCCAGTCAATTTTACAAAAACTGAAAATAATTTCTATCGTTGCATGATTCTAAATTGTTGACTAGACACAAGCTATTCGAAGATAAAAGTATAAATGTACGAATTAACTGTGACTCTTTTTCTCCAATGAGTAAAAGCTAGACTATTCTAAAACAAGAATTCTAATATCAGAAATCAAAAATAAATTGGTAAATAAAAAGAACAAAAGTAGAATTGAGTTTACTAATTCACCTATATAAATATAATAAAGAAAACAAATGATTGATAGCATGATTCGACTGTGTATCAATGAGTAGTACCTTTATGAAACTAATCATACACTTACTTAGGTCACAGCACTACATATTCGTTGTTTGATGGTGTTTTCACGAATAGAGTAGACAGTTTTCATTTATAAAATCAATACTTTTTCTTATTCTAGTTTGATAATGAAATTTAGATTTTAGTTTTTAGAAATATACTGTGAAAATATCATCAATACGATTCGATTTTATAAGAAAGGACCATACACATAGCTATAATCCAAATCGGAAAAAAAGAATAAATGCGTGCATAACACGTGATCAAGGTAGTGATCGAATGTGAAAGACAGATATTGACGTGCAACGATAAGACAATATCATTTTGATCAATGAAGTTGTGCCATAAAATACTGTTTCATTATATGTTGGTTTGATTTTTATAACAGACATATATATGTATTCGTCTCTTTTCTTTCTCTGCTGATTCACTAATGAGATTCTTCGCACATTTTAACATGTGAAAACGTAGACACAAATTCTTCATTGATCGATTTAAATCATTCAATATAGTAATCATGTTTAAACTTGGCTTTTCAATGGAAGAATTAATGTTTCCAGAAAATTATCAATCTAATTTGCTTATTCATATTGAATCCAATTGTTTAGTAAGAATTCAAAACTATAAATTTATTTCTCAAGTCTAATTTCGTTTTTATAGCGAGAAAAACTTCGTAAAATTTCATCAACATTTGATTATCATGAATCGATGATTATAGATAATAAAAATGATGACGATGATGATGATTGGTTCACAATTAAACAACTGAATCCTGGTTAGAATCTACAAAATATGTTTTTGATTTTATTCGTTATTCTATTTATACGTATATTAGAAATATCGTTGAACTCGAATAGTCTAATAAATGATCAAACATTATCAGTATTCGACGTTTTTTCAGACAATTGCCACTTTGATCAAGTGAAATCAATGTTTGAATTTGATGGTAGTATGGCTACTTTACTTTTACCAAATCTGTCAGTTACAAAGAGTAAAATTTTACAAAACAAACTATGTGAAGTCAGTGTCAATTATAAAGCAAATCAACTTATTCATGATAAAAACAATGCTTTATTATCATCAGATACAATTCCAATAATCTCATCTTCCTCTCCTTGTAGTCAACGGTAAAATATTATAGTTCGCGTATGTTTGAACATTTTCTTATCTTTTTTTTTTTTTTCTTTAAAATAAAAAGACAATCAACCACAACTACAACGATTACTCAACAACAATCAAATAAATATACCATGTCTAAATCAACTTCAGCTTTATCTTTCTGTACACAGTCATCAACATCAATGACAAGTAGTAGTGCCGATGAGATTAGTTCAAATTCAAACGATGTCAGCGAACTAACAACTATACATCATCCTACTGAATCTATGCGACAACTATCTGATCACTATAAATATAACAGAAGTACAAGTGATGATTCTTTGAATTTGAGTAGTAGACGTCGTCGAAAAAGAACTATCTTCAGTGCAGCCGATATTGAACATTTAAAAGATGCATTTATTCAAAATCCTAAACCGAGTCGTAATTATTTCAATACTTTCTTTTTCTCTGATTACTATAATAACATAAAAGAACTCCTTTTTGTTTCAGAACAAGATATTGCTGTTTTGTCGGACCAATTAGGTCATGATTCGTATGTGATTCGTGTATGGTTTTACAATAAACGTCAAGCAACTAAAAAACGAAACGAATAAGATAATTATTGAAAATAAAAACTTTCTATTAGCATCATTTTTATTCTGATTGCAAATAAAATGTATTCATCTATGTAGATCATTTTGATCTTGTAAAAAAAGTCAATACAATATTAATAATCACATTTGATTTCATCTGTTTTTTTTAGCTTAGAAAAAATAAACAAAAACATATTGAAAACAAATAAAATGTTTATCTACATCAACAGATCAGATTAGCTAGAATGTAAATAAAACGAGAAGCCTGGATGTATTTTTCATTCGTACGAAAGGTGCACTGAAAAGAAAAATAAATAAATAAACAACTAACAATAGCAACGAATATTTTATCAACATTATGAATCACATGCTTTGACAAAGTGTATGTATTGAAGCACCTGTGTGTGTGTGTGTAACCGCAGCTTTTCACGATCGTTTGCTCAAACATATTACGCTTATTCTTGTATGTTGAAAATCTTAAGTCTTGTTCGAATCTTCTGATCGTTATCTTTTACAGGAGATAAGTTTGTAAGTTTTTTGTTTTATTTTGGAAAAAAAACTAATCTGTTCGAAAATTTTTCTCGTTGAATTGATTTGAACTTTGAATTGAAATTGACCAAAATCTAGTTGATACGATTTCTTCGAATAGAAAATTACTGTCATTTACTCTGATATTTTTAAAGAGTTTATCGTCATTGTCTGTTTCAAAAACTTCCATACATTGACACCCATCAATTTTCAATTAATATATCATTTCAGAATACTTAACTACAACATGAACTGCTAGTGGCAAAAAAAGAACGGAATCATTCGATGTGGTACGTTGTACAAATTAGTGGAAAAGAACGGTTTGGCTGATGTTACACTTAGTAAACTACCTTAAATAAGGATGTTATTTAACATTGTTATTAAGCGTAGAATTTGACTTTCCGGACACCATAGTTGTTGATATCCTGTAAAGTTATCAGTAGAACATATGCACGAGTCATTTGGATATTCATTGTGTAAATGAAGTGATTTTTCTTTTCAATGACCAAAGTAAAATCCAATCAGTTAATTTTTCTAACATCTTTCAATCGCATAAGAATGCGTTCTTGTCAGAACTTCATTTTCAATAGATAACTTCTTGAATTAACGATATTTCAGACGGTTCATTTCTGATTATTTCTAACGGGTGGCCCAGAATAAATGAAGGTCTGAGTATTTCATTAATATCTCGCTCAATTTTCATTGCGCAGGGTTGAAGTTTTCTCTAAAAGATGAGCCATTCAATTCTTGGCAAAACGCGTGTCGAACATTTTTTTTGAAGAGAACTAAGGAAACAACGTTTTAAATACTACTGAAGACGTCCTGAAAAGGTCAACTTTCAACGATGAAAAACCGCTTTTACAGGCTTTTCAATGGCTAGCTAGGATGGAAATAAAATAAAATAAGCATTTTGTAGCCTTTGAAAAGCTCTATCAATGGTTCATAACTTGAAAATTGTTGTGCTCATTCTTGCGATATACACCGATTATATTCGTTTTTAGATTTTCGAAAACATAACTGTGTCAATCTGCAATTTCGAAGCTCCTGCGAAAATAAGCATAACTAAGCCAAATTAGCGTCTTTTGGGTTCGGGTTTTCTTGATTTTGATGGAAAATCACTACTGTATCAGATTCACACACGCAAGTTGACATCAAACTCTCTTCTTCAATTTAGCTGGCAAAAATATCAGATTTGAGGCATTTTGAATAGGCTTTTGAAAGGTGAGCTTCTTTAATTTCCAAATGATTTCACCGAACTTTGAACTACGTGGCCAGAAAGAGTACGCTTTAAAGTACTCCGAAACATCTTCACTTTTGTTTTATTGTGTAAGGTAGTGTAAAAAACGTTCTATCGTTTATGTTTACAATGCTTGTGAAATTTGGTCGTTTCGTATGTGTTTAGTATAATATAAAACTTTTCCTGCTTATCTATCTTCAGAGAATGTTTTGCTACGCGTTTGGTGAAGAATTGAAAGACGCATCGTTTAGAGAAAACTTCAACCCTGTGCAATGAAAATTGAGCGAGATATTAATGAAATACTCAGACCTTCATTTATTCTGGCCCACTCGTTATTTCTAGGCTACGCAAAATATATCTTTACACATGAAATATCGAAATAGAATACGTGGGTTATGAATATCTCTATGAGTACTTTGCTTTTGGTATGATCTCAATAAATCTTTTTAATACTTCTCATACTGAAGATATATGTTTATATGTAAATCAGATTAATAATCTGTTGAGTCTCAATATTAACTTCGTAAAAAAAAGATCTACTTTTCTATTACACATATCGCTCGTTTGAAAGTTTTGTTTTGATCAATCTTGAATATTGCTAATAAAAATCATTTATTTTGAATACTAATAAAGTTCTATTGCAAACAGAATTCGATGAATCCTCATTGGTTTCTATTCAATTGGATTGAATCGATGTAAACGAAGTTTCTCGGTATATATTTGTTTTTTCACGAGAATCAAGTTGACCGAGTAAACTCTGTTGAACGATTGTGATCAAATCATTTGCCTTTGAAACACACAATATAATAGTCATAGATCGGATATTCAATACAATTTGATCTCATCTTCTTACATTAGCAGATGAAGATAGATTTGCTAGATGATAAATCCACACTGCACCATCACTTGTTCCAACTAAGACGCACTGTGAGAGAAACAGAAGCAATGATCTGTGTTTATCTTGTATGTTCATGAATTTACATCAGAATCTGTAGCATACGCAATCGATGTTAGTGTACGTTGATTTGTACTAGTAGCGATGCAAATTGGATCAAGTCTGATATTATATGCGTATCATTCATAAATAGCAAAACGAGAAAAAAAAGAAATGATGTACGTGCTCTTAGATAAATCCCAAATTTCAATTGTATTTTCACTAACACAACAAAACATAGTTGATGATTTCGGTGACCAAATGGCATCGAAAAATATTTTTGAGTTTGAGGATGAAACTATCATACAGGATTGATCACATCCAATCATCCATAATCGAACTGTCCAATCTGCACTGGCACTTAGAAATATATTTTCAGCAAATGGAGACCAATGAACTTTATAAACAGGACCTGTGTGACCTATGTAAGACTCCAAATATTTTTCATTATATATAGTTGAACATCGATGAATAGACCCTTCATCAGTGCCACATAAATAACTAGAAAGATGAATTCATTTTTTAGATGATATAATATGTAACTAACGAACATGGTTTTATCGTTCAAATGCATATCAAAACAAAGACCACCAACCAATTTTGAAAAATATCCATTATTATTTGTTTTGTTATCTTTTTTTAATGCTCGGCATGTTGTTTGTGATGAATTATAAGATTTGAAATGCATAAGATCTAAATAGTTTACATTTTTATTACTCTACGATACATATTTCAACATTCACAGCAAGACTCTTAGATAATTTTAACAATAACATAATATCAATTTTTATATTTACTATTTGTCATTGAAACGGTTATGTTAAATTTTGTTTCTGCGTGGAACTCATTTTGTTAGAGAGTAAAAATCAGATATAGCTATAGCTACATTTTACCAGTGGCTTCAAATTCTTTTCGAAGGATCCACTGCGTCATACGACCATCAGATGAAATCGATACTAGTGTTTCAATATTGTTGATCTCAAATAAACGATCTTGTTCATTCCAATATATTTGCCAAACAGGTTTTGAATGTTTTTTATCATTTTCACTAGTACAAAGTCGATATGATGTTAATTTTAAATACTTTATGTGTATATATATATAATTACTTTGTGTCAACAATCGGAGATGTATTATTTTGATTAAGATCAAAGATGCAGATATTACCATTGAACAAGCCAACCTAATAGAAGAGATAATATTTTGTAGTTTATGTTCAATTGTATTTTACAGCTAATAAATTTGGACGTTTCAGTGAAAATGATAATGATGTTACGCCAGCATCCGTTTGATAATAACGTTCAGGAAACTTAAATCATAATTCTTTTATCGTGTGTAGAAAAAAAAATATATACTTCAGGATTTTTGACATTCCAACAACAAACGAGGCCTATGAGGAAATTATATAAAATTAAAGAATATAAAATAAAGCAAGTTGTTTATTCGACCTTGTTTGTCATTATTATATTGAAATTTACCATAGCCTACAGTCAATAAATCCTAAAATACAAAGTATTTGATTATATATTGCTTGAGTTTCTATCTCACATGATTTTTTTCATTCCAACATAAGCAAGAAACACTTCGATTATGTGTTAAGTAACAACTATAATGCCATAAACGTTCAAGACTCAGAATAAAGTGTTTCGTAGATGACAAATCTTTTTTATCGATAGAGTCATTATTCATATCGTTTATTATCGAAGGTCGATTATCTAATATAGATTTTTCAGAAAAAGACAATCCATTACAGACATACATACGTTCTTGATTAACTGTAAGACTTGTATTGATTCCTCGATAAATTACTGGTTTTATGTGATAGGTAAGGTTTACCAAAGTCAAAAATCGAGCAGGAGAAAAATTCCATTTATTATTACATGGTTGGATAGAGCTCGATGGGTAGATCATGAATATCACCTTTTAAATGTTTCTAAGCTTACGTTTTGGCTGAGGAATTTTCAAAATACAAAATGCACCTGAAAAACCATGTAGACGTGCTCAAATTGATGCCCCGCAAAATCATCAACTATTCTTTTTTGAAAGCATATCTCGAGCTTTCTTACGTCATTAGAACAGTCAAGTGATAGCGAACAAAAGTATGCATTCCGTTTGAAAAATATTGTTCTCTCTCTCTGAGAAAATCGGTTTTTACTAGATCGGTGACTGAAGATTAACGAATTACTCTCTTATTTCGAGATTTCGAGTATCAAAACTCAACTTTCACGCAAGATAAACATCAGATTCGCAACCAGCACGAAAAATTACATTGACTATCATATATTTTATCAAAAAAGAATTCTCATCAAAATTCCAGCCTACTCCCCCTCAGTCATGTTTTTCTTGATTTTATCCTGTGGTGCACCACAGGTAAAATTTTGGTGAAAATTATTTTTTGATAAAATATATGATAGTCAATGTAGTTTTTTGTGCTGATTTTGAACCTGATGTTTATTTCGCATGAAAGTTAAGTTTGATGGCCAAAACCTCGAAATAAGAGGGCAATTTGTTAAGCTTCAGTCACCGATCTAGTAAAAACCGATTTTCTCAGAGAGAGAACAATATTTTTCAAACGGAATGCATACTTTTGTTCGCTATTGCTTGACAGTTTGAATCATATAAGAAAGTCCGAGAGGTGCTTTCAAAAAAAAATACTTGATAATTTTGTGAGACATCAATTTGAACGTGTCTACATGGTGACCTAGTGGAGCTCCTCAAACGTGAAGCGTATGCTTTTTACTCGTCAAAGTTACATTAGTAGATTCAGATTTTCATGCTGAATACGATGATGACAGTTTTCGAAACATAGAAGATTGTTAAACTAGGTAAATTTCGATTTTTCTCGAAAAAAAGTGAAATATTCACTTTTTCAGGTGCATTTTGTATTTTGAAAATTTCTCAGTCAAAACGTAAGCTTAGAAACATTTAAAAGGTGATATTCATGATCTACTCATCGAGCTCTATCCAACCATGTAATAATAAATGGGATTTTTCTCCTGCTCGACTTTTGACTTTGGTGAACCTTACTCAAGTTCAGGATACGTTCCATAATAAATGCATCGACATCAATATCAGGCAACTTAAAAATACGAAAAAAATGAATATCTATATTTAATTTGGTTGACTGACTTCAGTTTTAGTACTATATTTCAATTGAAAACAATTGTTTTGGGGCAAAGTCATCTTGCCTAGAGAATCTTGTGAAAAGAATCTAGGTGAATCTGAAATATCATATAATATTAACAAACGAGACTATATATGTAACTGATTTACTTTGTGATGAGAATGTTTTTTCCTCTACAATATTATTCTCATATTCGTTATTTTTTATTTTATTATCGTACAGATCCTGACTGCGATATATTGGATGTCGACGATGATCTTATGAAAAATAAAATGTATTCATATGAAAACTTCTATTAACATCATACTTTGATCTTCGTTTTGATTTGTTTCGACTGCAGAATCATATAGATCCCACATATTAAACCATGATTGTTGTGACTAAATATTTACGAAAAATAAAGATTGAATATACGGAAGAATCCAGCCAATGCACACTCGTGTTAACACAGGATCAGTGATGATCTGTTTATGTTTACGTAAATCATTAAATGTTTGCATACCACGTTCGATATATAAATCATTGCCTTGCCGATTTTTACATAACTATAATAAAAGTAAAATTGTCTAAAATATTTGTTAAAACAATGTTATTGAAGTTCTATGAAATGATTTTTCTCATAATAAATAGACTTTTGTGCGACAAAACTCATATGGTTATCTACTGTTCTGCAGAGGAAAAAGCTGCATGAAAAGAATCCGATAAATTACAAGAAAGACTGAACAGTAATACATCTTGTTTAATGATATCGAATATATTTGAAAAATGTCAGCCTATGAAAGAAAAAGAATATTCTTTACGTTCATGTAAGTTTTATTTTTTTCATTGATTTCATTGTATTTATCATGATCTTCTTGGCAGACAATATGACTCGTCAGATCCAAAATAAACTTTGTTTCGCTTTCACTTAAAACAACATCATCTTTCAATGGATCAATACATTCTAGACCAAGTCCTATATTATATATCATTTATTATCTATTTAATACACTAGATATTTTGCTATCATTACCAGGTAGGAAGGTTGTTTGATATGCTTGATTCATACTCTCATGAGATATGCGATCATTTTCAGTTTGATCAAGTAAATGTTCACTTTCTAATATAATTCTTGTGCCTATATCAAGTGTTGTTTTTTCTCTATGATAATGTTATTAAAATTAAAGTTTATAAATTAAAGAAAAAAACTGATTTACCCAATAGAAAATACGGTAGCAGTATGAACAAGATTTGAAGTTGAATTTGTTCTATCGAGAATACTTTTTTCAGAAGCAGACTGTTCTTGATTTTCTAACACTAGTTGATTTTCTACTTCTCCTCTTGACTTTCTATCTTCACGAAGATTTTTTCTATTAACTCGCAGATAATCAGTTATGAGTCGTGGTGTAACATCAGTACCATGATCATCTAGGATCTTTAAAAATAGATATAAACATCAAACGAAATATTAATTAATGCAAAAAAACAAAAGGAAAATATTTATACTTGAAATCGATCGGAACGCATAGTATTTTCTCGTGATATTTGTTCCGTTAAATATCCTGCATGGTTACATTTGCGACGATGAGATATATGATGAAATTTTTCAGCTGGTTTTGTTTTTGAAATCGAACCTTCGTGCTGATTATTTAAGCGTGAATTTAAAGTGGAAGAAACTATTGATCGGCGGCGATGACGACCACAAGACATCTAGAATTCGAACACATTTGTAAGATTGAATAAATTCAAGCGAATTTCTTTTAGAAAAAAATCTAGTTAAAAGTAAAAAAAATGAAATTCTAACGTTCTCAATAAATTAAAAAACGTTTGACGTGATTCATCAGCATGAATGCTCCTTCATAAATCTATGCTAGAATAAAAATAAACATGTGTCTCATTAGTTCAAAATTAAAAAGACCTTTTTTAAATTCTGCTTTTTTGTTTTGAACGCTATAATTGAATCTTTCAAACAATTTCCTTACTATCAATTCGATCTATAAATTCATCATCATATGGATTTGAAGATGCAAAGAGAAATCAGTCAATGGATACCGAAAGATGCTTATCAAAATCATATTTTAACAGATAGAAATACTATGTAAGTGATGTTAGCAATTGAATAGTAATCAATTATTTCGATAGGTAATTTTAAAAAATTATAAACCCATCGTTAATTATTTTTTTAAATAATTGTGGAGATCTAAAATTTAACTGATTAAACATGATTTGTACTTTTTCAAAATATAATTAATCTGGAAAAACGCGCACCAACAGCTTGACTATAAAACACTGCTTAATCATTCCTTCTACGTTTTCTATTTCAAACTATTTTGTACGCGTGTGTTATTATAATTAATTTTAGGCCTTACAGAAAACAAGAAACGTAAATTTATCAGAAAATCTGCCTGCACAACTAGTTTTATGAATTTCAATCTTCATTATTTTCCAAAGTGAATTTAAGCAGTAGGATACACGATACCCCCCCCCCCATAGTAGAAGCCCCCCCGGGGGCTTCTCAACTGAGAGGGGCTTCTATTATCGGGGGGAGGAGATCCGGCTGATTATCTTTCTTCAAGGTATCATATAGCTGTCTTTTACATAAACGATTAGCTATTTACGAAGAGTAAAAGCTAGCATTAAAAATTCCTTTCTTTTTCTATGTACAGTTGCCTTGATAAGATAAATGTGAGAAACTACTTTTGAGTTTCATGTTTATCGATAAGCATTGTCTGATGTTTCGTGAATATATCATTTTCAATTTTGTCATTATTTGATTTTTATATTAAATTATATTAATCAATAGACAAAAGAATCAATAAATAATTAAGAACCAAAACAAAATTGAACTATGATGAAAAAAAAAGATCTTAAATATTTGTTTAGGATTTAGGATAATTACTGATTCATCTTAGAAATTTTATGAATGAATCCATCAAGAAATTTTTCAATCAATAAAATCATTAAAAGTGTATTCAAATACTTTATTTGTTTGCAAATATTTATTAAGATCAAACCACGTTACACATTGGTACACTGACTGCCATCAGTATATATATATCTACAGTAAATTGTCGGTCAGAGAACAACTAACATTATATCACAACAGAATTTCAGTTAGAAGATAGCTCATCGTCTGAGCATCAAACTGTTACTGGTTAATTATCAAAATATCAGTGCAACTTTCCTATTTTCAATCACCTAGAAAATGTTACAGATGCAATTGGTTCCGAACAAAAACAAAATCACTCTTGTATGCAAAAGAGCGATTGACAGAAAGGTGTACAGTTCAAAATTGTGATTCTAGCTTTCTAACTTTCAACTAATTGAATAAATAAACGTTGTGTATCGGTTAAAGTAAATATATTTTTTAACATATAGATGTTTTAATATTTATTATTCTGCCATTTTTTTGCATATTCAACAGATATTCACAACTTTTATGTGCATAAATGTTTATATGAAATATATTGAACATTGAATTGTTAGATTCTCTTTCTAGGAAGCAAGCATCTTTTCATATATACATTCCCTGGATAGATATTATATTAATTATACTGCTAACTATAAGTTTTTTGAAAGTATGATCAATTAATCAATGATAACGCATTGCATTGTTGACTATTATCATTCGTTTTATTTTCTGTAGTTTTGAATTGCCTCTACGTTAAGAAAATAGCCCAGATAATAGTTTACAATATATCATATTTAATTACTATGAAAACTTATTGTCTCTTAATTGGAATTCATTAGCAAACCTACAGACTTTCGATTTTTATGATAGATGCTATATAGAAACTGCAATGCGACTGCGCGCGTACGGTAGCCATAATGATTACACTAGATCACTGTGAACCCTCATAAAGATGATCCACATTCATCTAGATAACTTTGTTGAAGACAGTAAATTCATATTTTGACGTAGTTATATTTTGAAATAATTACTCATCAACGCTACGAGCAATATTGATTTTCATCAATATTCTATTGGTTTAAATACTTTTGACCAATCAATAAAAACTATTCTTATATTGCTTTTTTTTTTGTTTATTTATATATTTTTTAAATGTCAAATGAATTTTTATCAATACATATAATTCCGAACGGAATGATTTTCATTTCTGTTCAAAACCTATTTTGATGGATCTCTTTTATTGTTGTCAAATATTTGTCAATCTTTTCTTGCTATGCAAATGATCTTTTTGTGTCAAGGACTTTTGTCTTTGCCGATCTTACACTTATATATGTATAAAACTGACCTTGACCATATAAAGATAAATTCATTTTTTTTTAAATTCCTTTATTTCTTTCAGAACATTCTTTTTTATATTCAATATAACGTATCGATAAATAAAACTATTCATGGTTGTAAACAATGTATATTAAACTAATACAAATATCTTCTATACAATATTTTATATTAATATTCCAAGTAAGTTGAATTTTAAAGAGAAAAAAACTTATGCTGGTTAGATAAATATGCTGTCTTTTTGTTTCCTCCTTTTTGATAATAAATGAAAATTAATGGAGCATAACTTGTACAGAACTGATTTGTGCATAGAGGACAGCAACTATACGTCATTATGCGTATACGTTAATCATAATGGAGAAAAAAACATATTGAGAAATAATTTCACATGAAAATGTAAATTATGAAAAATCAATTATTATGTTGTTTCTTATCTCTGTTTTAGAATTGAAATATATGCAATTGAAATGATCATTTTACCAAAATGAGTAAATATGAAATTCATCAAACAAATCATTTAAGATCGAATTCATCAACAAAAAATGATTCATCTGAATCTAACAATGAATTTGAAGAATCTATTGATGATAGCAACACACCCACAACTAATGATAATAATAACATTGTTATGAAAACACCTCAATCTCTTGACGATCTTCTTGATGCTGATGATAATCAAAATGAGGAAAATACAGAAGACAATGAGAATGACGATGACGATGATGATGATTCCACACGATTAAGTATTGATGATCACAATACATCAGAAACAACAAGACGTAAAAAATCTACTAGGAAAAATGGTAAGCTTCAACAGATTGTTAAATTAATGAATGTGTACGATTATGTAAACTATACGAATGAAGATCATCTTTATGATGTTCAATGCCAACATAGATCTATTGTTGTCTATTCTTCTTCTTCTTCTTCTTCGGTTGAGAGATGTATATGTGGGCGTGTTGAATAAGTTTGTATCGATTAATCGGCTCCTAACTATCCACCAATAACCATGTATGTATGTCTGTCTCAAGTGTTTCACTTAGCTATTCTCTTGAGTACGTCTGACCATCTGTATATGCCCTTCATATATAAGGTTACGCACATAGTGAACGAATAATAGTCGTCTGGCCATGCTATGTATAATATTGACCGACCGAACGCTTTCACATCAAATTTTTTTTTGTCTTCCTATCATGTCGGCGACAGACTACATAGACCAGCCGATGGCGAGACAGACAGACCACGACATAAAACACATGAATGACCTAGATCTCTTCGGTCATTCTTGTCATGAAGGAAAAAGAAGAAAAAAAAAGAGAGAAAAGAAGTCATACATTAAAGTAAATATTGCACGACGATGCCGATCTTGACCACTCATAAATTGTTCCAACTTCACTTAAATTTCTTTCTATGCATATGCTTTGTGTGGGCAAAGAAAATGAAAAAGAAAGAAATAATGTAAAACTTTGATGTGCTCAAAAACCCTAAATATGTAGCAAGTTACAAGGTAGTAATACAACTACCACATCACTGTACATAAATATATAAAGACAAAAAAAAGGAAATATCTCTCGCTCTTCCGAGTAAACTGTAATTGCCTTTTTTTAACGATGACGTTGATGCAACACGCGCGTTTGCTAACTTGCATATGTACAATCAGCTCATCTTTTTCTTTCGATGACGCCGTCGTCTTGCAATGAACATTTATGTTTATGTATAGAGAGGAAAAGGGCCAAGAAAAGAAAAGCGAAAGCAGTAAAGTAGGGCGTAAAACAATAGTAATAGTTGCGCATATTGTGCTCTTTCTTTCTCTTACTCTTTCTCTCCCTCTCTCTTTCTCTCTCTCATCCACACTGCTGTTACTACTGTGATATGTACATGGTCATCGGTTCATGGGCGTTGTTGCACATACATTACACACAGAGAAAAAGAAAAAGAAAAGAAAAAAAAGAGAAAAAAGACTCAACGAACGAGCGATAATGGCGGCGGCAGTGGCGCAAAGAAGAAAGAAAGGAGAATAAGCAAAATAGTTTGCGCAGCACACTCTACTACTGACAACGTTGACTACTACCATCACCGCAATACATATACATACTACAATACATATGCTACGTTGGCGTCGTTGGACGAGTAGCATCAACAACGCACCATCATCGAAGAAGAATTGGATGCGCTGAGCATAAACCACAAATGTTACGTAGCATTTATCCTTCGATATCGACTTCTAACTGAGAACGAGGAAAGTTGAGCATAAAATAGAAAGAAAAAGCCAATAACGATTGCTTTTCAACCATTATATATTGACCCTAACAACAAATACCAAAGATCACTGCTTCACAGTTCGCACCCCGGATGGGTAAGATTTTGATTTATACTTTTATCATTCTTTTTACTTCAAATACTCAATTATTTTGGTTTCCTTTTGCACTTTTGTGTTAAAAAAATTGCATCTATTTCTATGATC